TCGTGGGGGCCTTGCCCCCCCAGGGTGCTCATTTCTGCCTTCCCCGCCGAGAAAAGCCACCCATTGTCCCACCTGCGCGCTGGGCCCTGATACGGTTGACTTGCTCTTCATCACGGACCACCTCACCGTGTCCTGCCTTTAGGATGCTTCCAGATGTGTTGTCTGCATCTCGTGATATGAGACTGGTTCATGGAAAAGGAGGAGCCCTTTTTTCCATTGGGCCCGGGGGCGGGGGGCAGACTGTCACGTAGGAAAGAAGACAGCACAGGGGTCCTGGCAGGACTGTGTGTAGGATTGTGGGGGGGCTTTGCCAGCAGAGGCCCCTGTCCACTGCCGATGAGAATGAGTCTACAAAGACATGACTTGCTTGGGGAGGAAAGGTGGCCGATCTCTCAGAGGAGAAGGGCCAAGAACCTGTTCCTCAGTGGGCTTTTATCAGGTTCATTTTGCACAAGAACACAGGTAAAGCTCATCAATCATTGTCAGGCAGTAACGATCAAACAATAGATAACAAAGAACTACGAGGGCCTATTCTGAGCCACGGTCTGTTAGCTAAAGGGCTACAAAACTTTGGGAGGCAAACTCATTTCCCGCTCGGACGCTTATCATCGAATGGAGAGCACTCTAAACAAAGCAGGTTGCACAGGATTTTATGCATTCTTTCTCAGGCCTGATGGCCCTCGGGGAACCTGCCCTTTCCAGCACTGGGCTGCACCGCCCTGTGTCATTGTTTCGGGCTTACATCACACAGGGGAAGTAAGGCAGTCGAGAGATTAGGAGATTTCCTTGCAGACAGAATGAGGACTCAGGCTATGTCAAAGCCGAGGGGTGAGGGTCTATCATCCCCTTTTCTATAGCCCCCCAAGTCCTTCCCTTAAGGCCCCCTGTGATCCTGCCTGTCTTAGATTGTTCCCCCCTTGGGGAATCTTACCCGTCATTGGCTAACTGGTCAACCACTGGGGGCCCGGCGGGGTGAAGTAAAAGGAGCAGAGGCGGTGCCAGTGCCAGGGAGATAAGCTTTGTCTCCTTACTGGCGGCCGGCCTGAAGTTCACTCTCCCAGCCTTAGCCATGAGGTGGGGTGGGGGGTGGGTGGGTTACAGCTTCTGAAACCAGCCAGGGCGGTTCCCAACAGAAGACAATGTAGATTTTTTTTTCCAGGCGATGCGTCCTCCACGGGAGACTTCCTGGTGTCCCTTTCCACTCATACTTTCCCATCATGAGGGTCTGGTTTAGGGAAGAGGGTCACCTGTTTGGAGGCCTGGATTGCAGATGAGTCTGACGTGTCTCTCAGGCTGGAGACAACAGCTCAGGATTCTGGGCCCACGTTGAATTGTTCAGACGCCCAGATAGTTGCAGGACGCCTCAGGCAATGCCTGGTCCCCCCTGAAGGTCTCCTTCTGTCCTCACACTGGGGGGGCCTGTCCCCGGGGGTTCCATAGACACTGTCCTGTGATCCCCCTTCCCAAATCCTCTGGTGTGTGCGCACACAGAGGAACCTCCCAAATTTTTTTGTGTGGGGGGGCGGATAGAATACTTTGGAAAATATTTCCTACAGACACAGGGATTTCCTAAGACTCCAAGAATGGGACATACACAGAACAACAGACAGGCCAGCCAGGTCGCCAAGGAAGAGAGAGAGAGACCTCTTTCTTGTTGGCTTTTAGAAAGAGAAAGGATGGAACCCAACGCTGTATGTTTTAACAGAGGCTCCTGCAGCCCTTGCAAGAGGTGCATGCATCGGAAATGGACAGAGGAAGAAATTCTGGAAGGGAAGGGGGTGAAAGACAACTGTCTTTCTTGATTTTCCACAGGGACTGTTAGGTGTAGTCTACATGTTGTCCTTAAGCCGTACCAAGATGCCTATAACACACACACACATTTCTGAGAATATTTTGTTATAATTTGCTCCTTCTGGAAAAATCACCGCTGGTTCTGAGTGCAGTGTCATTGTCGTACAGACAACTGGTCAACCAGCCACCAGGCTGGTCTCTCTGGCCTCTGCCCATCTGTTGGCTGAAAAGGTGCTAACTCATCAAATTCCTCTTTGTATGCACCTGATTGACAGTATCTCTCCCTTCTGTAGATAGCCCTGCCCCGGGCTTCCCTTTCTTGAAATTCCTGTTCTTGCTCTTTGCCTACTTTTTTTTTTTTTTTTTACTTGACCGGTTTTGGGAGCGTAACACCTGGGTGTGTTTCAGCTTTCTCTTAGAATGACTCACAGTTGCCGCCTTCCCTCGTGCATTCTCTTGCTAGTCATTCTATTTTTTTTTTAAATCTCCTCAACAGGAAGCTAGAGACTTCCTTTTTACTCAGCCCACAGGCAGGGGCAAGCCCTCCAACCGGTGATTCTCTAACAGCAAGGGGAGGCCCACGGAGGGGCCGTGGGTGTGGTGTGGGGTCGGCGGCATTGAGAAAAGAAAAGCAAATACAGTGGAAAAAAACACCAGCCAGCATGCTTCGCACAGCCCTGCCCCGTCAGCATCGGCGGGGCCTTGTTCCAGTTGCGTCTGGGCGCCCTGAACCCCGATACAGAACATAACCTGCCGCCGTCACTTGATGGTTTGGATACAATCCCTCAGTTCTTGGGGAAGAGCTTAAAATTGCTCGTCCCCAAAGAGCGAAGTAATTGCTCCAAGGCTGCTTTTGGAAAAATAAAAAATAAAAGTGTTCGTGTTCATTTGTTGAGGGGATGCCTTTCTGAAGGGCTGGAGCTGGCGCCCCGTCGGAGTTCCAGCTTTCTCTGTGTCACTCGGCGACACCAGGGCCCGCCACTCGCCGCCCACGGGGTGTCGGGTCAGGGAGGGATGCAGACCCGGGAAGGCCTGCATCTCCGCGGGACCGCAGCGTGCCCGAGAAACCTGTGCACGGAGCGGAAATAGCTCCTGCCGTCTTGCGGGGCAGACGGCCTTGCGGGCATGGGGATGATCTAAATACGTCCAGAAGCCAGAATGTGGCGGGCGGTCCACTTCTGCTTTCCTTAGCGCCCTTCCCGTCCAGAAGGGCGTGGGCTCGGTCCAAGATGTGCAAGAAAGGGGTGCCGTTTGCCACGTGCTCAGCAGAACATGGACTCCCCCCCGCCACCCACGGGGGGGATGTGTGTGGTGAGGAGCTTAGTTGGGGCTGTGACACAGCCGTGCAGGCAGGCAAGGGAGCGGGGGTTAGGCTGGGTCTCGGAGAGAGCAAAGACAGTTAGGATCAGAGCGCTCGCAGGGATGGGTGGCTGCGGCATGGGTGACGAAGGGGGGGCCTCTGCCTGCTGAGAACGTTACCTAAGGACCGTGGCCTGGCTGGAGGAACATAGCACACACTGGGCGTGATGGACGGTGGACAGATGGATGGATGGACATCACAGGTGATGTATATATGTGTGGATGGGTGGTGGGTGGATGGATGGATGGATGTGTAGTTGGAGGGATGGATGGATGGATGGAAGGATGGAGGGATAGATATTATAGATTATAGGTGGATGGGTGGATAGATATACATGATAGATGATAGCTATATGGTACAGGATAGATGGAAGATAGAGATATACAGATGGAGCTCTTTATCCATCTGTCCACTCATTTATCCATCCATCCATCACCCATCCATCCATCACCCATCCATCCATCCATCATCCATCCACCCATCCACCATCCATCCATCCATCTCTCCACCATCCTTCTATCCATCCATCTATTCATCCACTCATCCATCCATCCACCATCCACCCATCCTTCCTTCCTTCTATCCATCCATCCATCATCCATCCATGTATCCTTCCTTCCTTCCTTCCTTCCATCCATCCATCATCCATCTATCCACTGTCCATCCCTCCCTCCATCCATCCATCAACTGTCCATCCACTTATCCATCCATCCATCCATTTATCCATCCCCCATCCATCTATCCATCCATCATCCATTCATATTCTTCCACTTATCCATCCATCCACTTACTTATCCATGCACCCCTGCATCCATGAGAAATGGTAGAGGTTTCCCAGAGGAGGTGTCATCTTCTCAGGGCTTTGAGGCATCCATAAGAGTTTTTCTGGTATGAGAAGAAGGGTTTGACATTGATGACCCAGTGGAGCATGCAAGTGAAGACCCGGGGAGGGGGCAGGTGCCCAAACTCCGTGACTTTGAGGGTCTCACCACTCATTCCCAAGATGCTGGGGACGATGGTACATTGCCTAGCACCACACGGTGACATCTATGGGACACCGCAGGAACTGTTAGGAGTCAGTTCCGGGCAGCAGAGACTGGACTCGGCAGGGTCCTGGGGGCTGCACTCTGCATGGTGGTCTCTGCTTCCCTTTGAGCCTCACAAGGCATGTCCCTAAGGACGGCTCCCCTGGCCAGTGGGGTCAGGGTCCCCCAGGCAAGTATGCAAGTTCACCTGCTATCGTCAAGTCTATTGTAGAATGACCTGCAGGACCCCGCCCGGCCCTCTCTGCACCCTGGTGCTCACGTCCCCGTGAGGAGGAAACAGGCTTTTGCCCCTGTCCTCCTGAAGTCACCGTAGACCAGGGTCAAGTCCGCAACTGCGTGCGGCTTTACAACCGAAAACCACGGAGTCGCATCTCAAACTTGCTGTGTCCCCGAGGTTCATTCTTTTTCACGCCGGGCCAGCAGAGAATGTTCTGGGGACCCGGGGAGGGCCACTCCGGTTACGGCGGCCACGCTAGCTCCGCCTTCCGGGGCTCCCGGTCCCCGTGGGGTTCAGCCACGGAGCACAGTGTCAGCATTTAACACATGGCTAGCTTGGGCTTCACAGAGCTGTGCACTGCGGTTTTTTTCCGCTAGAACATTCGTTCCTGACACGAATTCGTCTAGGCGCCCGGGACGACACAGCTCCCAAAACCAGCGTGACTGTCAGGCTGAGGCAGCCAGAACGTGGCATCACGTGGACGTGGAAAGATAGATTTTTAGAAGCTGTCCGGAAACATCGGGGTGTGTCAAATGTTTAAAAATAAAAGAAGCTAAAATGCAGCCAACTGCCCTGATCTCTTCTTCTTCTTGTGTCCCTGGTCAGAGGGGGATTTCGGGTTCCATCTGTACCTGTGCTCTGGGCTCCCAGCCTGAACTCGGTACTAGAATGTTCTGTATGTTCAGGCTACCCTGCTTCCAGCGCCATGCGCACGCACACACCTGGAGGCCCAAGTGTTCAGGGGTTCGGCCCTAAGTCTGGTGTTTTGTCCCGGAAAACCTTTGCCTGGGGTGAGCAGACACGGGTGTGGTGGGGTGCATGCCTGGCCTCTGTGTCTCGTCCTCCTGGCTTTGTGGGCTGTTGTGCAACTGAGGTTCTTGGGCTCGGAGAGATGGGGGTGCGGGGCGTGGGCAGGGCTGCAGAATCTGGGAGCAGGTGTGGCCGCCCCACCGGGTGCAGGGCGGGTGGGTGCAGGGCGTGGGGGCTGCAGCCCAGAAGTGAGGGTAGGGGGTCGGGGGTGGGAAGTGGGGGTGGGGTTTCCTTCTCTCCGGTCCTGAGTGCAGCGCGGTGGAATTCCGCCGTCCTATCGAGAAAGCTCCAGGAACGGAGCAGGCCCTGAGGAAATTCATCCCCGCCGCCTCGTGCTGTAATTATGTCATTAGTGTGTTTTTCATGCTCTTCGGGGCACAGCCGGAAAGTCTGGGGCACCCTGCCACTGCCCGAGGTTTCCTGCGCTCCTGATTCTATCTCCACAAGTGGTTTCTCCTGTATTTTTACCTCGATTTCTTATATAATTTTTAAGTTCTGTTTTGAAGTGATATCGCTTATCTCTTCCACAACTTATGATGATTATACATTGCCAGTCATTTCTGTTCTAATTTTATGCCTCAAATTTATTTATTTTCATTTATATATTTACTTATAGGATGTATAAGTTCTGTGAATACCTTATAAATGATGTGATTTGTAATTATATATCATTTATTGTTATAAGCATTCATATTTTATTTTTACCATTATACTTTATGTTTGTTTATATGCATAAATTTTATATAGTTATATTTTTGTCTTATATTTATATTTAAATTTTATATATAAACAAGTTATATATTTGGTAATCACTATAATTTATTACTGAGTAGGTTTGATTTCTATTCCAATTTATTTCCATTTTAGTTTTGTAGATTTATATAATTTACACACCACATCCTATATGTAAATTGCATAATTTTTAATTTTTATAATTTATTATTGGAGCTATTATCTAACCCAGTTGTATTTTATTTATTTATTTATTTACTTACTTACTTATTATTTTTTTTAGAGAGAGAAGGGAGGGAGAAAGAGAGAGAGAAACATCCATCTGTGGTTGCTGGGGGCCGTGGCCTGCAACCCAGGCATGTGCCCTGACTGGGAATCGAATCTGCGACGCTTTGGTTCGCAGCCCGCGCTCCATCCACTGAGCTATGCCAGCCAGGGCGCCAGTTGTATTTCTATAATTTATTTCAGTTTTAATCGTACACCTTTCTTTCTATACTGTGTACGTCCCCTGTACACAGTGCATGAGTCATACACGTTGGTACTTTATAGATATTTTATTTCTGTTCTGCTTTTGCCGTGACGATTTGTGTTCTATCTGTGTTTACTCAGACGTGCTGTGTAGATGAGTTGTAGAATTTTGAGAGGTCCCTGTGGTGAGCATTTCCATGCCCCCCCCTTCCCCAAGCACTTGGCCATGGTGACAGAATTTAGGGGAGTCTGACCTCAACTACCTGGGGAGCATCTGTCTCAGGTGACCGTGTCCACACCCCCGGCCAGGCAGCCCAAATACCAGGCTCTTGGGGACTCGTCCAGGTTCCCCCTGTGTGCTTCCCCGGGATGGCTGGCCCCAGGGGAAAGCACAAGAATCAGACAGGAGTCAGAAAGGAGGGGTCAGTCGGGGTGACTCAGCCCTGCCCCCTGGGGCCGGGGGCCTCGCCCAGGGTGACTCACCGCCTGCGTGCCCCGTGCGGGGAGCTGTGAGGGGCCGGCTGGAGACCGCGGGCACCCGGGGTTTCCACTGAGGGGCCCACGGCTTGCGGTCTGCCCCGACACTGGGGCCCCGCAGGTCCCCCAGCAGCAGACTCCCCGCCCGCCCGCCTGCCCGGGGACCTCACCACGCCGCGGGGGGGTGCTGGCGTGAAACGTTTCAGGGGCGGTTGGAGTTCAAGGGGTCCTTCCCTGGCTGGGCACCCAAACCGGCCTCCGCCCCTTCCTCTGAATTTCAGATGCCCAAGAGCCTGGCCTGTTTACGCCCGCAAACGCCCCTCCGTGCCCTCTCCCACTGTCTTGCGTGGGCGCCTTGCCCACGCTCCCCGGGGAGCCCCTCCGATTCGGAAGTCACCGCCCCACCCCCGTGGTGAGGGAAGGCGAGCGTGGGAGAAAGTTCCCGGCGCGTAGCTTCAGGCGGGTTGGGGGGGGGAGAGCGTTTTTTGAGGGGGGGGAGGGGGCAGGAAGCGTAAACGTGCGTGGGTGCGTGTCCGTGGGAGAGCGCACCCGCGAACGCGCGCGGGGAGGCTTTCGGTCTCCAGGGGTTGGAAATCCTTCCGCGGCTATTTCCAAGGGACGGCCTTTTGGAGAGCAGGGCGCGGGGCGCAATGACCGTGTTTCGCAGCAGCTGTTTGAAGGGTAAGGGGACGCATCCGTCGCAGGCGTGGAACTGAGGGTTTAGACTGAGAAGACGCATCGCGGCGCATCCGCACGTTCTCCAGAGCTGCCAGATACCCCAGACACGGCCCAACCCGGCCCCGTTCTTCGTGTCCTTTTCTTTTCTTTTTTTAAAAAAAGATTTATGTATTTATTTTTAGAGAGGGAAGGGAGGGGGAAAGAGAGAGAGAGAGAGAGAGAGAAACATCCATGTGCGGTTGCTGGGGGCCGTGGCCTGCAACCCAGGCATGTGCCCTGACTGGGAATCGAACCTGCAACACTTTGGTTCGCAGCCCTCGCTCCATCCACTGAGCTACGCCAGCCAGGTGTATCCTTTTCTTAAGTTTCAAGTTTACTTGGGTTTTCCTGAGTTCTAACCTGCCTCTTTCTCTCTCTTAGGTGATCTTGATTTATCGGATGCCCTGGATGGTGAGTAACTTTTTTTTTTAAAGATTTTATATGTTTATTTTTAGAGAGTGGGGAAGGGAGGGAGAAAGAGAGGGAGAGAAACATCCATGTGTGGTTGCCTCTCTGGTGCCCCCTACTGAGGACCTGGCCTGTAGCCCAGGCATGTGCCATGACTGGGAATAGAACCGGCGACCCTTTGGTTCACAGGCAAGCACTCAATTCACTGAGCTACACCAACCAGGGTAGCGAGTGATATTTCTTTTTTTTTTAATTTTTAAAAGATTTTATTGATTTATTTTTAGAGAGGGAAGGGAGGGAGAAATCCACTCAGCTACGCCAGCCAGGGCTGGGAATTTTATTTTAAAGTGCATTTCTATTGGATGTGAAGGATCTCGGGAACAACAAATGATGTCCTTTAAAATTCTGTGGATGAACGTGCCTCGATGTAGCCCCAGCCAGGTCATTCAGTTGTTAGGGCGCCGTCCCGATACATGAAGGTCATGGGTTCGATCCCCAGCAGGGCGCATGCAAGAAGCACCCAGTGATGCATCAGTAACACACACCACAAATCAATGTCTCTCTCTCTCTCTCTCTCTCTCTTTCTCTGTCTCCAATCAATACATAAAAATTTTTAAAAACCTTACAAAGTCCACCGATGTCTCTAGTTCTCCACTCAGGGTGCCTTGCTTTTGTGAAGACCTTGGAAGAGTGTCTTCAGACATTGGACATGTTGTTACGATAATATTTTTTAGATAGACAACGGTTGCCATTTCACCGAACGTGTTTGTGTGGGAAATGGCGTTGTCGGGGACAATACACTAGATGATGAGGCAGATCTGAAGGGTGTTAAGTACCCTTCCTGATCCCCAGTTTCAGCCTTTTGGGTTTCTCATGCTTATGGGTAGACTTCATAAAAGGGAAAGGTTGAAAAAAATTTTTTAAAAAACCCACATAATTTGACTCTTCTTTTGAACACGGAACATTCTAGGGAGTTGACTTTGTTTCCAAGCTGCAAGTTGCACTGACAAAAAAATGTATTTTTTTTTTTTTTTTTTAGACACGGAGAAGAAACCCACACCAACCCCAAAAAAACCCACTTCTGGTAAGAAGCAAGTGTGCTTTGTGAGCAAGGAGAGGGGACGAGTTACCGTCTTGCACCCCAGTTTCCCAGAAAACTGGGGTGACACATGGACAAATAGAAAACTCAGAATCCGGGGTCTCTGTGTATGGTCTGGCTGAGATGTGCACTGTCTGTGATGCCCAGTGATTCCTGCAGGAGAGGATGGGGAATCTCCCCTGTGAGACACTCTTGGGTCATTTGGACACTAAGTATTTCTCGGTGTCTTTACCCCGAGTGCCTGACTCTTGGGAGAAATAATTTTAGGGGCTGGGACCCCCCATAGACACCATAACAAAATTCATACTGCAGGCTCCGGGACTTCAGTGTCCCTGCATTCATGCTCACTGCTGCTTTCAAATAACACGCAGCATTCAGGGACAAACACTGAAATTGGTCAAGGCTCTGATTCAGTGGTGGTTAGCTACTCAGAGTAAAAATCGATGCCTCAAGTTCAACCGAGCTTCTGAGTTTTTATTTGCGGGAATAATACACCCGCTTAGTTCTTGGGCTCCTTTGTAGAAGGTTGTCCCTTGAGGGAAGGGTTTGCACGTGCCTTGGTTGGCACCCAGGGGTCGGGACGCCTCACGCACCTTGCGGGGCGTGCTGTGGTTGGACACGCGTCTTTGCGCCACCACCAGCTCCTCGTGGCAGGCGCCACGTCAGACCCTACCCGTGCGTGTCACCCTCGTCCGGTGTGTTGTGCGGGGGCGGACGTGCCGGTGCCTACACGTGAACTGGCCCTGGGAAACGGTTCCTAAAACCAAGAAGGCGTCTGGGGGGAGCTGTCCGGAATCGTCATGCCGGTTCATCAGGGATACCCGGGTCAGGGCCGCTGTTGTTGAGGGACCTCGTCCCACAAACCTGGTCCCCCGTGTCTGACCCTGTGTCTGTGCCATCCCACCCCGAAGCCGTGGCTGGCCAGCTGTAGGGCAGTGACCCGAGGACGGGGAATGAACCAGAGAGGGCTTCCTGGAGGCGGGGATGGAAATCCACCTAGGCCCGTGTGGTGCTGCGGACCGATACGTAACTCCCGTTTTTGTGGCATCAAGTGCTGTTCCTCTGAGAGATAGACGATGGGAAAACTGGTTGGGGGCGGGGAATGTGTTTTTCCACTGCCGTCCTGCTCGGACTGATAGTGAGAGAAATATTCAGCGAGCTGGGGACACCCGTGTATCCGAAGGATGCCTTTCCCTTTGCTCTCTGCCCCACCACGCGGGTATTAACCACTCCCGCCCCTTCTTCAGGCGACGACTTCACCTTAGAAGACGCGTTGCCCGGTGGAGGCCACGGTGAGTCCCTCCGGTCATTCTGCCCCGTGGATCAGGGTCGCCCAGTGGGTGTGCCCTCAGAGACCTTCATCCTTTTCAAAGGGGGTACATAGGGTCGTCGTTGCTTTTGAAAAGCAGGAAGACCTATAGGGAATGCGGGCGGCGGTGTGGTTCACTGTGGAGTTTTACCCGAGTGCTCGCTTTCACTTTGGGCAACTCTGGTGGGATTGATACCGATCGCACGGCCTGGGGACCCCGCTTCTCCACGGCGCCCTGGGGACCCACACCTACGGGCGCCGGTCCCGACGGGGGCACTGAGTTTCTATTGGAGGCACGTGAATGAAACTATGGCGGCTGGAAGGCAATGGAAAGAAATGGGGCGGGGGGCCAGGCCGAGGGCACGCTGAGCAGACCCCTCTTTGGATGCTTCGCCGTCTTTGCCGAAAATCGCTCATTCTTGCAACTCTCCCCGTCTTTTGCCGACAGATGATCCCATGTATCCCGGGCCGCCGAAACCAAAACCGAATCCAAACCCCCAGCACCCCGGAACGTCGGGTAAGACCCCAGAGCTCTGCGGGTGGCCCTGCGTGGTTTTCAGAGTATAACCTTGTCCCCTCACTGGTGGTCCCTGCGCATCCCTGGGCACCACTGCCCCGATCCCTGGGGTAATTTTAGATTCAGAACCCGCGGAGGTTCTGTGCAGGGGAACTCCAGTCTTCCCCGTCTGGAGGGCGGGCTCGGAAAAGGTATTTTGGGTTTGCGTGTGGTTTTTACGGGGCAGTTGCTTATTTTACTTCTGAGCGTTTATGGGCCTTCTAAAGAACTGCATGCAAGACTTTTGTTTGTTTGTTTGTTTGTTTGTTTGTTTAATCTTCATTATTTTTTTCCCGTTACCCTCCTACACCCCTCCCCCCAGCAATCACCACCCTGTGGTCCATGTCTGTGAGTTCTTTTCCCTTTTCGCTCCATCCCTCCACCCCTCAGCCCCCCCACCCCACTAGGTGTCATCTGTTTTCCATGTATGTGTGTCTCTATTTTGCTTGTTCGTTCACTTTGTTCGTTAGACCCCACATATGGGTGAGGTCATACGGTATTTGTCTTTCTCTGCCTGCCTTATTTCTCTTACCATAATGCTCTCCAGATCCATCCGTGCTGTTGCAAAGGGTAAAATTTTCTTCTTTTTTTTTTTTTTCACGGCCAAGTAGGAGCCCACTGTGTACGTGTGCAGCAACATTTTAAATATGCAGACTTGGTACAAGAAAAAATGTCAGCTTGCTTTTTTTAATCCTTTTTGCCTTTTTTGGCACATCACAATATACTCCGAGTAACCTGGCTAACACAGTTTTTTTTTTTTTTAATTGAATGCCTGTTCAAATTTCAGATTTCAAGTGTTTTTTTCTTTATATATTTGTTTAATTTTTTAACATAGAAAAAAAACAAATACTGTTTGTCTACCACTGTTAACATTGTGATGGTTATTCTCTTCAGTATTTTATGTGGGTATTAGATAAAATGAATTAAGTAAAAATGTTAATCTTATGTATTTTGGGTCATAAAATATTTTTTGCTTATTAATAATCTATAAACATTTTTTCATATCCTTTAATAGTTTTTATCCTATAGCTTTTTAATAGCAGCTCTATGCTATTATAACTAATCTCCAAGTTTGAAAACATTCTATTTTGTTTCTTCTGAAATTTTGGAATTACGAAGTACAAAAGCAAATTTAAGCCATCTTCATGCATTGAAAACTTTTTTTCTTAAAAAAGATTCTAGAAGTGTAGCTGTGTTTAGGTCAGTATGTGTGAATTACCCCTGTAGGTTTTTTTTTTTTAAGATTTTATTTATTCATGTTTAGAGAGAGAGGAAGGGAAGGAGAAAGAGAGGGAGAGAAACATCAATGTGAGAGAGACACATGTATTAGCTGCCCCTCACATGCCCCCAACCCAGGCACGTTCTCTGACCGGGAGTTGAACCAGCGACCTTTTGGTTTGCTGGACGATGCTTAGACAACCGAGCCACGCTGTCTCTCCCAGTTTTTCTGTATTTCTGTGAATACCTTTTGTGTGCATTGTTTTTCTGTTTATTTCTGTCTGGTAGATTTTTAAAACTAGATGCTTAACGATGAACAGCCTTTTAATGTGTAATAATTTCTCTCTCATTTCTTAGTTTTCCTAACACGGTCACATCATTGCCCAATGATTGATTTGAAATGTTTCCCTTTCTTATATGTATATTTTCTTTTTACCATTTACTTGTATTTGTATCTTTACATGTTTGCTAGAAAACCCAAGACAGGTTCACCATCTGAGAGTGCAGACATCGGTCACGCCTGACTTTAGCTGACAGCTAAAGAAATATTTTTGGAAAGACCGATACTCTTTCACAGAAGTGTCTTTCCCAGTCCTCTTCACTTTTGCTTCCTAAAAAAGGAGTAATAATAGTACATGCTAGCAAATGTGTGTGGTCCGCAAAGATGGTCTTTTTTTTTCCTTTGAACCCACGAATGTGATGAGTTATGCAGAAGGATGTTTTTATAGAACATCTACGTTTGAATTCATGGATTAAACTCTGGTGAATCGTGATAGGTTTTGTGAAGCGGATGGGTTACATGTGGTGGGTGTCGACTAGGTGTTGTGGGCTGAGAAACCATTCCTAAATGCAGAGGCTGAAAGCTTTTAAAAAGTTATGGTGTTTAGGCCCTGGCTGGCGTAGCTCAGCGGTTTGAGCACGAGCTGCGAACCAAAGTGTCACAGGTTCGATTCCTAGTCAGGGCACATGCCTGGGTTGTGGGTCACGACCCCCAGCAACCTCACATCGATGTTTCTCTCTCTCTCTCTCTCTTTTTCTCCCTCCCTTCCCTCTCGAAAAAATAAATAAATAAAATCTTTAAAAAAAAGGTATGGTGTTTAATCAGCCTGGGCTGGGCTGGGCTGAGGTTAGTTTGTCTCCGGTGGGGTCACCTTGTCTGGGGTGGCCTCGGCTGGGCTGGTGGGTCCCTTCCTTGTGTGTCTGTCACACCCTGATACCACCTTTACGTGAGCTCATTCTTATGGGGCAGGAGCAACGAACCCACAGAGGCTGTTTAAAAACATTGCTTGGTGTCTCCTGTTGCTACCATCTTGTTGCCCAAAATACTGGGCTGGCCAAACACTTCCTTTGTTTTTTTTTTTCCATTCGATGGCTCTAGTAGGGCTTAGTTGTCTTCAACTTTATTCTGAACAATTTCGTTAGATTGTATTGTGACAGCTGTCTTATCAGTGTGTGCAATGTTTCAAAAAAGAAAACACACATCAAAACTGGTGAATTTGGGGGCAGCCATTCTAATACTGAAGGTGGAAGAAAATATGCAACATTGTTGGCATATCAGGGTTTATTATCTCAAGAAAGGTAAACAAGTGAAATGCAAAGAAAAGGTTTGTGCGGTGTGTGCAGCAGGTGCTGGGATGGATCGAACGCGTCAGAAGTGAGTCAGGACGTTTTGTGTGGGAGATGTCTCGCCGGACGAGAAATAGATAGTGATCCAATCAAGACATTCACTGAGAACAGTCAATGTTCTACCACGTGGGAGAAGCCAACCTACTCAGAACACCCAGATCAATCAAGTTATTGGAGGACATGGAAAACGCATCTTTTATCAAATGGAAAAAACCCAAACGGACTTTTTGGCCAGCCCAGTGAGTCTCCCGTCTGGGTCCAGAGTGGAAGGCGTGGGAAGAACCCACGATGCAGAGCGTGGAAACCACCAGTCGTAACTGAAAGGCACCTCCATGAGATCAAGCCCTTTCCGGCTGTTACGTTTATATCCATCAAAACACACGGGGAACCACTCTCCATTTCTTGAGGGGGTTCTTTTTCTGGTTTCTTAGCGCTCTTTGGGCCGAGACTGGCTTTAGGAGTCTCGCCACAGACACGGAATTCAATTGTCGTTGCCTCTTTGGAAGATGGCTTCCGTGGGGCAGGACCTTTGTGGGGTCCCCTTGGTGGGTTCTCAGGGTGTGTCTCCTTCGGTCCGAGACACCGAGACCCTGCCAGTTGTTTCCGTCTGACCGGTGACACTGTTTTTCTCTCCTAGGTGGGTTTTCAGACAGCGACCTGGGCGACCAGACGTCCGGTGGAGGTAGGGTTAGTTGCTTCTCCTCTGTCTTTGCTCTGTCAGAGCCCATGGCTCAGGGCTGTGCAGCATCGCCAAGGGTGCAAAGGCTGAGCCCCTGGATGCGTCCTTCTGAACGGATCAAGGGTGGGGACCCCACGTCCTTCCTTGTACAAGCTGGTGCCTGGCTGTTCTGTTGATGGTTAGGGGACCTTTCCTCCTTTCCCAGCCGGATGGAGCTCCCTGGGATCTACCAAGACGTGTCCCAACTGACCCATGCCCCCGTGTCCTCTGTGATTATCTCAGGTTGCTCCTGTGTTCTTTCCTGTCACGAACGAGTGTGGAAATCGTGACTCCAGAAACGGAGTGACGTGACCTTCCCAAGGGACCCTCACCACCCCGACTGCAGCTAGAAAAGCTGTTTTCTGCTTCTGTCCTTGAAATCTTAGGTCATGTTACGGTTCAGACAGTGTATAAAGTTATCAGCCAACCAATAAGGAATGATACCATCTGTTTATCATTATTAGAATGTACTTATAGGCATTTGCTATATTTATAGACTGCCTTAATATATTTTCTATATTTCCTGAGGGTCCCCAGAAATATGTCTTGCATTCCCACCTCCACAATCACAAGGGGCAGGGTCTCAGGTGGGGTCTAAGACCTTGTTCTCGATTGTCTCTGGACCCAATATAAGGGGACAGAATCCCTGAGGGACCTTCAGGTCTCGCTAGATGGTGGCTCTCCTGAAGCTCCCCTCCATGCCAGGATGCTTTGAGTCCATATTTTTTCCTTTTTGATAAAAGTGAGTGAGACAGATGACACCTTCAGCAGAGCAGGGACAACCTGCCTGACGATGGAAAGTGACTCCCTGCTCTTCAGTGCCCTGTCCCTACCGTGGCCTCTTCTCCTAAGGTCCCTTCACCACTCAAGGTCGCAGGACCTGCTCCTCGGTGTCAGTTTCTCTCCACCAAAAATCTTTGTGGTGTCATCGGTCGACCGGTTTGTCCTTCTCTTGAGCAGGAGGTGGCGGAGGCGGTGGAGGCGGTGGTGCTGGCACAGGCGGTGGCGGAGGAAACCAGCGGCATGACGGGGAGGGACAAGGTACGTCTGCCTGGTGTCTGACACCTCGGCCTTGGGTGTTCAGCAAGGCCCTGAGCGGCCAGCTGGAGCGGCCCTGCCGTCCCGCAGTGGATGCGGTCGGGTAACTGTGCCCTGCCTTCTTCCCCCAGGCGAGCCCCAGGGCGTGGTCCCTGGCATCATAGGGGCCGTGGTGGTGGCTGTGGCCGGGGCCATTTCCAGCTTTATTGCCTACCAGAAGAAGAAGCTGTGCTTCAAGGAAAACAGTAAGACGTCCACGCCTGCTTCCTTCTGTCTTGTGTGTTGCGCGTGTAAAAAACGTTCTTTCTCTAAACAATACAAAACAAAACAAAAAAACACTTAGAGACGCAGTACTCACGTGAGACCGAACCTGAGGAGGTTGGCTGATCAGTAGAATACTAGAATCAAATGGTCTCTGATCCCCCGCACCCCCGGTGGTCAGCTGTGTCCACTCGTACGTGTTACTAACTACTGCAGTCCCTGGTTGTCCACCTGTAAAAGGAGGAGGTGGTAGTCCTTCCTCCACAGAATTTCCGTGGGGGGTCGATGAGATGGTGCGTGAGCGCCTCGGTCGGTGGCCCAGCACCGAGTGAGCACGGAAGAACTCTTAGCTCTGAGGAGGTAGTCATCTTTACTTAATACTGAACATCGCCGTCATCCCCAAGGGGCTACTGCGTTTCTTCTGCACCTAATGGAATTAAGATCGAAACACAGAGCGAGTGGGTCCCTTTCCGCTGTAACCCGGCACGAGCAGGCCCTGGGGGGCGTCCTCAGGTGGAAGAGAAAAGCATCAAGGGGGAGGGGCACAATGCCGCCGTGACCGGCTCCGTGACCGGAACTCCGTCATTGGGTGTTTTCATGCCTTCTGTGCAAAAAGTTCCTGCGTGACTTTCGACTTGACCTGGTGTCTGAACGTTCTGGTTTTTTTTTAAAGGAAACCTTTTCCATTTCCAGTACTTTTTAAAAGATTTTTTAAATTTATTTTTAGAGAGGGAAGGGAGGTTAGAAAGAGAGAGAGAGAAAGAGAAACATCCATGTGCGGTTGCTGGGGGCCATGGCCTGCAACCCAGGCATGTGCCCTGACTGGGAATCGAACCTGCGATGCTTTGATTCGCAGCCCACACTCCATCCACTGAGCCACACCAGCCAGGGCGTGTTTCTTTATCAATTACATGTTCCATCCTCTCTGGCGATGCTCAGCTCAGAGCACGATGTCCGGCCGGCAGAGGGTCAGGCGGGCTCGCTAGGGAAGGAGGTGCGGGAAGATTTTCCAAAATCTTTGGGTGAAACCCAGGCAGATCCTGGAGTTACGAAGCATTTCTGCTACCTGGCCTACTGGATGTATGGAGCCTTGGGATACCGTGGCACTAGTGGGGGTATGTATATACCAAGGCACAGGGATTTGAGAAGCCCCCCAAAAGGTCTGAATAGATTTGATGTCATCCACGATTTGGAGACGGGATTCAGAAATTGGGGAAAACCAACGGTTGTCTGTCCCACCCACCCCGTCCCTGGGTATTGGTTTGGATGGGGAAGCATTTGGTCCATTGTTTTGGGGAGGGGGTGGATGGTGTTGAAAATGGACAGCTCCCCAGGTAGAAAGAGTTGCCCTTGTAATTTTGCAAAAACGAAAGCCTCTTTTCCGAAGAATTGGCTTAGGAAAGTTTGGGAGTCCACTTATGGCAGTAAGAAAGCAAGCCAAGTTTATTCCCCTAGAAAATGTTCTCTCTACAGTCTCTTGTTCTGAGGCTCAGTGAGCATCAGGCGCAACTTTGGTACTTAGTTCTTTGTAGTTTCTGTAAGACTCATGACCTGGGGCTTGTCGAAGATGCAGAGAAGAAAAAGGCAAGGTCAAGGAGAGAAGGAGGCCGCGCCTCGCGATGTCGGCGATTACTCACGCCTGTCTCCCGCTACAAGAGGTGGTGATGCCGTTAACACAAAGAAAATTAGGTGCTATTCTCCTCGACGCTGCCTAATGTAGAAGAGTGACTCTCTCTCTCTCTCTTGACTCCGTGAATGGACATTCAGGCTTTCCCACTCACCTTATACAACCAATTTAGCGTTTAGTATCAGGGACACGCTTTTACGGACAGGGAGGGAAGTAAAATGCGGAATCCAGGTGCTGGGCACGGAGCAATCCCAGGGTCTGCAGGCTGTGTGTGCAGGACCGCTTCGGGGGGTCTTTGTTCTGCGATGGCCACGTGAAGAACAAACCCCTGGGTGACCGTGACCTTGGAGATCTCCTACGAAGGACACGAGTACTGCGTGCCCTGGTGTTTAAACAGCCCGTGAGTTTGGGGAGGCCGTTATTTTACACGGGGCGCGGTTTCCCAGGACCCGGTCGCTGTGTTGAAGTGTGTGGTGTCTGCTGAGTTTGCATCAAGATGAGCCTGGGGCAAGTGGGCGGGAACAGAGCTGTTTTCTCACCGCGGAGACCCGCGGATCGGACGCCGCCCGTCTTGGCCAGTGTCTGCGTGGGAGCCTTTCTGTCAGGATGTGTTGAGGTCAAGTACAGAAAAGTGTGTGTGTCTCCAGCCCGCGAGCGTTGGTCGCTCTGTTCTTGATTCATAAAGACGTGAATTCACACACCCGAAACTTGGATCCGGGGCTCGCGGAGCTGACGCGGTCTCGGATACAGGCGTGAGGTTGCCGTGGGCCTCTGTGGTTTGGCGTGTTGGCTTCGGGTCACCGGTCCCAGCGCCCGCCGACGGGGCTCCTCACGTGCACGCTGACCGGGCCCAGCTCCTGGCTGCCGTCGCTGGGTGTGAGTGATGCCGCTCCCTGCATCTGCAGCTGGTTCCTGCCGCTCGGGGCGCGTCCACCACCGGCTTCCCTCCGGCGTCTGCTTGGGAGTGGTCTCTTGAGGCTTGGGTGGAATGGGCTACTAGAACTACCTTCCTTCCTTCTTCCCTTCCTCCCTCCCTCCCTTCCTTCCTTCCTTCCTTTCTCCCTCCTTTCCTCCCTCCCTCCCTTCCTTCCTTCCTTCCTTTCTCCCTCCTTTCCTCCCTCCCTCCCTTCCTTCCTTCCTTCCGTCCTTCCTCCCTTCCCTCCTTCCTTCCTTCCTTCCTTCCTCCCTCCCTCCCTCCCTTCCTTCCTCCCTTCCTTCCTCCTTCCTTCCTTCCTCCCTCCCTCCCTTCCTTCCTTCCTCCCTCCCTCCTTTCCTCCTTCCCTTCCTTCCTCCCTCCCTTCCTTCCTTCCTTCCTTCCCTCCATCTGTACATTACTCCTATCCATCCATTCTTCAATTCATGTTTCCTTATATCCATCCATCATCATCCATCCATCGGCCATCCATCTATCTACCATCTGTCCGTCCATCCATGTATCTATCCATCCATCATTTATCCATTCACCACCCATCCATCTACCATCCATCCATCTATCCATTGATCTGTCATTTATCCATTCACCACCACCCATCCATCTACCATCTGTCCATCCGTCCATCCATCCAACCATCATCCATCCACCATCCACCCATCTAACCATTCATCCATCTACCAGTTTTTCCATCCATCTATACATCCATCCATCCATCCATCATCCCTCCAATCCTTCCATCAAATCCTTCCCTCCTTCTTCCCTCCCTCCCCCTTTTTTATCTCCTCAATTTTGGTCTCCACTCTGACTCTATCTCCTGTGGCTCTTTGGTCTTTAGCCCTCTCTTGCTCTACCTCGGAGACAAGCTCCCGTGTTTCTAACCCTAACCCTTCCAACCGCTCCTGTCTGCCGCCCGGGGTGTTGGCCCACAGCGGGAGCCGACCTCTCAGACAGTTTACTTCCGTTCTCTCTCCTCCCCAACCTTCCCTTCCGGAGGAACCGGAGATGTAGGGAGGAGCGGCACCCGCTGGGAGGGCCGGCAGACCACCCTTCCTGTCTGGTCAGGGTGTCTGTCTCCTGAGACGCAGGGCCAAAGCGCGCCCAACCCTCCTCCCCTCCCGTGCTGGTGAACGTCTCGGCGGTCACCTGCTGCCGGACGCCCCGCCGTCCCGTGGTGTCCCTTGCTTTGTCCCTTTGTCATACCTGGACGCTTCCAGGTATTAATGCACGGGTCCCTGCTGGACGTGAAGATCCACGCCGGTATTTCCTTTCCGCGTGAAACCCCACAGACAGAAGGAAGGTGGATGGCTTCCAGGCATGAACCAAGTTCGTCGCCACAGTCGTCCTTGGCCGTGCATTTGGCCGGAGGGCAGGGGACAGCCACTGTGGTCCCTGCGTCGTCCTGGGGCCACGCTGACCGGGGTCATCGGGGCTGACCTTTCACACCACGGATGCCATTCGGACACTTGGATGCGTCGCAGCCTGTAGACTTTGATGATGGTGCATGTATCACTCCGTTTCCCGCCAAGCCGTCCCTAACTCCGTCTCTCTCTGTAATCAGCTTGTCCAGACGTGGGGATGTCTCCATGCTGGGGGGAGGGGAAGTCCATGTGTTTAGGGGCGTCCTGACGATGTCACGGCGTTGTCCTTTTAAGGCAGCCTACTCTTGCTGGCCTCAGAGAATTTTCGGGTCCGTGTGTGCCCCCATAAGCAAGAAAGCATCCCTGGGTATTCGCTCCCTCCTCACCCTCGGCCGTGTGCTTCTTGGGTGTCGAAACGCCTTTTCCTGTTTGCATCTGGGGCGGGGGGCCGGCGTGCCTTGCTGGTGACTTGGGGCGGAGGTTTTGGGGTTCGGGTGGGGGTTGTGGAGGGGGCTGGTGGGTGGAGACCCCTATAGCGGGGACCCTGTAGGCTCCCGAGTGGGTGTGGTCCCCTTCAGCAGTCCCCTGGGTGACCCTGACAGCCTGCTAGGTGTTTACAGCCCGGTTCTGGGGGCATGACACCCACGCCCCATTCAGCAGGGGGCCACGTCTGTGTGGAGTGTCTGTGGGTCTCCCAGAAGCCCACAGTGTTTGACGTAGCCTACAGGCGGACCCACGCTGGTGTGTGGTCTCCGAGTCCCCACGCGTGGTGGGCATGCACATGAGTTAGAGACACGCTGTCCCCACGCCTGCGGCTCTTGGCTGTGGCCGCCACCCACCGTCCCTGCCCACGCCCACACCCCCCGCAGAAGCGCAGGAATTGCTTGGGTTTCTTTTCACGTGTGGGCTGGGCCTCGCCGGTTCTGGGGGCTGCGGCGGGTGTCGTGGAGGGCGGCCCCCTGGGACCCTGCTGTCTCTCGGTGGGGGCAGGTGCTCGGCGTCGGGGGGGGGGTCTCCTGCTCCGAGCACAAGGCCCCCGTCCAGAGCGGTCCCACGAGCTGCAGCTGAACCTCGCCCCCACAGCTCAGAGTCCGGGGGTCTCGCCAAATGACTCTGGGGATGGAGACACATTGCGACCCGAGCCAGGGGTGCCCCGTGATTGCTTTGTTCCCCGAAACGGGCTGAGTCTGGGGGGCGTAGGTTTATCTCTGGCTCACCTGGAGGGTGGAGACCCCAGGAAGCCTCCAGCTTGTTCACCGACAAGATGCATCCGCTAAACCTGATTCTTCGGAAGGTGCCTCCACCCCCCTACCCCACCCCGGTGCTGGCGGCTGTGACACCCACGTCCTTTCACCATGCTGCCCCCTAGTGGTTATTCAGAGGCCAGCGCAGGACACAGCGCTTTTGCTTGCTGCAAATGAACGTTCACCCACAATGCATGCAATGTTGCTCTTGCCGTACTAGATCCTACGGGATTTTTTTCCTTTTGTCGTCTAAAACGTGTCCAGATCTGATTGACCGTCCTGTCAGAATCTCTGGGCTGTGTAGCCACTCACGTTTTATTTTGGTAGACACCAGTGGTGTGCTGTGTGACGAAAGCCCATCGGTGGATGAGTGGATGGAAAAGCTGTGCGACATTGGCGAGGTGGAATACTACGCAGCCCCGAAAAAGGAAAGGAATCCCACCGTTTGCGACAGTAGGGATGCACCTGGGGGGCATGGTGCTCAGTGGCATGAGGCGCTCAGACCAAGACAAGTGCCACGCGATTTCCCTCCTGTAAGGAATGCAATGAATAAGATAAAGTGAGAAATAAAATACAGGCTGATTCATAGGGACGGAGAAGAGACTGCCAGCTGTCAGAGGGGAGGGGGTTACGGGGGCTGGGTGACAAAGATGAGGGGATGGAGTAAGAAAAAGTAATAATAAACGCGTAGACACAGACGACAGTGTGGTGACGGCCGGAGGGGAGGGGTGGGGAGGAAGAAGGGGGTGAAAAGGAGACTTGGCTTGGGGAGTTGAACGTACAGATGCAGTGTTACGGAACTGTACCCCTGAAATCGATGTAACCTTATGAACCCATGCCACCCCAGGAAGTCCAATAAACACGTTTTGAACACGAAACATTCCAGACTCCAGGCAGTGTGTTGTGAAACCCGGCGGGTGCTGGCCGCCCGCTGGCCGCCCGCTGGCCGCCCGCCCCACCAGACAACGCCGGGGCCCCGCGGTCCTCGGCGTCCCCTCCGCTTTGGGTCCGCTTCCTCCTTGTGAGAATCGCAGGCGTCCGGTGTCTGACACGGGGGTCGCTGGTGGCTGGGGGAGGGTGCCTGTGTCCCGGCCTCCTTTCCGACACGCCATGGCGTGTTCTTCGGTGACTTGGATGCAAAGTTGCGTGTCTGTTGGCGGAGGTGTTCTCAGCGCCGATGTCCCTGTTTCCGTGAGCTTGCGGTTTGGTGCCCGGGACACGGATTCTCACGGATTCTCACGGATCCAATGCCTTTGTCCGGGTCTCTCTTCCCGTGGGAAGTGCCTTGCTTGTTGTGTCGTCCCGTGCACAAAAGAACTGCGAACGTCTCCTTGCCGTCGGGTTGATGACCTCAGGCTGTGCACCTTGGGGACCACGTGGGGGCGCAAGGTCGTGGCTGTGTTGCTGTGTGTTTGCAAAATTCTGGAAATAAAAAAAAAATAGATTCCAGTCATACGTGATAGTAAGGAATTGGGGTTTGTTTTCTTACGTGTGGAACGCCGTGATACCGTTCTGATGTTTAAGCAGCCCTGCCAGAGAACTTGTTTGTTCTGCATTTTTAAAAAACGGTTTTAAAGATACGTGAAGGAAATGTGGCAAAATGTAAGGAACCACAAAATCTAGGCGGTTGGAATAGAAGTTTGTTTTACCATTCTTTCTACGTTTCTGTTGGTTGAAAATGTTTCCTAGTCAAGAGTCAAAACATGCAAAGACTTCAGACCTTGTGGGCAAGAATCCCCATTTTAGAAATGCACGTTAGGGAAACACTCATTCTCACAAAAGATGTGTTGGTAGAGGTCTTCATGTCGCCATAATTTCCACGACACACTGTTAGGAACAATCCAAACATGCAGAACGAAGCAAAAATGTGTTAACACACTATGGCACTTGCCTGTCATAGAATAACATTCAACTATTAGAAATGTCAGGTTAAAGAAGCAAGATACAAAATACAGGCAGCATAATTTTTTTTTTTGTAAAAAAAAATAAGCACATTCCTAGAAAAGAGACTGGAATGATCTCTGTCAGAATGTTAAGGGCAGTTAGTTCCATTTTCTTTTCTGTAACTTTTCATGTTTCCCTGATTATATACAATACACAGGTATTCTATACCTGTTCATGGCACAAAGATACTTTTTTAAAAAAAGATTTTATTTATTTATTTTTAGAGAGGGAAGGGAGGGAGAAAGAGAGAGAGAGAAACATCCATGTGCGGTCGGTTGCTGGGGGCCGTGGCCTGCAACCCAGGCATGTGCCCTGACTGGGAATCGAACCTGCGACGCTTTGGTTCGCAGCCCACGCTCAATCCACTGAGCTACACCAGCCAGGGCTGCACAAAGATACTTTTCATATCAGCAAAACATGTCGTCCTAATCATTACGGAAATAAAGGCCTGTGCTGTTTTCTTTAAAAAAAAAAAAAAAAGTCAGGCGCAGGCAGGCAGCCCCCGGAGCCGCATGCCGCCTCCCGCTGGGGTTGGGGGGTTGGGGGGAAGGGGCGGGGCCCGCCGAGCGCGGGGACGGTATGAGGGGGGGTCTTCTGCGTGCTCACCGGGGGGCTGTTGTGCTCTGCTTTGCAGCGGACCAGACCGACATCCAAATGGAGACCAATCCGACCATGAACACAGAGCCGCTCGGTGAGAAGGGGGGCGCTGCGCTGGCCCGCGGCCGGTTCGGGGTGTCGCTGTACCTCTCCAAGCGGCGTCCGGTCGTGCTGTCTTGCCCCCCCCCCCCCACCCTGTTCCAACCCCCCTGTGTGACACTTTCTCTGTCACTCCTTTTGCGGGGATGTGCTCGGGAGGGAGGTGACGTTTCAACTTCCCTGCGCTTGAGGCTGCAGACACTTGAAAAAAAAAAATACCCCGGGGTGGCGATCATATTCCCAGTGGCGCCCCCTGGCGACACGGCCGGGGAGCCAGCCAGCAGCCAAGGGCGTCTTCTGAGATACCGCATTGCGCCCCCTTGCCGAGGCCCCTTGGACGGAATTGTCTCTCTCTCGGGGGGTGCAGAGTGGGGTCACGAGGAGATGGTTTCAATGGTGGGAACCTCTTGGGGCGAAAGGCCCGTGTTTGGAGATTCGGACCCCTTTTGAAAACGGCAAAGAGAAAGAAAGCGTGCGTCCACCTATAGTAGGACGACAACTGTGTCGAATGAAATTTTAAAGTAGTCCGCCTTCTAAAAATAGAGACCTTGAGGAAGTTCGTGTTTACTTCAGGGCTACTTCCAACCCCCCGGGGTGTGGGGGGGGGGAATATTTAAAAGGAACTCTGGGTGCTGTGGTCTGGAAAGCACCACAAATGCAACAGAGACTTCTCCCTCTCCAAGGAGCTGATGAGAAACGTGCAGCCACAAATTACTGTGAAAATAACAGCAACAGCAAAAATCAGGGACCCTTGTCCGGCAATTATCGAGCCTGAAATTGGGGAGCTTACAAAGGTGTCCCACTGTCTGAGAGAAGTGGCGAGGACAGCATGCTTTCTCTCCCTTTCCTTGTCCTTTCCCTGAAGGGGTTATTGTGTCTTTGGCTACAATTGTATCAACCTAGTACCCAGCCACAGAGGTCACGGATGCTTGTCGCTGCCCGTGAGCGGTTATGAGCCCCTTTATCTCAGACGGGCAGAGTCTCCAGCTTGGAAGCAGCAGATCCTCGTGGGTGGGGCGGGGCGGGGGGCGGGGGGGGGGCTGGGAACGCCGTGTTGACGTGTCTTTTCTCGTCTCTTTGTCCTCGGCAGTTCAAGAGACGGTCATCGGGAAGTAGGAGGCGGCCAGCGCACTGAACTTGGAGGTCGCACCGGGACTAGGGGGGTTTGGATGCGGCGCCTCCAACGATGGGGCGGGGCGGGGCGGGGCGGCGCCGGCCCGGGCAGCCTGCCGGGAACCAGCGCCCCCTGCACCAGCGCCCCCTGCAGGGCCCCACCTGCACCAGCCTCGTCTCGCCCCGCCCCCTGCTCACCTTGGATCCTGGGGTCCACATCTCAGAAGTGGCTCGCCTGTCGCTGTGCTGGCTCAATGCCGGGGACCCACCAGGAGTCCGACATCCGGGAGGGGAAAATTTCCCACGCCTTCTCCCAAGGCCCTCCAGGGTCCCCACGGGATGGGACCGACTGTCCACCGAGAAGCCCCCCCGCCCCCCCGGGCGCCATTCCGGTTTCGGAAGCCCCGCGCCACGGACGCACTGAATGTTCACCGGACACGCGGGAAACTTCCCCAGCAACTGGCCTTTCATACACCGTGAGAGGACCCTGCAGTCCGCTTCCTCAAAATTTCGTGTCTGGGGATTTTTTTTTTTTCACGGCAGGCGAATAAAAAGGAATTAGAAACCACGTACTTTTTCCTGAAATAATTTTGCCCCCCCCCCGGGGGCGACTTGTAAAGAAGGCTCCAGAACCCAGGGGGATGGACCCCGAGGTGAGTGACGGCTGGGGCTGTGAGACGAGGGGTCAGCCTGAGTCCTGGCTCACAATCGCGAGGTTTTTCTCTTTGCCCTGTTCTCAGATACTCCCCGATATGCACATATCCCCTGCACCCAGATACTCCCCTGCATTGAGATACTCCCCCGCATGCCAATACTCCATGCAGACACTCCTCTGCATTCCGATATTCCTTCTGCATTCCGCTACCTTCTTGCACTGAGGTACTCCCTGCACCCAGATACTCCATGGCATCCAGATACTCCACCCGCGTGCAGATACTCCATGCAGACAGTCCTCTGCATTCCGATATTCCTTCTGCATTCCGCTACCTTCTTGCACTGAGATACCTCCTGCACCCAGACACTCCCTGCACTCAGACACTCCACCTGCATGCAGGTACCCCCGGGCATGGAGCTACTTCTCTGCATTGAGATGCTCCCCCTGCGTGCAGATACTCCATGCAGATACTCCTCTGCATTCAGAGATTCCTTCTGCATTCCGCTACCTTCTTGCACTGAGGTACTCCCTGCACCCAGATACTCCACCTGCATTCAGATACTCCCCCTGCATGCAGGTACCCCCTCCCCCCAGCATTGAGATACACCCCTCCTCCTAGGAGGGCCAAGGTCGGCACCAGCTTTACGAAATGCTGTGAGTGCGTTGGTGCCAGAGATCTCATTCTGAGTGAGGGGCAAAACAGCTTTATGCCAGAAACACCCCCTTGTCCACGCCCCGATGCCGTGGGAGGAACCCCAGGCACTCACTTTCTCCTCGCTGTGAACAATGATGTTGCCACGGCCGGAGACATTTCCCCGTGTGAGGCCACCTGCACCCACAGGGCCTGGCACGGGCTTACTCTACAGGACTGCGTGGAGGGGACTGTGCGTGATGTTTTGTGCGTATCTCCTGAAGTGTGGGAGCCCCAGTGTCTGGAAAGGTGTGGACGTCCTTGACCTGTTTTTGTCCCCTGGAGAGTGAGGGCGTCTTCCTAAACCCGTCAGGGCCACTGCTGGTCATCAGAGCCAAGCCTCAGGCGCCTGTGTCCCTGTCCGAGGGTTCGGTGTTGGAGCAGCCACCGTCCGCAGCCAGAGGTGGGGAAAGGGCCGGGCCACCGTTGCGTGAGGGTCTTGCCCACGTTGGAACTTGTCAACTCTGCCCCTGGTGGCCTGCGGAGCGGGCTCCTGAGGCGGCCACCCGCCCTCCTGCTGAGGATGCCCCGTGCCCCGCCCCCCCTGTAGCCCCCCCCAGCCCCTGCTCCCCTCTTCCTGGTCTAAAACCTCCGAGAGCTTCCTTGTCAGGACTGGTGTCTGGCTACGGGGAATCTCAGTCCCTTTTCTGCCTCTGACACCGAGATAACTTCTCGGCATCAAAAGTAGGGTGTAAAAAAGTGATCAAGCACCCCCCCCGCCCGGGGATCTTCTGCGGCCATGCAGATACCTGCTCGGTGCCCCTGGGTTCAGGTGTGTGCAGCTGGCGCTGGGACCTTCTTCTGGATGCCCAGGGAGGGGACACCTGCATCACCCATATGCATTCTCAGTGAGCCAGAGGCCGGGCCAACCCGTCCCCCAGAGCTCAGGTTAGCTGAGGAGCCCAGGACCCTTTGCCGAGGGACCGGTTACCACCTGCCTTATAAAGGCGGCAAAGACCATGCACCTGCCTCCCCGATCAGCCATCGACGGCCTTTGCGGTCCCACTGTGCGCGCCGACGGGCTTTGTCCATGGTACTTACACCTGCGTGTTTTTGTTGCCCGGAATAACACTGACTTTTGTAAGCGCATTAATGGTATGCAGTGAGTGTACGTGTCTCGTGGAGAGAAGGTGATTGTGGAAGGGTGGGTATTTTTTTTAAAAAGGACTTGCATTTTTGCCATATATCATACGCACTGGGTTTGCCCAAATTTTCGAGAGAAAAATGACGATGCACGTGATACACGGGTGTTACTCATTCTGTATCGATATCCATGTTTTTAATTCTTTTATGTATGTTTAGGCGTTAAAAGTGTAACTGTGGAAAGCAATAATGATATCTCTGTGTGCAAAACAATACCTTGGAATATGAGCATTGGTTTTGTTTCCAAATATAAATCAATAAAAAAATTGAATTCAAAGGTTGAAACGTATGTTGTTGTTTTTTTTTTCCCTGAAAGTTTGGGCCAAAAACGTGGGTGCACATTGTCCATGGCAAAATAACAGTGTGTGGAATTATGCCTCCTAAATAACTCCGTACATTTAAGAAACATGTCTGCTAGGCTAGCTTTTTGTGGAGTGTGTTATGTCCATTTTCCTTGAGTCATTGTAATTTCACATTATGTAAAAATACACATGACTTTATCAAACATGGACCTTCTGTAAAATGCTGTTTCAATTAAGTGGTTTGTTGCATCATTGAATAGTTTGGCGCAAAAAAAAAAAGAATGTTTGGTTTCATCCCTTTGCGCTCTTGGCAAAGAAATCCCAGAGCAGTGGATTTTGTAATCAGGATAAAAAAGTTATGTAAGCGTGGAGGGGTGAGAGTGACATAGCAGAAGTTTTTTTTTAAAGATTTATTTTATTTTATTTTTAGAGAGGGAAGGGAGGGAGAAAGAGAGAGAGAGAAACACCCATGTGCGGTTGCTGGGGGCCGTGGCCTGCAAGCCAGGCATGTGCCCTGGCTGGGAATCAAACCTGCGATACTTTGGTTCGCAGCCCATGCTGAATCCACTGAGCTACGCCAGCCAGGGCTAATAGCACAAGTTTTGTTACAAGTCTGGGTCCTAATGTCCTGAACCAACCCCCGTGAGCTGTGGTCACGGCTTTTTGCTCTCAAGAAAATGCTACAACGTATATCTTTGTACGCATGGAACTTTGCCAGTAAACGCCTGCGTCCCAGCAATGCCTCACGTCGTATTTGTTACGCAAAAGGGTGTGTGGGTGTTTAATTTTCAGCAGCCCCAATTATATGCTGATCTGTTTCCTGGGACCCCTGCAAGTTTTCTGGTCGTTGCCAATCTGTGTGTTGAAATGCCGTGTTCGATGGATTATTTTACATCGCATTTGTCTTACCAGGAGTGAGACGGAGAATCTCCGTGGGCAAAATCTATTGGTGTTCTTTTTTCCTGGAGAAGTTCTCAGAGTAGGGCCCTTTGCCCATTTGTAGCTGTGTCATCGCTCCTTTTCTTATTGATGTGTTGGAACAATTTACATATGAAGGGTAGTGCCACGAGACTGTGAACTAGGGAGCAAGCATGCTTTTTCCTTAGTCTCTGGGGTTTTGAACGGGTGTTTTGCCCATTCTGGTCTTTGGTATTTTTATGTCGTGAAATCAGTTACTGTCCTACTGAGAAAAACCATCGATCATTCTGACATTATTGTTTTACATAAAAAATGTCCCTTTATTGAACATGAGCACTTCTGAGTGTAAATTGTAGTTTATAATGTGCCCTTTTTGGATATGATTCTATTTGAAACATGAAGACATTTTCCTTTCCTCTCCATTTTTTAAATTTCGCGTTTCAGTGACAGTTTACATCCCAAATTAGTGTGGTATTAGTTTTGGGTGTATGGCATAGACAAGTGAATGAAAAAGCTGTGTGTGTATATAACTATTATCATATTAAGTTATATATTTATTCACATAGAAATAACATAGCAATAATTATATTGCATTAGATGATATATTTATTAATTATTGGTATACAATATATTAATAATTATATAGTATTAACTTATATATTTTTATATGTACACACTGTATATATACACAGTGAATAAAAAAGCTGCATTCTGAGTGTATAAATAATATATATACACACACATAAAGGAATATTACTCACTCATAAAAAAGAACAAAACCCTCACCATTTGCAATAGCATGGCTGTACCTAGAGGGCATTATGCTCAGGGAAATGAGCCAGAGAAAGCAAACACCATATAATCTCACTGACGTGTGGAATCTAAAAAAGCAAAAATAAACACACTACCATTGTTATTTTTAAAGAAACTCCTATTGCTCATGGTTTTATTCTTTTACATTAAGACATGTGATGCCACAGGCACTCGTATTTGCCCAGGCGCTGAGGAAGAGATTCCCCTGAATGTATAATTCTCCCCACCACTCCCTGACTGGGATAATCCCATTATTCCCAAACCACTCCTTGAATAATCCAGGTTCTCCCCACTGGCACAAACTGCAACTTACCGTATTTTGCCGTGTATAATGTGCACCCTTTTGCCCAAAGTTTTGAGGGAAAAACTAAGGATGAGCCTCGTCCGTGGGTATAATGATTAGATACCACGGGTATCGTGAGCGTAAATAATCCTGCGTGTGACGGGCACAGAAATAAACTCGCATTCCATCCATATCCATCACTCTAGGAGGAACCACATCGTACACGGTCAAATACGGTATATCAGCCAACACAAGACACTCTAGGTGCCAGAAAAAGTCAGAAGCCACTGTGACTCATTTCTCCTTCCGGCTCCCCCTGGCCTCTGTGCCGCTTTTCTGGGGAGTCAGAAACTCTTTCTCAACTGGGAGCTATTTTTTTTTCCTCTTTCCCCGGGCAGGGACCCCCTTTCTCAGAAGGTTTCACAGCCTTTGACAAAGGCGGGACCTTCCAGCCTTCCCCATGGCTTCGAGGCAGGGCGTTGGGGAGGGTGGATCGATGAGCGTATTTGGATTAATCGGGCGCAAGATGCATCAGATACGTGAAGGCAAAAGAAAAAAAGGAAAAAAAGGAAAGGAAGAAACTTGGACTCAGTCCCCAGGCTGGACGGCATCTCCAGGGAGACTTCCAAAGGAAGATACAAACGGTGTGCTCGTTACACGCCATGCTTGCGATTTCGATCTTGCAGGCTCAGGGCTTTTTATTTTTTTTTTTTATTTTTTAATTTTTTTCCCGTGGGACGGAACCCAAGTGAAACCACACAGCAAAGAGTGTTGCCAGGTCCGGCCGAGCGGTGGCGCTGTTTTGTGAGCGCTGCGCCGGTTCTTTATTCCAAATGACCGCTGGGGTCGCCTGCCCCGCAGCCGAGGGGTTGGGGGGGCGGGGGGCGGTGCGGCCAGGACACGGGCTACAATTTTCGTGCAGGCCCGCGTGTGGGGGAGGAGTGGTTGACGCATCCGGGAGGAATTCCGGGCGGCTCCTACCCTTGTCCAAATACACAGTTTCGTCCTCAAGCTACTCTTGTTTGCACGGGGAAAAGAAAAACTCGTAAAAGTTTCTGTGTGTGTGTGTAATTCTGTGCAAGTGTACTGATTAACACGCTGTAGCTTTTATGTCTCGGCATGTGGGGGCTGCGGTGGGGAAGGCTTACTTCTGTGATGGAAGAGAAATGTGTTTGGTGTCTTGATGTCCTTGTTTGTTTGTTTGTTTTTTGTTTTTTTTTGGTTATTCTTGTTTCAAAATAATAATAATAAAAAAGAGCTCTAATAGGCTCTTGTTGCCACAGTAACAAATGGCCACAAACCAGGTAGGTAGCTTCAAACTGCAAATGTGTGTAACATCCTGTCCCCAGGTGTCTGAGGTCTAGGTTTCTGAGGTCACCCAGGGGGTCCCAGGGCTGTGCTCCCCCCACAGGCTGCAGGGAGGGTCCTTCCTGCCCCTTCCAGCTCCTGGGGCTCCAGGCGTCCCCGGGCTGGTGGCCACATCCCTCCCGCCTCTGCCTCCGTCTCCACGTGGCTTCTCCCCCGTGTCTGCATATCCCCTTCTGTCCCTTTTCAGGACACTGTCACTGCACGCAGGGCCACCCTGACCCAGGACGGCCTCCTCTCAGACCCTGCACTCAACCCCCGTTTGCAAATAACGCCCCGTTCTGAGGTCCTGGACGTTAGGACCGCGCCCTCTCTTTGTAGAGGGGACCCACCCACCCCCAAACGGCCAAGTTGCATAGCACCTGGGAGTGAGCTTGGTAGCACCCGCAACCCTGGGGCCTCCCACAGATCCGTACCCGCCCCACGGTTCTCGAGGAAAGGAACTGGAGTGTTTTCCAAGCAGGCGCCCCCTTGAGGCCCCTGGACCGGGTCCTGGTGCCAAACGCTGGCCCACACTCCGGCCTTCCCGTTTCCCGTCTTCACCCCTCCCCCACCCCTGCAGCCCTCTTGGCCCCAAGCCCGCACGCCCCTGGTCGTCTCCACTGCCTGCACCCACTCTGGGGGTCCAGGTGTCCCTGGGCTGCTGGCTTCCTCCCTTCCTCTTTTTCTCAGTGACCTCCTTCCCCTTTTCTGCCCCGTGGAACGCAGCAACGGATTCTGAGAGCCGCCTGCGGGTGACCCACCTGCACCAGCGCAGCGGCCAGGCGGTGAGCCCGGATTCCGGGTGCCCGGATTTCCATCGGAGCGGGGTGCGGACGTCTCCCCAGATCCCCGAGGCCCCCAGGGGCCAGGGTGACGTTCTGAAAGGGCCGGCGTCTGGCCGTTTGCAGAAGGCCAGGGTCACGCTGGGTCTGGGTGGCGCCCTTGCGCGGACCCCACAGGACGCCCGGGTGTCGCCCCCTAGCGGGACTCCGGGGAAGCTCCGAGGGCGGTGCACGCCGAGCTCAGGGTGGAGACCTTCGCTCCTGCACCTCCTCCCGCGCCCACGGGGAGCCCAGCCAGCGAGAGGGCGGGCCCACGGGCGCTCGAGAGGGGAACGCCTGCTTGTGCATCATCCCGAGGGTGGGCCGTCGAGGCTCCGGGAGGCCCGACGGGAGAGAGAGAGAGAGAGGTGGAGCGTGCTCGCTGTGGTCCCGCGGCTCCCGGGTCCGGGGTTCCGGCCTCAGAGGGGCAAGCCCGTGGGATGCGGACCCCAGGACTCTAGCGGGCCTCATCCTCTCCGTGTGAGGAAACCCTCCCTCGCTTCCTTCCTTCCTCACGGGGGAGCCAAAAGACAGCAGACAGCGGCACGTGCCGGCGGCGGCGGAGCAGGGGGGCGCTCGTTCCACAAGTCCCTTGGCCGTGTCGGTGGGGGCGCACCGGCGCGTCCGCCCTCCGGAGGCGGCGAGCCATGGAAACGCAGTGGGGCCTCTTCTGGGTCAGCGCGGTGTGCTTGCTGGTGCACGCCCGAGGTAAGTAAGAGGCGCGTCGTGCCCACCGAGAGCGGTGTGCGGGTGGGGGTGCCTGCCTGCGGGTGGCTCGAAAAACTCCTGGGACAGGAGCCAGGTTTACGAAGCAGACCCCAGAGGGGCGGCTGGCAGGGGGCAGGGGGCAGGGCGCAGGGCGCAGGGCGCAGGGGACAGCCACCCCAGCGGCGGCAGCAGCAGCAGCAGCGTGGGGGCCCGCAGAAACTGAAACTGGAGACGCAGGATGTGGGCTGCTGTCTCCCCGAGGACCCTGGAAGCCAAGCACTGTTTTCTGGCTTAGAGGAGGGCGTGCCCCCTCCCCCCCTTTGCAAAGGGCGTTTCCTGCGAGAGGCCCTGTGGGCAGGATGCACTGTGTGTTCGGGGTTGTCTACATTCCCTTGGGCTGATTAAACACGCTAGAGCTGATGGTTGTCGTGGAGGCCAAAAAAAAAAAAAATAATTAAAAGAAAAAAGAAAAAAAAAGTGCAGTGGAAACACAACTCGCTTTTGCAGCGGACAGCTCCCCGGAGACAGGGTTGGTCCAAAAGGCGGTCTGCTTACGTGTGGAAGCTTTTTCAGCAGAGTCACGGCTCCTGGTTGTCCGTGTAAAACTTCTGAGCTGTTTACGCGCCCCAGGCCACACCCATGCATGGGCCACGCCGGGCCGGGCCGTGGGTCTGGCAGGACGTCGGATGGCTGGAGGACGGCGGGGAGCTAGTTTAGGCACTCTCACGTACTTGGGTGGGAGTGGAGCAGCTATCCCGCAAGCGCTCTGTTGCTGCTGTTGCTGGTTCTCTCGCTATTCCAACGCCGGCAAAGGCGGTCAAGGGGGGGTGGGGGGGGGACTTCAGAGAGGGCGGTTGGTTAGGGACTGAAACACGGCATCCACACCTCCAAAGGATTGGGTCATTTCCTGTTTACCCCGTGCTGAGGGGTAAGGAGTTGCTGGTTCAGGGACAGAGGTGGCAGTAGGGGGTGTGACGGGCAGGGGCCACAGACCCCCACCCCCTCTCCGCCCAGACCCTCCCCCCACCCCCCTTAGCATGCACGTCTCTGCGGGCACGCGCTAGTCCCTAAATGTACAAAAGCAGAAGCGAGAAGGTGGCTTGGGGACTCGCCCAGAGAAAGCAGGATGCCGGCACACCCAGCCACACAATAGCACGTGCCAGAGTGTCACCCCCGCCGCCTGCGTGTTGCCACGAGACCCCGGGGGTTTCCTGCACCCCACAGGCAGGGGCACCCCCACAATGCACAGTGTGTTCCACCCTTTGGGACCCTTTGGGCGGCGGGTTCTTGGAGGTCTGCACAGCTTCATTTTTTTAAAAGATTTTATTTATTTATTTTTAGAGAGGGAAGGGAGAGAGAAAGAGAGAGAGAGAGGAACATCCATGTGCGGTTGCTGGGGGTTGTGGCCTGCAACCCAGGCATGTGCCCTGGCTGGGAATTGAACCTGCGACGCTTTGGTTCGCAGCCCGCGCTCCACCCACTGAGCTACGCCAGCCAGGGCTACGCCTTCACCTTAAACCTGGGGGGACTTTGTGCGTCCTTAGCAGGCGTTTACCGAGGGAAAGATGGAGGATCCTGCCGTGGCAGCTGTCCCAAGTTGGTCTTTTTTTTTTCTCTCTCTCTTTTTAAGTGCTTATGGATTTTAGAGGAAAAAAAGGGAGGGAGACAGGGAGAGGGAGGAATAGTGATATGAAACGGGAACATTGATTGGTCGCTTGCCATAGGTGCCCTGACCGGGAATCGAACCTGCGGCCTTCTGGGTCACAGGACAGTGCTCCTCTGACCGCCCGAGCCACCCGCCCAGGCTGGACCCCCTCTTCTCACTGTGCTGCCTCACGCCGCCCGCCCGAGTCCGACCTGCAGGGCATTTCTGTTGGCAAGAGGGCAAAGGAGTCGCCCTGCTCCAGCCCCATCCACGCTCTGTCCACAGCCCCGTGGGGTTCTCCCGGCCGTGGCCGGGAGTGGAAGCCCCTTCTCTCCGTGCGTCCTGGGGTCGTGTGGCGGGGTGCTCCGAAGGAACCCCATGGGCACTCACCGAACATTCTCAGACCCCATGCAGGCAGGTCCCCTAGGGCATGCTACCCAAGGCCGCCTCCCCTCCTGTTTCGGGGAGGGGTGGGGAGAAGCAGTCTGGGGGTCTTCCCTGCCATGCTCCCATTCTTACGGGGGTGAGAACCTCCCGGACCCTGGACGGCTCGGGCAGCCGGGTAGAATTCCGCACCCCCCCCCACTGTGAACTTCCAGAGCGGGGTCCCAGGCCAGCAGCACCCACACCCCGGGCAGCTGGGAGCACAGGCAGGCGGCCCCGCCCAGACCTGTTCCGCCCGAATCCTCCCGGTGGCCGCATTCCAGGATGATTGGCAGGTCGGGGCGGCCTTGGAGGGTTTGACAGGCGCCCAGGCTGGAGCCCTGGGGCTGGTGGGACTGTGTGTGGGTGCGGGGAGGGGGCGGTGAGCTGTCCTCAAAGAGCTGCTTCTTTCCTTCCCAGCCCCCACTCTGGGGCTGGCACTGCCTCCCCAACTCCACCCGGGTGTCTAACTCGGTCTTCCTTGGGGGAAGGCCAGCAACCTGCTGATGTCTAAGTCTGTTATCACTGGAGCTGCCGCCCCCGCTCCTAGGCTGATATCTGATACCGTAACCCTGAGGACCTCAGGATGGGGCTGTGTAAGGAGATAAGGCCTTGGAGGAGGCGATGATGGTGACCTGAGGTCCCTAGGGTGGCTGTGATCCCGCAGGACTGGGGTCCTTATAAAAAGAGGAGCTGGGGACACAGACACCCCCCAGAGGGACGCCCGTGGGAGGACACAGGGGGAAGATGGCCGTCCACACGCCCAGGACAGAGAGAGGTCTCAGGGGGAGCCAGCCCTGCCCGCCCCTGGGTGTCAGCCTCCAGCCTCCAGGACGGGGAGGGAGAAACGTCCCGTGAGCTGCCCCGGTCTGTGGGGCCGTGTCACGGTGGACCGAGCAAATGCAGCCCAAGTCCTTGTCCCTCCAAGTGACGTGGGTGCGTGCGTCTCGTAGATGCTGTGAGAAGGGCCGCCCCTTGGGCCCCAGGAGACTGTGCATGTCAGCGACCGAGGGTCAGCCACAGGCCCGGGGACCCCTGGGCCCGGGCCCTTTCGGGGGAGGCGGCTTTAGGATACACCGTCCCATCACACTTCACGGGGGGTGGGGGGGGCACTCAGCCGAGTTCCTCTCCTGTGTGCCCTTCACGACAGACGTCTTTGCCCTTCACGACGAGTGATGGCTTCTCACTGCGCCGTTTGAGTGCGTCCTTGTCTTCCTGGAGAGGCTGCTGGTGCAGAGGGTTTAGATCTGAAACGCCGCGACCAGGCTGTGTGGGGCGGGACCCCAGGGCGGGGGACAACTAGGCGGGCCTTCTGGGGTGCCGCCCGCCTGCCCGCCTGCCCGCCCGCCCGCCCGCCCGCCCGCGGGGAGGAGGTCGCTGGAGGCAGGAAGGAAGCGTGGGCCCCAGGGGTGAACCCAGGTCTCTGCTGAGGATCCTTCCCCATCCTCCCGAAGAGGAAAACCCCCTGGTAGACCCCAGGGCTGAGGGGGTTAGTCCCAAGGCCGCTCCGCGTGGGGTGGGGGGGTTTAGTGAGGCCGCAGTGGCGAGGAGGGCGCACCCACCCACCCCGCCAGGCGCCGAGTCCCCCCGCTGGCCTCCCGCTCACACTCTCCGGCACCTAAGGCGGGCGGCTGGTTTTCCCGGCCCTTGGGGGTCGCGCTGTGCTGGCAGGAAGCTACTGTGCATGCGTGCTGGGCATTGTCTTTTTAATTCTTGAGTCACACTCCAGAGGGAACATGAAGATCTGCCCTAGAAACAGTCCCGACATGTCTCCGAGGAAGCCCCGGCGTCCTCTGCGGACAAGCTCAGGAGCCCGCGAGTCCCCGTGGTGGACGCGCACGACCCGGATGCCTCAGCGGCGCCTCAGCCGGGGTTTCCATGTAGCCGCCCTTTTGGGGAAAGAACGGAAATCCTCCTTAGGGACAGGACGAGGAGCAGGGCTTTGCACTTGTTGAGTAAATCTCTTTTGCGACCTGCTGAAAAAAAAAAAAAAAAGCCCTGGCTGGCGTGGCTCAGTGGATGGAGCGCGGGCTGCGAACCAAAGTGTCGCAGGTTCGATTCCCAGTCAGGGCACATGCCTGGGTTGCAGGCCATGACCCCCAGCAACCGCACATGGATGTTTCTCTCTCTCTCTCTCTCTCTCTCTCTCTCTCTCTCTCTTTCTGCCTCCCTTCCCTCTCTAAAAATAAATAAATAAAATCTTTAAAAAAAAAAGGGAAGTTGAACTCTGGGCGGGGGGAGGGACAAAAGACGGTTGTCATACAGGACAGGTGTCACCGAAGGGCTGACAGACTCGGAGAGCCTGTCTGTGTCCCCAGGAATGTGGCATGCCCCCGGGGGGACGGGACTTGCTCAGCGGGGTGGGGATTCCACTGTCAGTGGCGGGCCGGGGCTCAGGCCTCTGAGTGGTGACGGAGCTGGGGTGCTCCCTCCCCAGAGTTGGGCTGGGGCTGCCTGAGTCCTTCAGACCCAGAGTCGTGCACTGAGGACTCTCCGGGAGCTGGGAGGGAGCTGGGGCTGGTTTGCCTGGTCTGCGGGTCACCGAGCCGCTGTGAGACAAACCTCCGTGTTGGACGGTGGTTATTATTGTTATTATCATTATTATTAGTGGAAGAACAGGCCTGGGCTGTGCTCTGGACCATGCCCACGGGTCCTACTCCCTGAGGGGTGTGAGCGCAAGTCCGGAAAAGGAGAGAATGTGTCCGGGTATTCACCCTGGCAGACGGTTTTCTCTCAAACGTCCCCAGGATCCGCATTCCCCCCGGGGGAGCTAGCGAGAGGGTGTGGCCTGTATCACCGGCCTCCCGCCCCCAGCTGCGCCCCTTCCAGCCCACGCGGGCGGACTGTCCCCGGGGTGAATGACCAAAGTGGTTTTTTTTGGTTGCTCGCTGGGTGGGTTGGTTGCATCTTTCATGGGTGCAGTTACACTGGGAGGGTGCTCCGCGATAACCCTGGGCATGTCTGTGACCGTGAGTGAGCCTCAGATGGCCGCCGGCCTCTGGGACCTTTAACACAGTGCTGCACTGGGCCGGTGGGAGATCCCCTTTCTGGACAGGAAGGTCATCTGCTCGGGTGTTTTTAGGGTGCTCTCTGGTGTTTTTCGCATGCCAGCGGCCAGATGGTTAGTCACAAGTGAGCTCCAGTGTGTCACCTGGCACAGAATGTCCGCATGGTGATCGTATCCTAAAGAACTGCTTGTTAGAAATCGTGCCAAGTTTCCGTGGTCATGTGCTCTGGCGGCGGGGGCGGGGGTGGGGTGGGGGGAGGGGAGGCCCGTGCCGTGATCCCGGCACCGGGGCCTGCTTCCTCCCCGGTGTTTCCAGAGCCCAGGCCGCGTGCCTTGGACTCACCATGGAGCTAGGAAGCAAAAAAAAGGAAAAAAAAAAACGAAAAAAAAAAAACCCAACCCAAAACGAATGAGAAGCAGATGTTACGTTCCACGGGCAGTCTCATGCGCTCAGTGGAAAGTCCTCATCATGAGAGCTACCGCTCGTGAGCTAGCGCCCCCCGAGATCGAGACCGGGGACCCCCACCCCATGCCCACCCAGGTACAGGCAGCATCTTGCAAAGACCTGACTGGCCCGCCGGCGGCAGAACCGGCCGGTCAACTTCGTGCCACTTGCCTGCTGCTCGCGCGCGCGGCTGCAGTGGCCCGTGTTACCCAAGAGGTGGGTGGGGTCGCCGCCCGCCCCAAGGGCGTGAGTCACGCTCACGCACACCCACCCAGTGCAGGTGGTGCAGGTCCGTCCAGGGCCCTCCTTCGCCCTGTTCCCCGCCCCCTCCCCCGCCCTGAGGCATCCCCAGCGCCTCCAAGGCCCAGCAGGCCGCTGAGAAAGGGGACCCAGAGGGACCACTGTTTGCAGAGACGGGGGTGGGCACCCGGGGGCCTGGCGGTCAGGGGTCCCCCATCCCCACGGATGCATGGACCTCCCTCCCCAAACAGCCCTTGGGGGTAACGCGCCAGTATCTCCCACCGGGCAGCGAAGGGCATTTCAGAGAGGCCCCGGGCGGGACAGACGCCGCGGAGGGAGGCCTCGGCGGCTCTGGGAGTCGGGGCGTGGCCGGCCCCTGGGCTACCGAGGGAGGTCCGGCGTCCGAAGGCGGTGGAGAGCCGTCAGAACGCCGTCCGTCCAGCTGGGCCGGCTGGGGACCTCGCCCAGGCATTGGCCCCTTGCAGCTGGACCGGCAGATGGAGCGGGTCCGCCGCACCCTGGGGGCTGCCCCTGAAGGCAGGGGTCCCGGGCATCCCGGCTGGGTCGCGGGCAGAGGCTGACCAGACCCCCGGCTGCGCCCAGCGGAGCTCCCTTCAGGGGGTGCACGCAGCGCAGGCAGGTTCCTGGGGACCCCGCGCCCACGTGGAGGGGCCTCCTTCCAGGCTCCCGGGTGAGACTGAGGCTGCCCCGGGGCGGGGGGGGGGAGCCCAGGGGCGCATTCTGATGCCTCCCTTGCGCCCCGGGAAATGCAGGGTCCCAGGCTGGGGCAGGCGCGCCATCACAGCGACACCGGCGTCCCGTGGGTGGGCGGTAACCCTGCCCCGGTGCGCGGAGGATTCCTTAGGGACACCGGCTGCAGCGTCACACAGGTCGGAGGGGACAGATGCCCGACACACAGCAGGGTCCCGTAGTGTGGGACTCCACGGGTGGGTCATGTCCCAGAGCCAGCCCATCCGCAGGGACAGAGAGGGGTGGTCAGTGGTCATCAGGGGCTGGGGGAGGGGGCAGATGGGCGGACTGTTCATGAGCACGGGATGTTCTGGAACCAGACACACGCGGCCGTGACACAGCACGGTGCCGGGGCTCGAACCCGCGGACGTGTTCCCTAGTCCACAGTGTGGAGTGTGCGGGAGGACCCGCACACGGCGCCCCAGCAAGGCCGCGTTTGCAAAGGTCGCGGGCGAAAGAGGGAATGCAAGCCGGTGGGCGTCCCCGGGGCGCTCGGACCTGGGCTCTGTAATTTGGGGGCCTGCACGGTGGGGGAGGGGAAGGGCAGGCAAAGAGGCCGGTGCAGCCCGCGACCCTGGGCTCCTGGAGAATGTACGTATCTCAGCCCTGGCTGGTGATCTCACGTGGTTGGAGCATCGTCCCTGTAGGCCAAGGTGGTGGGTTCGATCCCCGGTCAGGGCGCAACTGATGGATGCAGGAGTAAGTGGAACAACAAATCGATGTTTCTCTCTCTCTCCACCCCCTCCCCCACTTCTTCTCTCTCTAAAAACATCCACGAAAAATACACATATTTGAAACTGAGATAAAAATCCACCTGCGGGAAGGTCGCCAGGCTCATCATTTCAAGATCAATTCCCAATGTCGGACCACCACCGGCACCACCCAGTTCCAGAACGTTTCCCCCTGAAAGTAACCCCAAACTTGTCCCCGGTGCCCCCCACCCCCATATCCCACCCAACAGTTGACCCATCGACCTTCTCGGACTCCAGGCAGTTAGAAAGTCAGCACGTCCTGGCTGGCGTAGCTCAGTGGATGGAGCGCGGGCTGCGAACCAAAGCGTTGCAGGTTCGATTCCCAGTCAGGGCACATGCCTGGGTTGCAGGCCACGGCCCCCAGCAACCGCACATGGATGTTTCTCTCTCTCTTTCTTTCTCCCTCCCTTCCCTCTCTAAAAATAAATAAGTAAAATCTTTAAAAAAAAAAAAAGTCAGTACGTGGTTCTGTGGCCTTCCCACATGGCACACTTTCTCGTGGTATTTTCCCCAAGTCAGAAACCCACGTGCGTAAGCAGAATTTCAGAGCCCTCACGCACTGGGGGGAGGGCCTGGGGTGGTGCGGGGTTTCGGCGGGCTGGCCAGGAAGTCCTGGGGCGTGAGTCACCGCGTGGGGTTGGGCCTCAGGTCAGACTCTGTCCTGTCTTAGCCATAAACGTAGACACCCCAGACTCTGGTCCCGGCCGGCTGTGTACCCCGTTTCCCGTGAGCTAACAATGGGGCGAGAAACTCTCCCGCTGACTTAACCAGCACCTTCACAGCAGCTCGCTGTGGCACCTCCTGCAGGAAGACCTCCAGGGCTGCTCACCCAAAGCAGCATCAGCATGGCCGGCTGTGTTTTGGCCCCTGCTGGGTTTTTTCAGCCATGGCTTCGTGCGTGTCTTCCCGCGGCAGGGCAGGAGGGTGGGCTTGTGGGGTTCACCCTCTGCACCCCAGCGTGCAACGGTGCGCCTGCTGGCATGTCTTTACGCTTTATAACATTGGCAAAATGCACAGATTCTGTGCTTTGCCTAAATGCCCCCGTGTTTTGCTTGGTACTCAGAGGCAGCTGAGACCACGTGTGTCCTCTGTGTTAAGACAGTCACGCAGCCCTGGCTGGTGTGGCTCAGTGGATGGAGCGCGGGCCTGCGAACCAAAGGGTCGCCAGTTCGATTCCCAGTCAGGGCACGTGCCTGGGTTGTGGGCCAGGTTCTCCAGTAGGAGGCGCATGTGACAGGCAACCACACATGGATGTTTCTCTCCCTCTCTCCCTCTCTTCCTCCCTCCCATCCCCGCTCTCTAACAAATAAACGCTTTAAGAAAGCAGAAAAAGAAAGACAGCGATGGAATTATATTCCCGGGAGGGGGCCCCAGCCTGCAGGGAAAATACCGCACGGGTCTGCACAAGGGGACGCTGTACATCCGATTAGCTCGGGGTGGGGCTGGCCTTTGCTCCAAGGTGGGGGGTGGGGGGGTGTCTGTGGTTCCTGGAGAAGGAACCAGGGACCCAGGCCGCGCTTCTCAGTGGGGCTGACGCTCTGCGTGTTCCCCGCAGGGCAAGGCGACTTCAACTTGGAAGACGCTCTGGACGACAACGCGGGTGAGTGCCGGTCACCCCCAGCTCCCTCCGGGAGGCCGGGTGGGGGCTGGGCTGCGGAATCCCCGGGGCTGGGGAGGTCCCTGCACTTCCCACCAGATCACCGCCGGGTCCCGCCCACGCGTCTTCGGCGTGGGACGGTGCTGCTTTGCCCGGCGCTGCGGAGAGACTGCGCCCCCAGAGGTGGCGCGCGACGCAGTCTGGGCGGCCGGGCGCGGCCAGGTTGAAGGAAAAGGAACCACTGAGCGATGTCCTCCGAGGTTCAGGCTGTGCGGCCAGCGGCGGGCGATCGGGTGCATCGAGGACAAAGGCGAGGACCTGGGCTTAGGGACCGTATCGCCGGAGGGACTCAAACAAAGGCTGTGACAGCCACGTGGGCCGTCTCGTTCGCGGTGGCCACAGGCGGAAACAACGCAAGTCTCTGTGAGCCGATGAACGGATACACGGAATCCACGCCGTGGAATATTACGCAGCCGCGAACAGGAGCGAGGCTCTGACTCGGGCTGCGGCGCGGATGGATCTGGAAAACACGGGACGCCGCGCACGCGCGCGCAGAGGGATTCCAAAGACGCAGTGTCGTCGGCTTGCGGAACCCTCAGCTGCTGAGCGGCGTCTCATTCCTCTGAATGACTTGCCCAAACCTGTTTCCCTGGCCGTGCCTGTGCGTGCACGGCTCGGCACAGCCGGGCTCCCGCAGCCAGGGGGGCGCGCGCTGCAGCCCGAGCACGGTCCACGTGGCGTCCACCCCCACGAGTACTGAGCAGGAAGCATCCCCGCCCCTCCCAAGACTCTGGGGGTCTCCCTGACTGACGCCCAGGGGCCAACAAGCTCTCCATCGGTGTTTGTTGAGTGAATACATGTTTGCAAAAAAAAAAACAAAGTGAGGAGAGAAGCATCGTTCCGGAAGCCGGAACGCTGGGTTCATGTTTTATTGTTGCCCCTTCCACCTGTGCGGCTTGAGATACTAGGGCTCCCCCCAACCTGCCCCCCCCCCACACTCTTGGCTGGGCTGTCCCTCCGGCACCTGTCTTAGGTCCTGCTCCCTCACCTGCTGATAGTTTTTGCGAAAACATACTTCCTAACCCCCGGAGCTGACCCCTCCTTAAAGCACAATGCATCGCCCTCACCCCCCCTCCCTGGCAGCTGCGGCCAAGACAGGTGTGCCTGGCTTTGGGGGTGCCTTCTGGGGTCTTTTTTCCACCCCCCCCGAACAAGACGTGGGAATTGTGTTCAGTTCCCTTACGTGTAGCGCCTTCCGCGATCGCGTCTTACGCGGGAGCCGTGTGTGTCTGTCCTGATGCTCACCGAGTGCGTTCTCTCTCTCTCTCTTCGCAGAGCCCACCAAGAAGCCCCACTCAGGTGAGAGGGGACTGGGGCCGGGTGGGCCGGAGGCTCCGCCCTCGCGTGGCTGGGTTTGGAGGGATGTGGGAGGGTGTTTGCAGAGGTGTGGCGTGCTGTGTGGCAGGTGGGGGGGGCGGTGGGTAATGGAGGGCCGGCCAGCAGGTGTTAGGAGCGAACCCTGGGTCACGGGGCACCGGCGTGTGAAGACTCACCGTGAGAGACGTCACCGCATTCTCGCATGGGGCGGCAGGTGGGCCAAGGGGCGCCCGTGTGGACGGCCGGTGGGAATGCAGGCTGGGGCAGCCACCACCGGGGGAAAAAAAATAGTTTAAGAGTTCTTAAACAATTTCCATCTAGAGTTACTCTGGGTGCCAGCAACTTTACCGTCTAGGTATGAGACAGGGACTCGGACAAGAATGTGTACAAGGGTGCAGGCATACCAGCATCATGCACCACAGCCCCCAAGTAGGGGCAACCCAGCTCCCCATCAATGAGTGCATAGATGAACATAGCCACGTGGTGGAATATTACGCAGCCATGAAAAAGGGGGTAAAACCCAGGCCCAGGCGACAGCATGCACGAACCATGAGGACGTTAGGCAGATGGACATACGCCAGACACAGAAGGACACATCCTGTAGGCTTACATTAATAGACAATGTCCAGAACGGGCCTTTCCTGCCAGGAAACTTTAAATCGTGGTCCTGTCTGTTTGGGACCCTGACTTTGCGTGGAGTCAGCCTGGGCTCCTCATGTGCCTTCGTGACAGAAGTAGCAGCTGCCAGTCCGGTGAGAAGGCGCCAGAGATGACACGGTGTTTGCCTTTCTCCGCCCGAGTTACCCGACCCGGCAAAACACCCTCCATCTCAAACTGCCACATGCCTTTTTTATGGCTGAGTAATATGCCATTGAACACATGTACCGCAGCTCCTTTGAAACATCTATTTATTTCTTTTACCGCCATGATCATTTTTTACACTGAATTTTTTTTTTTTGCGGGGGAGGGGGCACTGGTTCACAAAATGATACAGGTTTCAGGGGCACAGTTGCCGAATGCGTCATCTCCATGCAGTAACTTCTTTATGCATTTGTCGACTGACGGACAGTTGGGTGGGTTCCACATCGCGCATTTTGTAAATAATGCTGCGATGGACACAGGGGCGCATGCAGCTTTTTTTTTTAAAAGATTTATTTATTTATTTTTAGAGAGGGAAGGGAGGGAGAAAGAGGGAGAGAGAGAAACATCCATGTGCGGTTGCTGGGGGTCATGGCCTGCAACCCAGGCATGTGCCCTGACTGGGAATCGAACCTGCGCCACTTTGGTTCCCAGCCCGCGCTCAATCCACTGAGCTACGCCCGCCAGGGCTCGCATATAGCTTTTCAAATGAGTGACTTTGTTTCCTTCAGATAAACACTCAGAAGCGGGACTGCTGGGTCATTCAGCCATGCTATTTTTAAATTTTGAGACGAGGAACTGAAGACAAGTAAATTTAGCTCCCTTCCGTTTCATGCTGCCTGCTTTGGGGGCGATCTCAACAATGTCATCTTATTACCGATTTTTTTTTTTTCTAGAAAATGCCTCCTCGAGTTTTGCATTTTGCATGGAGTGCGTTTTAGGTTCTGGGTGTGGTTGGACTCAAGCATTCCTGGTGTTATGAGTGTTGCTGTTATTAGTCTTAGTATTGTTATTATTAAACTGTCTTCATCCTGGAGAGCAGCTGCAAACACAGGGGAAGACCTAGGAACACAGTTCAACAACGTGGCTGCATACAAGAAGACCGTACAACCATCAGGCACATCTCTGCACAGGAACACAGAGAGTTTGGGGTGTGTGTGTGTGTGTGTGTGTGTGTGTGTGTTTTCCTGAAGACTGAGGGGTGAGCCTCCTGTGCCGGGAGCTTAGTGATTTTCAGCCGGTCGGTGGTCATGGGTCACCCGTGAGCGGCAGATGCGAACAGAACGTAACCATCTAAGTCCACCCGCATGTCCTGCTTGCCCCGGCTGCTTCAAGCGCACGGAGATCTCTCTCTCGTCTTCTAACCACACTCTGTCTCCCCCCGCCCCCCCCGCCAGACATCTACCCCAGGCCGAAGCCCCCGTACCGCCCGCAGCCCGGGAATCCTGACTCCGGCGGAAGTAAGGATGCTCAGCGTTCATGCGGACTCATTTCGGCTCGGGCTCCGTGAACCTGGCCTTGAGTTTCTCGGGGGGGTCCCCCTGGGGCCACTCCCCAAACCGAGTCCGTCCTGGATCTCTGGCTGAGTGGGTGGGCAATGGGGGGAGGGGGCAGGCCCTCTCTCGAATCTCCTCTTCCCCAGGAGGTGGAATCCACTCCGATCATCTTATTTTCCTCTGCTGCCCGATCGCTGCATCGGGATGGGTTTCTCGGGAGGTTGGTCACCCTTTTTGTAGCTTGCCTGAGCCGTTGGAAAAAAAGTGGGTTTTTCTTCGAAGAGCTCCCCCACCTGCGTCCTGTGCTTTCAAGCACCGGTCCCCAGCTTCCATCGTGTTGCAGACACTCGGCATATACGGCTCTCGTAGATTGTTTAGAAAAATAAACAAATAAGACGAGGAGGGACATGGGCCTGGCTGTCCACGAATTCCACAGCGATGCACCAACCGTAAAAAGCAAAACCTTCCCCGGGTAGAGCCGCGTGCAGCTGTGCAAAGCTCCCTGAGGGCCGGTGGGGGCGTTGTGATGGACGGAAGTCCGTCTGGCCCTGGGAGGGGTCCATCACCGAAGGCGGGGACCCAGGTGCATCGGAGCCGCTGTCCCGGGGAAAACCAGCCGCGGACACGGACAGATTCGCCGAGGGGCGCTCCTCTCGCCCTTTTGTCTTCGCGTTTATTTTCTTTTTATTTTTTTTTAAAAGATTTTACTTATTTATTTTTAGAGAGGGAAGGGAGGGAGAAAGACAGAGAGAGAGAAACATCCATGTGCGGTTGCTGGGGGCCGTGGCCTGCAACCCAGGCATGTGCCCTGACTGGGAATCGAACCTGTGACACTTTGGTTCACAGCCCGTGCTCAATCCACTGAGCTACGCCAGCAAGCACTTTTTTTTTTTTTTTGCGTTTATTTTCTGTCCTCCCACGTAGCAGTTGACGTAAGAGCGTTCCGAACTGTATGTTCTTCTGAAAACTTTTCTGAGTTTATCGGAGCCCAGGCGACAAGAACTGCGGGCAAACAAAATCTCAAGGGACGGAGAAAATGCCCCAGAAATCGGCACCTTATTTTACAGATTAGCATCAGAACAGGGCGCCTGCGTGGGTTGGGAGAAATCCATCGGTGATCGATGAGGGAGGTGGGAGAAAGGAGAACAGGGAAATCTCTGCGATTGCAGAAAAAGTGAAATGATAGACAGGGAACACTGCACACGATAATAATTAACACCGGGGGATTTGTGCGCCCCCCCCATGTGGTGCCTCTGATTTGAGGGGGTCCGGGAAAAAGAGAACTTATTTTGTTCTTGCCAAGATATGTTTGCCTGGTAGGTTCTCACAGATAGAAAAAGACAAGACAGGCTCCGATCAGGTGAAGACTCACCTTTGGTCAAAAACTGCTGAACCCTCAGCGTGGTGTGGGCAGGTGCGCTCATAAATCCCCCATCGTGAAATGGGCAAGCGTGTTGAAAAAGTCTTAAAAAACCCCCCCTGAAGCCAAACCCAGCCTCTCACAACAACACCAGCTGGCACAGTGGTATTCCTAGAACACTCACCCAGCAGGGGAAACCTGGACTATAAGGAGCCCGACCTCCAGAAAATAATTCCATTTTGGGGGGCGGGAGGCTGGCCATCCTCATATTGTGTAGGATGTTTGTTGCGGAACTTCATCATTACTTCCCTAAAATCACCTTGCTGCTTTCCAACAGATATTTACCCAAGGCCGAAGCCCCCACCACCTCGCCCACAGCCTGGCTACCCCGACGGTGGAGGTAAGAGGGGGCGATTTATTGGGGTGCATTATACAAGCATTGGACACAACATAGCATTTTGTGTTCTCTCTGGGATGGTGAAAAGCCCATTGCTTTGAAACACTCAGGCATGCTTCTGCAAGGGGTCCCACCTGCTCCCCACCAGACCTGGGGGGGCACCGGCAGCAAACACATTTTATTTTCTTTTGCATTAACGGACTGAAAAAATGCAACATGCTCCAAAGACACTTCATGTTCTTATTGAGGAAGGCTATTTTTTTAAAAAGAAAATACTTTACTTATTTATTTTTAGAGAGAGGGGAAGGGAGGAAGAGAGAGAGAAACATCGATGCGTGGTTGTCTCTCGAGCACCCCCTACTGGGGACCTGGCCTGCAGTCCAAGCATGTGCCCTGGCCGGGAATCGAACCAGAGACCCTTTGGTTTGCAGGCCGGCGCTCAATCCACTGAGCCACACCAGCCGGGGCTGAGGAAAGCAATTCTTTCTTTGTCTTTCATTGTGTGTTTGGGTATTTTGCTGAGTTTTTTTTTTAATTAAAGTCTCACTGATATCTAATATTATATTAGTGTCAGCGCACAGCAGAGTGGTTAGACAGTCGATTATTGACAGAGTGACCCCCCCCCCTAAATATTTCCGTGGCACCACCCAGAGGTGTGGCAATATTACCGACTGGACTCCGTGGCCTGGACTTTCCCTCCTGCGAGTCTTCTGTAACTGCCGATGGTGCTTCTCAATCCCCTTCCCCCTCTCCACCCACCCCCGACCCCTGGGGGGATCCAGCAGCCCCCCGGTCTGTTCTCTGTGCCTCTGAGTCTCCCTCTGTCCAGTGTGGGCTCATCAGTGTTGTCCTTCAGATTCCCTGAGCAGGTGAGATCCCACGGTGCTTGTCCTTCTCTGCCTGACGTATGATTTCCCCTGAGCCCGACGCCCGCTAGGTCCATCGGCGTTCTGTGGGGTTCCCCTTCTCTCTCCGCACACGCCCTGGGGGGTCCCGTGGCCCGAGCCCCTGCCGTGTTCCTCCGGAGACGCTGGTGAACCCCCACCAGGGAGAACCCCGCCCGTAACCACGGACGAGGCGCAGTCACTGTAGGGCGAGGGCACATGTGTGTTGGTCCCAGGCACTGGGACAGCTCAGATGGGCTGGGCGTCGTATCCGCCGGCTGGGGCGACAGGGAGTGTCCCTTGAGTGTCTCGGGACCCTGTTTGGACGTCAGCTTCCTACTGCCCCAAGGAGTCTGTGACGTCCAGCTGCGTGGCGTTCACAAGTGCCCCCGGGACACCGCCGCCCGGTCCTGCAGGCCTCGGTCAGCACCCTCTCCGTCTCCAAGAGCCAAGCGCCTACCCTAAGTGTGGGGCTCAGGAGTGGGCCCCCCACAGGGTCCCAGCACCCGCCCGCGTGACCCTCCCACGACCCTGGGTTCCGGGCGCGCAGGCGGTCTGCAGAGCGGTCTGGCAGTGGCTGTGTCTTTTGTCCCTCAGGTCACCTCATTGACGGGGACCTGGACGACGGCCGCTACCCGCCCAGGCCCAGGCCCAGGCCACCAGCAGGTCGGTGCAGCTTCTCCGGGGTGACCGTGGCCGGGGGCCCCGCGTGTGACACCACATGGGGCTGGCTGACCCTCTGTCGCCTCCCAGAATGGCCGACGGTGTCCGTGTGCTGAACACTTGAGATCTATTCTCTCTGTCCCTACCTATGTGCGTGCACCTCTATGAAGTCCTGATGCACGTGTGTAGGCAAGCATGCAAGAACATGCTCTATACACACATGCCTGCACACACATGTGTGCACATCACATGTGCACACACAGACATCTTTGTTTAATACACATGCATACATGTGTCAGCATCACATGTGCATAGTAACACGAGTAACATGCAAGGTATATACACGTGTGCACACATAGTAAATAACGTAAGCAACCTTAAGCAAAACATGTGACTTATGTACATATGTGCATGTACAATAATACACAGACTCTGCTACCAAAAACACCCTTTTAATGACAAAATAACTTATGACAAAATCACAGGCAGGCGATTCTGTCCCATGACCATGTCACACTCAAGCACACCCTGGGGCGTTTTAGGTGACCTGTTCAAGGTAAAACTGTACATTACAACACGCATGTCATTACCGTACCAAACACACACAAGCGGGTGTTACACTTCTGGGGGGACCCTGTATATTGATATATAGTCACTTACCTTTGTATATATCCATGTACATATATCGGTGTGTGCAAATATTACTATATATATATCTGTTGTTATATATCTTTCTATGGATGTATATTCTTTGATATTAGTGTATATATTTTATATATATATATATATACACATGCCCCTTTGAAAGTCCCCCAGTAACTGGGGCTCCTGGCCCCGCTGCAGAGCGCGCTCTGGGGGGGCTCTTGGGGACGCCTTCGCTGTTCCCGCCGGTCGCCGAGGACACGTGCTGAAACCGCCCCCCACCCCACCTTCTCTCTGCAGGGGGCGGCGGAGGCGGTGGCGGCTACAACCCCAGTCACGACAGCTACGGAGGCGGAGGCGGCGGCGGCTACGGAGGCGGCGGTGGCTACGGAGGCGGCGGTGGCTACGGAGGCGGCGGTGGAGGTGGCTACCGCCCGGGTCACGACGGCTACGGATCGCACGGTACGCTTGGCGCCGAGGCCCTGGTGGGCACAGGGCGCGGGGCGGCAGAGGGGGGAGGGTATCCAGGGCTCCCAGCTGGGGCCCCCACCTTCCATCTGGGTCTGTCCCTGCTGGGCGCGTCTTCGCAGCCTTCTGTGCGAGGACTCCGACCCGAGGTTCCTCCTGCACCTGAGCTCGGGCCGCCCACCCACCTGCGTCCAGGTGGAGAGGCATGGAGAGAGCGCAGGCAGTACCCGGGGGGTGGCTCGTTAGGCGGGTCATGTATCTCAGAGCGCAAAAGGGCACCTCAGGGTGCCCCGGGGGAAGACGCCCAGGGCCGAGGGCGCCTTGCTCAGAAGCGGTGCACAGGCGCTCGTGCGCACGGCTTGGTGTCGGAGCGCGCAGGGCGCCTCGGGGTCCCCATGCTCTTGGTTCCCCGGGGCAAGAATGGCGGCGAAACGCCACAGCCGGGAAAGGAAAACGCCACGGGGTGGCCTTTTTATACCCGTGGAACGGACACACGCATTCTCTAGTGTCCAGTGTACGGCGCGATGATTCCGTATTCATATAGACGGCAACACGATCAGCACCCTCCGCCAAGTTCATAGCCAACCCCTCACATAGTGGCAGTCTTTGCTGCGTGATGAGGGCTCTCAGAATCTACTCTCTTACTGGCTTTGACATACATAATGCGGGATCGTGATAATAAATATCATATAATACCATGGTTAGCTAATATAATAATATAATATTCATATGATGTAATTAATATAATATAATATGGAATTAACTCTAGTTACCACTCCCTACGTTACAGCCTGGGTCTTATTTCTTTTATAATCGCAAATTGGTACCTTTGGACACCCTCCACGCACCTATCAATCTATGGATGAATTTTAAACTATTATTATTATTATTATTATTATTATTATTTGCTGTGTCCCATTTGTTAAGCATTTTGAACATCTAAAAGTAATCGAGGAAGTATTGCGGGTAGACGCTCATGTTCCTATAAAGATTTCACAGAGCAAGCAAGCGCACTTTGGATTTTGGTCACCTTCATCTTCTTTACTGGGAGCCATGGCGAGATTTTACGAAAGAAAGGCAAGCGTGATGCCCAAACAATCTACACTTGACGGGCCAGGCATTTGTCACCATCGAGGTGGCCCCGCGCTCAAGACTGTGCCGTCACGAGGTGGAAGAAAGGTCGCGGTTGCCTTGAGCCATACCTGCGTTCCACTCCCCTGTGCGCGCACGCGCTCCGAGGGGTCCGCCTCCGCGCCGGCGCTGTGCGCACGCGCGCGCTCTGCGTTCTTTGGTTAGATCCTTGCACCAGTTCTTTGATCGATCGCTTTGATAGATTAGAGAGGAATGAGTCGCCCGGTAGGGGGCCCAGAGTGCTGCGTTTCTGCGCGTTTTCCCAGGAGACGGGTCCGGTCTCTCATTACGCAGTGCCATTTGCGGGGGTGGGCGGGGGGGGGGGCAAAGCGCACTCATCCGGGTGATCTTGCAGGCCCGGGGGCTGTTCTGGGTCCCCGAGCTGCGCGCGGCTGGGAGTCACCGGTCTGCTTTGCACCAAGCGCACCGAGTCACCCAGCTGTTTGCTGCAGGTGGCCTCAACCGTTGGCCACGTGCTGTCCTCCTGTACGACCCTGGAGGGGCCAGGGCTGACCAGCCCAGGAGGGCGTGCCCTGAGTCCGCCCAGCCTCCTGAGGTCAATGTTTCCCTCCTTTTTTGAGGAGCTGGCTCTTTGAATGGCCAGGGTTCTCCACTAGGAACTGTCTTGGGGACCTCTGGCTGCCCACATGGCACGGCTTGAACAACAGACATTTCTCCCTCCTGGTGCTGGAGGCTGGAGGCTGACACCCACGGGGAGGGCAGGGCTGGCTCCCCCTGAGGCCTCTCTCTCTCCTGGGTGTGTGGATGGCCGTCCTCCCCCTGTGTCCTCCCACGGGCGTCCCTCTGGGTGTGTCTGTGTCCCCATCTCCTCCTCTTATAAGAACCCCAGTCCTGTGGAATCAGGGCCACCCTAGGGACCCCATTTCAACTTCATCAGCTCTGTAAACACCCATGTCCAAGCTCACCCATATTCCGAGGTTCTGGGGTTACAGCCACCAACCTACGGATTTTGGATTTGGACACAATTCAGCCCCAGAGCACCCCAGCGGCGGGCGCTTCCAACAGCCAGTGTATTGAACTCCCCGTGACATGTAGAAATCAGCAGGCAGGCAAGTCCAGTTTAAAACCGGCAAAGTGAGCGTGGCGTCCGTTTCCAGACGTCTGCAATCCCGCTTCCGGCGTTGCTGTGCAGACGTAAGAAGCAGGAAGCTCTGTCTTCGCTGTCACCGGCCGAGACTGCGATTCAGGGAGCGTTTGCCCCCCTGGTCTTGCCCCGACCCCCCAGGTAATAGGCACCCAGCTCAGTCATGGTCTCCTGGGGGGCGGGAGGGGGGGACGTGCCACATGGTCTCGAGGATGCTGTCTCCCTTGGGGGGCCGTCGCAGCCGCCGTCTCTGTGTCTGCTGAGCGGCCAGCCCACCCGAGGGCCTGTCCTTTCCCTTCTGCGTCTTGGTGGCCTTTCGCGGCCTCTGGCCCCCCGGGCTGCTGGCTCTGTCCTGGGGCTGCCTTGCGGGACCCCGTGCAGCCTTCCTGGGTGCGGTCTCCCTCGTCACGCCGTCTCTCTGCCCCTGCCACAGGAAGGCGCTCTAGACCCAACTCCGGTGGATATAACTATGGTAATGGAGCTCTCTCTCTCTCTCTCTCTCTTTCTCTCTCTCTCTCTTCTGAGCGGTGCAGGGACACATGCCTGGTGGGCAGCTCGCTTGTGCGCGGGGGGTCCTTCCTGCCACCTAACCCACTGCCTGGCTTTGTCATCCGCGTCCCCGGCCTGTCCCCACCGCTAGCCGAGACGGTTTGCGTGGGGCCGGGCCATAGTTTCTTGATGGGACGTGAGCCACATGCTTGGGCCGCATGCACATATGTGTGTCATGTACATGCTTGTGAGCATAGATTTGCATGTGTGAACAACACGCTTGGGATGCACGAATACGTGTGTGTCATGCACATGCTTGTGAGCATAGATTTGCACATGTGAACAACATGCTTGGGCTGCATGCATGTGGGTGTGTCACGCACATGCTTGTGAGCATAGATTTGCACACACGAATAGCATGCTTGGGCTGCACACACGTGTGTGTTGTGTACATGCTTCTGCGCATAGATTTGCACACACATGTGTTTTTGCACAAAGCGTGCATGCGGCTTTCGTATGTCTGTGCACACGCATGGGGCGCATATATGCTCACATGCGCCACACACATGGGGTCATGCATGTCAGCAGCATCATGTGTCTTCATGCATGTGCCCCTGTGTTCGTGCGGGTGTGTGCTTGTGTGTGCACGGACACCTGTGCCCATGGGCACATACCCCTGGCCCCTGAACGGAGCGCTGTCTTCCCTGCCCCCCCGTGCCCCACCCTCGTCGTCACTGTGACGTGGTGCATCTGCACCCTGCGGTCCCACCGTGGACTGTGTGTCTCCTTCCCCGCCGCATGGGGAGCCCCGTGAGAGAACGTTCGTTCGTGCCTGCTTGCTCACGGCGGCAGCCGCCCCCCCCCCCGCAAGCATGTGCACGGTGCCGGCGGTACAGGGCCCCCGTGAGGGCTGCCGGATGCACGCGTGACCCTGTGCTTTTGCCGTTGCAGGTGGAGACAGCTACAATACCTATGGCAACCCGCAAGGTAACACATCGGTGCACGCCCCCCCTCCCCCGATATTTAATAAGCACCCACCCTCGCCCACCCATGGGCGTGCGTCCTTGTTCCAACCCAGCGACACTCACAAGCACCTGGTGGCTTTCTTTGTCGGGGAGCTCCTGCTCAAAACCTTCTGCGTGGGGCCAGGTGTGTGGGGCTCAGAGAAGCAGAGATGGACACTAGTGGTCACCTGTGGCACGGCGCTCCATCGCTGTGACAGCAGAGACGGGCTTTCTTGGGGGGCTGTGGTCATTCTGCCCAAGCAGCCCTCCCTCCCCCGTAAAGGGCTCAGCCAGCCCCCCTGCAGGTCCAAGGTGAAGGCACGGAGGTCCCAGAGGGACATCTGTCATGGGCAGCTGGGAGATGCATCCCAGCCCCTCAGCCACGACCTGTTTACTTGGAAGGCGAGAAGGTAGTTTCCCGCCCAAGGAGGAGGCGGTGGTGACGTGTCCGTCCTAAAGGGGAAAAGGGACTGACGGGATTTTGCAACCAGAAGTCGTGACGTGCCTGCCTGCAGAGCCTCTGGGTCCCTGTTGGTTGGGTGTTTGGTGATCCTAGAAGGTTCCTAAGGGAGAAAGGGGGAGGCGTAAGGGCTGAGACAGAAATCCAGGTCGGACACGAAGTCGGACGAGATGCGTGCAGCCCTGTAGCAACACGGGGGCCAACTCTATGCCCCATTGGGGGGTTGGGTGGGGGGTAAGAGCTCTTGGGGAAAACCATATCGAAGCCATGGTCTAAAGGATGAGTTGGCAGTGGCCAGGACGGGACAGCAAGGTGGTAGGGACCACGGGGAGCGAGGTCAGGCTGGCTCCGCTCCTGGCACACCAGGGATTTGTGTGGCCAGGCTGCAGAAGAGAGTCACGGGCAGATGGGTCTACAGAATGGCCAGGAGTGCAGATGAGGTAGAGCCGGCCCTCCTGTGAGGGGTGGAGCACACAGGGCTGTCTAAGTGTCTGGGAGACCGATTACAAGACCCATGTGGCTCCCAGATGGGAGGTGCCAGCAGAGATGGAGAGAAGAGGTCAGCTTTTAGGTATATTTGGTAATGAGTGCTGACGTGATTGTTCTGTATGGGACAGCGGAGAAAAAAACATGTATCAGTGAGCTCTGCTGTGTAACAAAAGGTCCCAAGACGTGTATCAGTGAGCTCTGCTGTGTCACAAAAGGTCCCAACGCATGTATCAGTGAGCTCTGCTGTGCCACAAAAGGTCCCAAAACCTGTATCAGTGAGCTCTGCTGTGTAACAAAAGGTCCCAAAACCTGTATCAGTGAGCTCTGCTGTGTAACAAAAGGTCCCAAAACCTGTATCAGTGAGCTCTGCTGTGTAACAAAATATCCCAAAATATAGTGGCTGAAAACACAACCATTTGTTAGGAGCAGGATTATAGGGGTCAGGGTGTTTGGCTACAAAGTCCGCCCAGGTCCCTCCGGCTGAGCAGGCCACACTTACTCACAAGGAGGATGGAGGGGAGCGTGTCTGGACTTTGAGTGGACACAGCTACATGTCTGTGTGTTTAGTTGGCCAAAGTCCATCTTGGGAGCCTGAAGCCCAGCTTCCACCCCTTGTCATGTCGTAGAGGGTGCGGAGGCAGGGAGCGGGGGGGACTGAACCACGAGAGGCAGGGTGTGGCGTGGTCATCAGAGGAGGGACAGGTCTGGGGACTCCCGCCAGGCTGTGGCCATGCATCTGTCCCCCACGACACGCCGGGGGCTTGACCCAGTCAGAGGTGACACATGTGTGGTTATGTTAGATGCTGCTCCCCTAACAATAAAGGGGCTTTCTAAGGGAGAGGTGACGGTGTCTATTTGAGGTCAATCACAGCTCCTGGGGAAGCTCTGACTCGGGCAGGAGCCCACACGGGGTCCCCACGATGAGCAGACAAAGGGGTGGCACTGATGTAGGAGAAAGGGGAGGGGACAGGGACACCCCCAGCAGGGAGGCATGGCGGTGGGCGCAGAGGACACGGCATCGGGACGCTGGTTCTCCACGGCGTGTTTCATGCTCCGTCCTGGGCTCCTCCGTCCAGGCGTCACCGTGTCTGCTTCCCCGTCCCCTTTGCAGGCAGCTCTGTGGGACACACGGTGGCTTCTGGCCCCGAGTGGAGGTCACTTTGTCCCGTGTTAACGCCCACAGGGCGGAGGCAGCTGACGTTTGAGGCAGCTCCTAGGGGCCGGTGGCTCCAGCTCCTTTGCAAAGGGGCTTTACTTACAGAAATTATTTTTAAATGAAGGAAACAGAGACGGCCGTTGTGGGGGCTGTTGTCTGTCTCTCCAAGGCGCCCCCCTCCCACCTTGGCGCTCTGTGCAGGAACCCCAAGCTTTGCGTGAAACGTGGTCATTTCAAGGCCTCGCTGTGTGCTGTGCAGACCCCCAGCAGGCTCTGGGGCAGGGTGCTCTGCTCCCCTTTTGGGTGAAATGTTGCTTTTTCATGACGTCACACTCTGCACCGCCCAAGGTACAAATCCCATCAGAAACCTTTGTGAGAGACATAGTAAGGGCGCCTTGTGCGCGCAGCTTTGGGGGTCCTGGGTGGGTACCCCACGGTTCCTTAGCTCCACTCGGGGCGAAGAAGAGCCCCTTGCCGAAGCTTCTTGCTCTGAGTGGCTCTTTTTTTCCCCCCGTGGGTGTGAGGACCGGAGGGGAAACGGGGGGACCACGCAGGGATTCCAACCGAGCCGCGTTTCCGCGGACTTCTTTTCTCACCGCGCGGCGCTCGCTGTTCTTGACTTTGGCAGGCAACTTGGTGGCGAAAATCGTGTCTCCCATCGTCTCCGTGGTGGTGGTGACGCTGGTGGGCGCCGCGGCCACCTACTTCCAGCGCAACCGCGGGAGAAATTGCTTTCGAACCAACGGTAAGATCCGCTCCCATTTCTTCCCTCCCCCCCTGCCCGCAAACACCGATTTTTGAAGTCTGGTAAACACACCTTCTGGCGCCTTCAGCCAGCGCTGTTATCTCTGGTTCAGTGCAAAGAGAGCCTCTTGCCCAGCGAAGGGGTTTCAAGCGGGAACTTTGTCACGAACACGGAGCAACGTGCGAGAAACTCAGTGCATGCGTTTTCACAGAAGATGCTCAGTCTTTTTTTTTTAAAAGATGTATATATGTATATATTTATTAGACAAAGGAAAGGGAAAGAGAAAAGGAGAGAAACATCCATGTGTGGTGGCCTCTCACGCGCCCCCTGCTGGGGGACCTGGCCCGCACCCCAGGCCTGGGCCCTGACTGGGAATCGAACCCGCGACCCTTTGGTTTGCAGGCCACTGAGTCCCACCCGCCAGCACTGACTGGTCCAGGCTCCCTGGTTTGGAGAAGCGGCTCTGGTCAGCCAGCTGCTGCTCTCTGAAGGCTCTGACGGTGTCCCTAGGAGACGGACATGGCGGGGGCGGGGGCGGCGGGGGCGGGCAAAGGAAGTTTAACTGCACAAATAACAGGTCAGATTTTAGCTGGAGGTCTCTGAAAGTTTGGCTCTGAGACCAGCCATGTGTGAAGCTGTCTGGGGCTTGTGTGTGTGTGTGGGGGGCGCCTCCACCCCACAACTTCTGGGTGAGAAGTAGAAGCTATCGGCAGAAACCTATCCCGATGGTTTTCTGGTTTGGGGTTTTTTTTTTTTCTTCCCCCCCCTTACCATTTGTGCCATTTCCAAATCCTAAAACCCGCCCGTGGCTGCCCTCTGCTGGCGGACGGGAGGTACTGCCCCATCCCTGCAAGGCCAGCCCTGGTCTCCACGTCGCCCAACCTGGAAAAGTGCAGGGGAGAAACAGAATTTAGTAAAAAAGGTCCGACTTGCTGGGTAGCTGCCTCAGCACGAGACAGAGCACTGCCTGTTCGTTCGGAGGGCGTCTGCCACGCCGATCTCCCCCTCACCAGGGGGCCCGTGAGGACAGGGCGGAAACAGGGCAAACACAGGGACTTATTCATCTCAGACTCGTGATGCAAACGGCAGAGCAACCAACCAGCTCAGTCCTGGGGGGAAACGGCATGGAGTGCCATGCCAATATAATAATAAATAATAATAATAATAATAATAATAATAAAAACGTCATCGGGCCGGCTTGCCACCTGTGCACGCCAATACAGTTTTCCTAAACCTGGGGAAGGAAATAAAAACAGGAACGAGAGCAGCCCGTGCCAATAATGAGCTCGAACGAAAGGCATGGACGTGTTCAGCTCGCCCAGGGTGTGCGCAGACCCTTCTTGGCACACAGCAGACGGCACAACGGGGAGGGAGAGGGTCGTGCGTGCAGATCCCGGCGGGTGAGCTTTGCTTCCTCAGCTGAGACTTCCCTGTCGCCGTCTCGCCCTGCAGGCCCACAGAACGTCTGAGGACTTGGAGGTGCCCCGAGGGGGAAACCGCCGTGTGGACCAGAGCCCCGCTCCCCCTGCTCCTGTCGAAAGTCTCCTTCGTGTCCCCGGCCTCCGTGCCCGTGTCCCCGGCCTCCGTGCCCGTGTCCCCTCTCCCGCTGAGAAAACGGTGCCCTCCCCCGCCCCCCATCGCTGACTGTGGCATGGTGCTGCTTCTCCGGATACCTCTGACCGCCGGGCCTGGGGGTGCCGATGCGCCCCGCGTCTGCGCGGCCACATGCGCTTGGACGCAGAGATGTCTGCGTTTGCACTGAGCTCTTGCACGACCCTCCTGGTGCCACAGACACACACCTCACGTTCGCGCCCGGGGGCTTGGCTGTAAAACTCGGTGTCGTCGGCAAAATGGCTCAGGGTCTTGGGCGGGGTGGCGACGGGGCTTCTGGGAGAATGGGGGTTTCCGCCAGGCGGTGGCAAGGATACTACTGATGCTCCCTCAGCGCTGAGCTTCACAGGGCAGGTGGGCAGGAGGGACACGCAGGGCGCAGGGCAGAAACCCCCCCCCGCCCCCGGTCCCCTCCCGCTCCTGGGCACACGGCACTGGCATTCTCTGCAGCAAGCGTGGATGGGGGGCGGGGTTTGTACCTGCGAACTCGCTCGTGGGGAAACCGCCTCGGGGTACCTGGTCCTGGGACACCCCACGGTTTCAGGGTCTGTCTGGAGACCGTGGGATGGACATAAGTAGCGACATTCAGGTGCTGGGACTTGCCGTGTGATTTTCAGCCTTTTCAGCCTTCGGGGACCACACTGGCTTCGCTTCACTGATCCTTTTTGCTTTGGGCTCCGGTAGAAACCCTTGCGTCCTTTAGCATCAAGACCTCCTATCAGCTGTCGGCTTGCATTTTAGAGACACGCCCGGGGAGAGGGAAGGGGGAGATTCGGGTCTATGGCTATCGTTGGCTTCCACGCAGATGAATGTTTACAGGACTTCCGGACGTGGCCGTGAACCTGAGAAGTGGGGACCAGCACGTGGCAGTGTGGGAGTCACACAGGACACCCCCTAAAGTCCCACATGTGGGGGCTTGCAGCCGGGTCGGGGCCTGGGTCTCCACACAAAGAGAGAGAGTTGAAAGTGAAAGGTGTTTGGAAAAAAGAACTGGAAACTCATCTCTGGGGTGGAAGGGGGGTCAAGGGTGACGGACGGAGACAGGACTTGGGGTGGTGAGCACAACAAATACAATTTTCCGGGGCGGGTATCATACAATCGCACAGGTTGAACTGACACGATTATATTCGCCGGTGTCACCCCAGTAAGTTCAATAAACATTACAAAAACCCCCAGGGGCAAACCTTGTGCTCAATCTGCGTCTCTGCATCATCAAAGTCAACCGCGGCACTGACGAGGAATGGGAATGGTCCGCGGCGATGGCTCTCTCGCGGGGTTGGTGCTGAGCTCACGGTTTGTGTGGGGAAGTCTCCGAGGCCCCTTCTATGAAATAATTTATGGTAAAAAGGAAACAAAGCCGACGATCGTGTAGAGAGATCTTAGAACAGAACTGCGTGTCTCACGTCCGGCACTGAGGAGGGATTTCAGCAATGTGAAGACAGCCTGTGTATTACACAAGGAGACCTCCTGGAGATTGGGGTGCCTGGGGTGAGGTAATTGAAGGGTCCACAGGTGTCTTCCAGTGGGTAGGTCCTCAGCATCCTGTGACCCTTCTTTTCTCAGGGCATGCATGGGTGTTACTCACGGTAAAAAAATGGCTGCTGTAGCTCCAGCCATCACAGCCCACCTCCCAGTATCCAGAGGCCAGACTGGGATTACTTCCCCTTGGATGTCTTCTTCTGAGACTAAAGAGTTCTTTCCACCAGTCACCAGCTGAGTGAGCTCTTGGTCCTCATCAATACACAAGGGACCATATAAAATTGGTGAAAATTGATCAGGTAAGAACCCGTGAATCCTCAGGGGAAATCCTACATCTGTCAGAAATGTGCAACAGAAAAACGGAGGTCGCATGGGAACTGATAGCGTGTGCTAGAAATCCTTTGCTTGTTTTTGTTGTCAAGCGGCTCCCCATGGTAGTGCTTTATACATCACGAGTTTAATATTTTTCGATGCCTCCAACATGGCTACAAATTTTCAATCATACCCACACACATGTGTCTGCAGACATTGCCCGCATGTTCTCTCCTCCTTTGCTTGTCTTGCAAGCTCATTCCCAGGGCGTCTGTTGCCGACACGGACCTCACACAACCAAGTGGGTTGGGATCTCTTTTGTGGATTCCGGGTTTCAGACCCGTCCCCGGACAGGTCCCGTAACTTTGCAAGTATATCGTTTCTGGCGCGTGAACCAAGTTCCTCGGAATGGGTCTTCGGGAAGAAGCAGACTCACTTTGTCCTAGAGTTTGTCGGGAACCCACAGGAGAGGCGCCCTCTGCTTACCCCGCGCCCGGCGGAGCTCACCAGGTGGCCCGTGTCCACGCTTCCTGGACACCCCCGCAATGCCCCTAGCAGGACGCTCGCTACCTTTATAAATGCACCTACTACCCTGTGTCCAGGGGCGCCCTGTGGGGAACCGCTTCATGCTCTGCTTTCCGAGCAGGGGTTCGGAGCGGGTGGGAAGGTGGGGTGAAGCAGACGCTGGGTGTCTCTGATTCTCGTGTTGGGAGACAGAGGCCGCGGGTCGCCCATGCTACACCTCCTGCCGAAGCATTCTGCTGTGTCTGCCAACCCCTCCCTCTGGCTGCCGTCCACATGCCATCCTGTCCGGTGCCCCAGGTCCGCCATCCGCTGCTCGCTTTCCCCAAATGTCCGCAATCCAAGCAGGGCTCCTCCAGCGTGACTTTGCCTCGGGGAGAATGGCTCACCCATGGGACCAGCCCCACCCCCCCAGGCTCAGTTTCCCGATTCGGGGTGGAGGGGAACGGACAGGTGCATTTGTCAGAACGTCCGAGGGGAGCTGGATGCAGCCACTTCCCGGCTGACCTGGGGCTCCCTCGGAAGACGGGAGATGGGGGACAGCTCAGAGCCCACACGCAGCTTGGGGTGACTGGCTGGCCAGATCGGCTAGGGTGCGTGGGAGGCAAGGGCATGGGTGGGGGGACAGGGGACACAGGTTCCGTCTTGCAACCCCACAAGCCACCTGGTGTTACCTCCTGTTCTCCAGAGAGCTGAAGGGACTGTTGGGGTTCCGTGGAAATCCAGGCGTTCACAGGGCTTCTGGTTCCTGGGGAACCATGGGGAGCTGGTTTCTCGGCGGGGCGGATGGGACAGGCGGTGGGGCTGCCTGGGTCTCTGAGCTGGCATCTCAGGTGACGTGTCCCTCCCCACCCAGCGAGGGCACGCCGCTGGTCCGCAAGCCCGGAGTATGGGTGCTTAACACTCCATCCTCTCTGGGATCCGGGAGTCCCCTTGTCCTCAGCAGACAGCTCTGGTTTGCAGACCCCCTGTCAGCACTGGGGGAGGGGGGTGCTCCTGGCACCTGGCTGGGGGAGAGCACAGGACCGCTCCACACAGAGGAACCCGGCCACAAACATCAGTGCTGCTGAGGGCGACAGATTCCGTCTTCACCTGAGGGACTGTCTGTCTGTCTGTCCACCTGCCTATCCATCTGTCCATCTCTCTGAGAATCTATCCATCTGTCCACCCATCCACCCACCCATTCATCCATCTGTCCATGTGTCCATCCATCCACCCATCCATCCATCCCTCCATCCATCCATCCAACCATCCATTCATCTGTCCATCTATCCCTACATCCAACTGTCCATCCATCTATCCATCCTTCCATCCACCCACCCATCCCTCCACCCACCCATCCATCCACCCATCCATCCATCCACCCACCCATCCCTCCACCCACCCATCCACCCATCCATCCATCCACCCATCCATCCACCCATCCCTCCACCCATCCACCCATCCATCCACCCACCCATTCACCTATCCCTACATCCATCTATCTATCCTTCCACCCACCCACCCGCCCACCCATGCATCTATCCATGTATCCAGTTGCTTGTTCATGCACCCACCCGATATCCACCCACCCACCCACCCATCCATCCACTTGGCAGGTGGCCACCCGAGATGCTGCCGACACCCTGCAGTGCGCAGCAAAGACTTCAGCTCTCTGGACAAGCGCGTCCCGGGGACGTGCCTCTCGGGACCCGTCGTCTGCTCCTGGTGAGACGTGACCAGCGAGAAAGAGCCCAGAAGCTTCCTCTCAGCGTGCAGACGGAGGAGTGTCCCCCAAGTGGCGCAGAGGGAGCTGGCTCGAGGGGCTGGAAAGCAGGAGGCGGCCCTGTGCCCATGTAGCCGGCACAGGAAGCACTCGAGCGAGAGACGCCACCATGAGAATGCAGCTCCAATCGTGTTCTGTCACCTCTGATGGTTCCGCGCAGACAGCCCTGAGACACACCCTGAAGGAGGAAGCCACGGGCGGCTGTGGACGGTGGGACGCCCCCCTCTCGTCCCTCCCGCCTGTCCTGGGGTCAGCCCGGGCTGGCTCCTCCCCGGGGCCTCTCTTGCTACACGGCGGTTTCTCAAGGCGGCCTGATCGTGTCCCCAGAGGCCCCCGGGCCATGTCGGGAGACATTTCAGCGTGCTGCAACTGGGACGGAGGTCTTGCTCCCGGCCTCTGGTGGGTGGGGGCCGGGGAGGCGGCTGCTCGACACCCTCCGGGCACCAGCGAGTCCTCCAGGCCCCCCGTCAGGGGGCGAGGCTGGGCGATGCTGACCCAGTGGGAGACGGCTTTTATCCTCCCTCTTTCTCTCCCTTTCTCCGTGTCTGTCTGACCCTTCATGCGTCCACCCTCTGTCTGTGTATCCAACCCTTCCTCCACCCATTGCCTATCATCTATCTATCATTATCTATCATTATCTATCTATCATTATCTATCTATCAGCCTACCTATTATCTATCTTCTCCTCTTTCTTCATTTCCAAATCCACTTTCATAACAATGCAAAGACCTCTTCAGTCTTTGGAAACGATGTCGGTGCTCCAGAAGGGGCCCAGGGTGGCCCTCCTGGGGCCCGTTGGCTGGTTTTCATGGGGATGAGACCCCCCCCCGACCCCGTGTCCCTCCCCCGGTGACCCTGGCAGAGCGGGAAGCCCAGGTCTCCTGTCCTGTCCCGCAGGAATGTCAGGTCCCTCTGCTGAGTGTTGTCCCCTGGAGCCTGGGGCGGGCAGTCTTCCGAGATCAAAGAGTTTCTGAAATAACCGCTGGGGTTTTTTCTGCCCCCTCCCTGAGGGGCTCTCCATCCATCTTGGGCTGTCCTCTCTTCCTTCTGAGACTCTCTGAAGCCCCCGTGTCCCTGCCCGGGGGGCGGCATCAACTCCGATCCCACCGTTTTCTTCTGTCCGGGCCAAGGCAGTGTCCCGGATGACCAGCCCTCCAGGCAGCACCCTTGGGCACCCACCTCCCTGGTCTCCGTCCTCTCCACCTGTCCATGCGAGGGGATAGGTGCTGCATCTCACTAGAGGTTTCCCCTGGGGTCCCCCAGAGGTTTCAAGCTGGGGGGGCGGTGCGCGGAACCGCACCTGAGCTGCAGACCCTGGTCTGTCCAGTTCTGGACGGTTGCCTCGAACTCCTCCTCGCCAACACGTGGACATCAGGACGGTCCATGCCCCAGCCTGGACTTCTCGGGGCAACCCTTCGTGGCTGGCTGCCATGGCCCACGCCCTCCACGGCACCCTACAGCCCAGCGAGGGCCTCCTCCGTGCCCCTGCACGTATTGCCCCAGGAATGGCTGGGCCTGAGGCGCGCCCAGACAGTCCCCTGTCGGCTCGGGTGTTGGGGGCCTGATGTTAATCCGCCGTCACCAAGGAGACACTGATCGGGCCCTTATCTCCAGCTCCCGGGCTTTGCAGAATCCGAGGGAGGAGGAATGCAAGAGGCTGGGGGGGGGGCACTGATTTTCATCCGAATGCACTTTCTGTCTGAAGCGCACAGGCGTTCACCCATCCATTTGTTCGCCCACCTCACTCGCTCGCTCACACACGCCTGCACTCATGAATTCACTCACTTCATTCATTCCCTCGGGCGTATAGGACCGCTCTCGCGCATTCCTCCGCTCTCCGGTGCGTGCGTGCGTAAACCCCTGAGTTCATTGACGCGTTCGTGCGTTCCTCTCACCAGCGCACGAGGTCATAGACTCTGTCCCTGGAGTCTGCATTCAGGGTTTCTTCTCCTAGTTCCTCCTTCATCCACGCGTTTATTCACTCACTCGTTCGGTCACCCAGCGCCTCGTCGGTGCATTCAACTCACCGGTCACACGCGCCCGCGCGCGCATTCGTTCCCTGACTCCTGGCAGCGCTGAATCACTCACTCACTCCCTCACTCCGTGAAATAGCCGTTGTTGCTCATTCATGTAGCCACTCTCGCAGCCCTGCGCGCCTGCGTGCTCCAGTTACTCTTCCCTTCCCTCCACGAGATCCTGGAATGCAGATCCCGGGCTGGCGCCTTTCCACCGTGGCATCCACGCGGACTGCGCGCTGGCCTGGCGCCCAGGCCCTTGAGGCCATGGCAAACATTTACTTTAGGGCCGGCTGGTTAAAGGTCAAGTGTCCGAACCGCGAGATCGCGGACTCCTGCCTGCAGCGGGGAGGGGGCTGCGACGGGGCTGGGGCGGGGCACCCCCGGGGCCGCAGGAGTCGCCCGGGCGAGCGCGGGGGAGCCGGGGCGGTGGAGACCCGCGCCCGAGGGGCCGGCCAGAGGCGGGACTGGGCTTCCGGAGAGCGACCAATCGCTGGGCCCTGTCCGCGGGGCCTCCCGGGACCGGTGGAGCCGCTCTGCCTGAGAGCTGGGGAGGTGTTGGGGGTGGGGACAGAAGGGTCCCGGAGACACAGCCTGCCGGAGCGCGCAGAAGGAGCCGGAGACCCAGCGGTTCGGGAGCGTGGAAGCCTCGTGGGCGCGGAGGGGGCGAGCGCGCCAGGCTGCCGGAGTGCGGAGAGGCGGTGAGGTGCGGGGGCGGGGAGCGCGGAGGTGGACCTCAGCGGGAAGAGGTAACCGAGGGACGCCGCGCGCCGAGCGGACCGGAGGGGCGGGCCGCAGCGGGCCGCACGGGCCTGAGGAGCCCGGAGGAAGGGCGGCGCGAGGCGGGGACCGGGATGGCTCCGGGACGGACCAGGGGTACGAGGGGAGCCTGGCCGGCAGACAAAGGCTGCCCCCAAGCGCCGGGTGGGGGGAAGAGGGGTGGGGCGCAGGGGTCTCGGAGGTGGCCGGGGTTCCGCGGGGCCCAGGTGACTCGGAGCGAGAAGTGGGCACCGGGCTGGAGCTGCACCGCGGGTGTGTCTCGCAGGCCTGGACGTCGGCGCCGGTTCCCGGGAGACTTCGCTGCTGCTAGGCCGGGCTACAAGCAGGAGAGTCCACCCAGCGCGCCCACGGCGCGCGGAGCCTCGGACCATGCCGGGTGAGTCGGGGAGCCGAAGCCCCTTCCATTCAGCCTGTCTCTGTGCCTCCTGGCACGCGCGGGAGTAGTGTGCACTGGGCACAGCCCCGCCGCGCGCCACGGTCAGCCCAAACCCCTGGTCTCCCAGCGCCTGCGTGACCAACGTGTCCGAGCGTGGGGAAGCTGGCGGCGCCCGCCGAAGTGGGAGGTGGGGATGTTGCAGCGGTGGGGAGGAGCGGCTCACAGCCTGGTGGGGGCATTCAGAGTTCACCATTCTCCTTCTGCGGAAAAAAAAAAAGGCAGCTCTGGGGTTTCAGTGGGCAAGTTCCTCGGCCACAGCGCTGAGGTATCTCGGATTCCCGGTGAGTGGAAACAGATGCGAAGGGCGCAGCGCCCCCGGGCCCCAAACTCCGGGAAAGCAGTGCCTTGGGGTTCTCGTGAGCTCAGACCCCGCGCCTGTGTCGTGATTCCCGTAAAGGTCCGCGGTTAAACCCTCCGCAGGCCGCCAAGTCCAGACAGAGGGCGCGTGGCTCTTGCGTCGGCGGCCCAGTCTGGTCCCCAGGGGCCCGCGTTCATTTTCATGTGTGTGTCTGCCCTTGGACTCGTGCGAGTGCTGTGGATCGGGTTGGCATCCTTAAAACAGCCCCGCTCCGGGGTGAGACCTGATTGTGCACAGGCAGTTTGTTTGTTTGTTTGTTTGTTTTTACAAAGTTTGGATTCTGGGCAGCAATGCGATCCGTGCCCAAGCGGCTTCTGCGTGGTGGCGTCCCTCCGGTCCGGCCTTAGAAGTGGCCGTGTGGGGGGCAGAGGAAGAAGAAGGGCTGTTTCCCGGGGAGCGCGGGGCAGAAAGGCTGTTCTGTCCCCCCCCCCAACCCCCTCACGGCTAGAGCTCTCCGCGGTGCAAGACCACGCTGCCCCCCCCCACCCCCGCGGGAGGCTGGCGGGGCCCACAGAATGGCCGCATTCAGCCCCGGACCTGCGGACACCTCTCCGTCAGCCCCAGGACGTGCGGTGCACACGCCTCCGTGTGGGTTCCCGGCCCGTGGCAAGGGGCACAACACCACCTTTGAGCAGAGCGGGCAGCGGCGGGGAGGCAGGGCCCGCCAGCCCGTTGCTATGTCAGGGGCCGGCTGCGGGGCGACGGCTGGAGCGCGGCCCAGGCCGGGCAGGGCCGCCCTAAACACGCCTCCCGGGTTTGTGTGACCAGACGCACAGCCGCCTGGACCTTGAGGCTCCGCGAGCCGGGGTGTCGCCAGACTCTCTGTCTCTCTCTCTTCTTTCTTCCTTTTCGCCTGGGTTTGCAGAAACAAGGACAAAGGGTGTTTCTTTCTTTCCCCTCTGCGCCCCGCTGCCAGGTCCCGTGCAAAGGCGCCCCCCTCGAAAGCGGCGACCTCGGACAAGTAGGTAATCCATCGGCCTGTCGCTGGCCGCTTCTTCCGTGCAAAGCCACCTGGATACTTCTCCTCCTCCTCCTCCTCCGTGCGAGGAGACTCCTCTGGCCCGTCTGTGCGTTTTGGATGGAGCTCCCGCGCGCGCGGGTCTGCCGCGTTGCGTCTGCGCCCGGGGGAGCCGCGCCGCACAGTGTGCCTCCGCGGCTTGCGTCTGCGGTCTCGTCAGCGCCTCCTCCGCCACACGGGCAGTCGCTGTCCCTCGTGGGCGCGGAGACAGCCCAGCTGCCGCCTCCGCCCGGCCCTGTCTCTCTCTGCTTCCCCGTGGGTGTGGCGCCCCGTCCTGCCCCACGGCCGCGTCCCGCCGCCCTTGGGCCTTGCCTTTGCCCCGGCGCCTCGGCCACCTCGGGTCCCCGCGCACCTCGAAAGGCGACGCGGTGCTGTCTTCCGCCGGTTGTTGAAAAAGCTAGACAGCTGGATAGTTCGGGGGCGGACAGGTAAATGGCTAGAAAGAGGCGGAGGTGGATGGTATGTGTTAGAGAAATAGATGCTCAATCCACAAATAGGTGGTAGATAGGTAGGAAGAGCCATGATAGATCGATATAGATGATAAATACCATATAGAGGTAGATAGATAGATGGTAGATAGATATACACATGAACAATAGATAAATGATGGACCATACACAGAGAGATGAGAAGTATCTTTGGAGTTGCAGACTTTCACTCCTGGAGCTAGCTGTGTCACTCACGGCAGAGATGTCAGAGATCCTGACAACTTCTTAATTCGAGCCAAAAAAAAATAAATAAATAAAGCCCCCAAACAAACAAAACACGCCCCCCGCCAGCACGGTACAGACAGGCTCCAGCGGGGACAGGCTCGCTGGGGAGTTAATTCGGATGCGCTGTCCCTGTCAGGGCGTCACCTCCGGGGGAAACGGAGCTCGGAGACTGTCTCGGCTTGTCACGTTCCGCCCGTCTGTGCGTCTGTGCGTCTGTGCTCCACCTGCTCCGAGGGCTGCCCGGCCCCGGGCGCCGTGGGGCCTGCGGCGGGGACCCTTGGGTCTTCAGGAACGGAGTTCTGTGTGCCCCGGCAAGCGCTGCCCGCGGCGCATTGTAATTTCCACCGGCCGCCCGGCCGCTTGCGCCAGCCACAGATCTCTCTCCCCGCCGTCACCTCTGTCCCGGCAACCAGCTCCCGGGGGCCCAGAATCTGGAGTTTGAGAGTCCCTGCACTGGCTAGCGCCCTGAGTGTGCACTCGGACTTAGCATGCTGCCGTAGACTGCTTCTCGTGCCGTTGGCCTGCCTGCCCCTCCTGGGGAGACGGGACACGGAGAACGTGAGGTTGAATGAAATGATATGTTTTCCTCCCTCCCCTCGCCTCGGCCTCCTAGACCCTGGAGCTGCGGCCTTTGCAAGCACCGGTTTGTGCAGGATGGAACCGCCCCTGAGCAGCATTCTTTCTGAGTTGGGCGGGTGGTGGGGGGTGTGGGGGTGTGGGGGTGGGGCATCTTCATTGGAAAGCAGATAATCCGATTGTTGCTGCCTCTTCTGCTTTGATTCCTTGGACGGTTCCAATACGTGAGGTGAACTTTGGAGACTTCCGCGCAGAAGGAAAGAAAAGGCTGTAGCCTTGTGCACCCACAGCCTCTTAGCTTCTTAGCACCAGGAAACTTAGTTTGTTTATTTTTATATACTGATTCGAGAGAGAGGAAGAGAGAGAGAGAGATCAGTCTGTTGTTTTGCTGACTCGTGCAGGATTGGCCCATGTACGCATTTGCTGGTTGATCGTTCCCTGTGCCCCGATCAGGGATCGAACCCCCAGCCTCGGGGTATCCAGACGACACTCCAAGCCACCGGGCTCCTTGGCCGGAGCTAGGAAATGTGCATTGTGCTCTGGGTGGCTTATCTTCACGTCTAGGGTTCCTTGGAATTTCCTCTGTGTGTGTGTGTGTGTGTGTGTGTGTGTGTGTGTGTGTACATGAAAGCACACATGTGAACTGTTGCTGGCAAACGTTTTAGAATGTCGACCGGCCACGCTGTGTGCGTCGTGAGGCTTAGGAGAGCAAGGGGTGCTCCCGTCGCCGGCGCCGTCCCACGAGATGTCACAGGAGAGTGACCGCTGTTCGTCCCTCTGTGCCCACAGTGTCCGACCAGGCGTTCGTCACGCTGGCCACCAACGACGTCTACTGCCAGGGGGCGCTGGTCCTCGGCCAGTCCCTGAGGAACCACAGGGCCACGCGGAAGCTGGTGGTGTTGGTCACGCCTCAGGTGTCCAGGCTGCTCAGGTAAGCACACCTGGGGACACGCCTGTGCCCAGTGGGCGGCTCTGGCAGGAGGAAGGTCGCCTAGGCGTTGTCCATCGTCCTGGACCACGGGCAGGGAAGGGATAGATGGATGGATGCTGGATGGAGGCACGCATGATGGACAGATATGGTCGATAGATATCAAGACTCTCTTAGAGGACCCTCAACTCTTATTCAGGGAGGGAACTCCCTCCAGGTATGTGCTACAACTGAGAGTAGCACCTGTGGGGAGGCTTTGATGCCCCCTGGGGCCATGGGGCGGGTAGGAGTATGTACATTTTGCTCCCCCCACTGAGTGGCGGAGGAGGCGAGGGCGGGTGGCCAGCACCCTACTCGGAAGTGGCAGGGTTTCCCGGCCGGAACGGTCCAGGAGATTTGGGGGAGCTCTGAAGGAGCCACTGAAGGGTGTAACTGACAACTTTCAAGGCATAAAATGCATGGAAAGGAAGAAATAAAAATACAAGTCTTGCAGTGAAAGGTGGGGAAGGATTACAGAGAAGAAGAAAGTATGATCAATTTTTTTGTAAGATTTTATTTGTTTATTTTTAGAGAGAGGGGAAGGGAGGGAGAAAGAGAGGGAGAGAAACATCCATGTGTGGTTGCCTCTTGTGCGCCCCCTACTGGGGACCTGGCTTGCCACCCAGGCACGTGCCCTGACTGGGAATTGAACCGGGTGCTCAATCCACTGAGCCACACCAGCCAGGGCAAAAAAGCATCATACATTTTAAAAGGAAAAAGTAAATAAACTGGTAGGACTTAATTCACACGTATCCACGATTCTAATCAAGGGAGACAGATTACAATCCCCTTTTAAACATGCTGTTTCTCCTCAAAATCTTTACCAGTTGGGTTTTTAGTGCCTGTAGCAGAATCTTGACCCCCCAAAATTGTTCCTGTGCAGTTTTCCGCAGTAATGGTAATTTTCTGTTTCCCTCCTTCCTTCCACATTTATTACTTGGGATTTTTCTGTGAAGAATAGCTACCCTTGGTGCCCATTTATGTATTCATTTCATTTTGATATCGGTCCATGCCCGTGAATATGCATTTTACCTTTCGGGTTTCTTATGGATGTTGTTGGTCCAATTCTTTCAGCTGTGGCCACTGGGAGCTTCTCCTGTCTGGCTCCTTATTTCCTTTTCATGTGCTGTTAGCCTTTTCCTCCCTCTTCCTTTGTTTTTTTTTTTATCCTCACAAGATCTCGTAGGCTGTGTTGAAATAATATGCAAGCAAAAACCAGTACATAGAAGACAGGCACATTTCATTCGGATAGAGGGTAACGGGTGTTTCACCATTTCCCTCTCCAACTTGTACGCAACGAACAACCTGTGTTCTCAACACGGAAAGCAAACCCCGGTAGACATGGCCACAAACGTCGGTGGGTTGCTACCTGCTGAACCTTCCCTGCTCACTGCCACCCACTTTGCAAACACAGGTGCCTTCCTAAGCGCCCACCTGACTCGGTCTCTCTTAAGTCATTTCTGAGCAGTCTTGTCAGGTTGTCTGAGTCTGCATCCTTTTCGAGCATGAGCGGAAAAAGTGTGCGAAGCTCTAAGGCATGCATGGAAGACAAACAAAGCCAGGCCCTGGGCTGGTGGCTCGGTGGGTTGGAGCCTGTCCTGGGCACCAAGAGAGAGAAGTTCGATCCCCGGTGAGGGCAGGTTCGATCCCCAGTCGAGAGGCACGCGGGAGGCAGCGGGTGGATGCTTCTCACATCCATGCTTCTCTCTCTCTCTCTCTCCCTGTCTCTCTTTCTGAAATGAGTGAGCGTCTCCTTGGGTGAGGATTAAAAAAAAAATACAAAGAAAGCCAGGATCTGTAAGGCTGCAGAGAATGTGGAGGGAGGGACCCAGACTCCTGTTCCCTGGCCGTGAGCCGCAGCCGGCGCGTCCCGCCGAAGGCAGGCACCGATCCCGGGTTCGAGGCCGGCCCGCCCTCCTGCTATCCCACCAATGTCTTCCCCAGGCTCGTCCTGTCCGAGGTGTTCGACGAGGTGGTCACCGTGGACCTGATAGACAGCGCCGACTACGTGCACCTGGCTTTCCTGAGGCGGCCCGAGCTCGGGGTCACCCTCACCAAGCTGCACTGCTGGACGCTGACGCACTACAGCAAGTGCGTGTTCCTGGACGCGGACACGCTGGTGAGGAGCGCCACTCGCGGGGTGGGGGGCGGGGCGCCCGTGCGCCCCGACGGCCACAGGCCCCTGTCCGCAGCACGGGCGTTCCTTTGTTCTGCCCGCGCCCAGCACCGCATCCCCACCTGCGCTGGAGTGCCATCTCGTCTCCTTCCCCTGGAGCCGTTTACAATGACATCATTCCACTTGCGCAAACCAGAATAATTCCAAAAAAAAAAAAACCCATTAAAAATCCACCTTGCGTTGTCTCCCTGATTGGACGGGAAAACGCCTGGACTCTTGCGCTCTGGCGCCCCCAGCGGTCATTTCGGGGACTGCACCTGCGCGGTGGCATTGCGGGGAGGGCGCTCTCCAAAACACCCCTTGCCAAGGCGCAATGCTAACGGAAGTTGGCGCGTGGCGTGCCCACTCTTGGGGCGGTTTTGCACAGACAGAAGTAGCTTTTTTGCGCACACACACACACACACACAGAGACCCAAAGGGAAATGAGAGCAAGGCACAATCAGAGTAATGATTGTGGAGAGGTGCTTTACGGGACCACCATGAGGTCGCCAAGCTCCCAAACGCGGTGGATTGCGTTATATTCACGCACACGCCTCTGCGTTGCTGAGTCTGTGCCGTTTTCTTTGCTCGGTGAGAGGCCGCGCAGTGAAGTGCCGTGCACGCCATGCGGAAGCCCGAGAAAATAATTTGTTTTTACACACGTTGGGGCTCCCGTTGCTTGAGATAAACAGGAGCCGTCCGAGTCCCGCAGGCCTCTCCAGCCCTTCGTGGCCGGGACGCGCTCCGAAGTCTGCGTCCTTACACGGTTTGGAGGTGGACACAGTCAGTGTGCCGTGTGTGAGGCTGCTGCCAGCGTGACAGGGCACACTATTTCCCAGCAAATTCGTTTTTATAGAAGCAGAAACAATGTCCTTTAAACTAACAATCAGAATGTAGCACAGTAAACACGGAAACCAGTAAACATTGTTGCATGGATCAAGTGTTAGGCACTTATATACTTATGTCCCGCCGGGTTTTTGTTTTTGGGGTTTTGTTTTTTTATCCCCCTGGTGCTGGGTTGGTGAACACAGCGTCATCCCCAACACGTATGTCATAGGTTGTGCGGCATGTTACATTGTATGACTCTGCCGTGTGCACAATGTCACTACATGACAGGGAGTTTCCAGTGCTGTGTGACCACTGCCAGGTACTCCGTCCCTCAGCGGCCAAAATGTTAGGCACACAGGACTGGACAGGGTTGAGAGAAAAAAGCTACTGACACAAATCGGGCACAGGGTTTTTTTTTTTCCCATCACCCAACGCCGCCTGGCCCGTCCGCCAGCCTCTCCTGCACCTGTGTGACCTGGGAACCAGGTGCCTGGCTGCAGGTCCCCACCTTCGGTTCCGCCAGGTGCTGTGCAACGTGGACGAGCTCTTCGAGAGGGGGGAGCTGTCGGCGGCCCCCGACCCCGGCTGGCCGGACTGCTTCAACAGCGGGGTCTTCGTCTTCCAGCCGTCCCTGGACACCCACCGGCAGCTGCTGAGGCACGCCACGGAACACGGCAGCTTTGACGGTGCGTGAACCCCGCCCCCCAGTCCCCCCCCAGCCCCCTCCCCGCCCTCCCGGGTCTCCGAATGACAAGGGGACATGAGTTAAAGACCTGGATGGAAGGAAACAGCCAGCAGGGTGACAGGAAGAAACGAAGCGATAGAGTCAGCCAATATGCAGCAAAAGTCCCCTGGGAATATCTTGTACCAGTATCAGGACTGGCCCCCAATCCTGATCGCACAGAGCAGGTCGGCACACCTTTCTCCATCTACAGGGGCCAGGTGACCCACATTGTGGCGACATCTGTGGGAAATATTCAACTCCACCCTTGCACAGGGGAAGTAGCCACTGACGAGGCTTCCCCAGATGAGCGTGGCTGGGTCTCAATAAAACTTTATTTATCAAAGCCGGTGCAGACTTTAGGTGGCCAGCCTTTGCTACGGAATGAAAGGGAAGAATTCAGCTGACCCGACCAGAAGCCCACGGTTTGGCTGAATGGGCATTAACCGACGGCAAAATGGCTAGAGTTTTGGTCCTGTAAAAACAAATACTGGACATGGATCATCTCTCGCTAAGGAGGAGTTCATGAACAGGGTGGAAAAAGCATGGTCACTGTAAGGTGGAATTCGTTGTGGGTGGGGTGGAGGATTTTGAAGACAGTTGGCATTTCTTTTTAAGATTTTATTTATAAAGTTGTAGAGAGAGGGGCAGGGAGAGAGAGAGACAGGGAGAGAAACATCCATGTGTGGTTGCCTCTTGCACGCCCCCTGCTGGAGGCCTGGCCTGCAACCCAGGCATATGCCCTGACTGGGAATCGAACCCGTGACCCTTTGGTTCACAGGCCCGTGCTCAATCCACTGAGCTACGCCAGCCAGGGCAAGCAATTTTATTATTAGTGTTCTGGCCGATCAGTGGAGAATTTTGGAGACAATGTGCATTTTTAAAATAATGGTTTGCTATTAACGGTATGAGCTCATGGTATTATTTTTTTCAGCGTGTGACTGGTATTAAGTCCTGGCACCACGGTGCATGGGATGGATATTCAGAGTAATGCCTAGTTTTACCGTAAATGGTCAATTATTCATGGCATGCACTAAGTGGTAACTCATAAAAAATGAATGCCGCGGACCCGAATCCTCCCTGGAGAACCACGGAGGTTCCAGCCTGGGGCACGTTCCAGCCTGGGGCAGAGCGCAGCCTGGGAGGCGCCGACCTTGAACGCCCTTCAGCCCCGCTCCGCCCCGCCCCGCGCGGCGCGCGCGCGCGCGGCCATCCCGAGTCCCGCGCCGCTAACACGACTTCGGGTGTCCGGCAGGGGCCGACCAGGGCTTGCTGAACAGTTTCTTCGGCAGCTGGCCGACGGCGGACATCCGCAAGCACCTGCCGTTCGTCTATAACCTCAGCAGCAACGCGGCGTACACCTACAGCCCCGCGTTCCAACAGTGAGTCCCCCCGAGGCCCCGCCCCTTGCTGCGAGGGCGGTTCCCAAAGTGTTGCCCAGGGAACCCCTGGGGGGTTCCGCGCGCTGCCCCCGCGCGCGCCTGCATGGGACAGGTTGAAAAAACGAATTCCACAGTGGTGTTTCGCTTCGTTTTTCCACTCTCACTTTTTTTCATCAGCCGACAGCGGCACTTCCCAGGGACTGTAGGATGTGATGGAGCCGTGTATGCATGGAATGGGGGACACAGAAGGAAACAGCTTACAATGATCAGTGCCACCTTTTGACAATTTTTTTTTTCTGGAGGGAGGGGAACAGATATTTCCAAAATAATTTTAATGCCTGTAATTAGTAGTGGGCAGCGATGTTATGGGATAACTTGAATACATTGGTGTTGCCATATTAGGCACTGGTTTTTTTTGTTTTTTTTTTTTAACGCATTGCAAAAGACACTCTGCAATGTCTAGTTCCCCTTTCTGGCGCGGTGAAATGTGTCTGGAGAGACTCCTCCAGGACGACGCTGTCGGTCCTCAGTGACTTTTCAGAATGCCAGCCGGCCCTGGGGCCAAAGCGGGTGCCCTCGGCTGCTGCTGCAGGTCCCCCCCCCACCCCCCCGCCCCACCGGTTCTAAAGGGACATGGAGCATCTGAGAAGAACCTAGAAAGGGAATAAATAAGTCTCAAGCATGTATCTGTCACAAGAGCCATAGTCCCCACCAGGAGGCAGGCACCGGTGCTTTGGGCGTGAAAACATCGAATCCTTTCTAACGTACAAAGCCCGTGTGGGATGCACATGGATGCAGAGCTACCGCAGTGTTGCCATTTCATCAGAAGGCAATTACCGGGGCGGGAGGGGGGAAATGTCTATTCAGGTGTCCGGGGAGGGGCGGGGCCTGGGGTGGGAATGCAGCCTGGGGCAGCCACGGTGGGAAACCACATGGAGGCCCCTCAGACATGTAAAAGTAGGGCCGCCATACAACCTAGCCTTCCCACTCCTGCATGCTTCTCTGCCGAAAACAAAAACACTATTTTGAAAACATGTGTGCACCCCTGTGCTCATTACCCTATTACTTAAAGTAGCTAAGATACGAAAGCTACCTGGCTGTCCACCCATAAGACAAGTGGATAAGGAAGATGCAGTGTATACACCCAGTGGAATATTACTGAGCCATGAAAAGGGAGGAAGTCTTACCCTTTGTCCCAACGTGGTTGGACCTGGAGGGTATTGTGAAATGAGTCAGAGAGAGAAAGACAAATAGCGTATGATCCCACTTGTATGCGGGATCTCAAAAAAGAAACAAACAAACACACTAAAAAGCAGAAACAGATGCAGACACGGAGAGCAAGCTCACGCCTGTCACAGGGGAAGAGCTGGAGGCAATGGAATGAAAAAAAAACCCCATAAAAAATAACTAACCGAAGGAAAAATAAATAAACAAAAACGTCCCTGGGTGTGGGCTGTGGGCGATAACGGAAAACACCGAAAAGGTTGACCGGGAAAAACTCTTCACCTTGTCTGAGAAGCCAGCCTTTTGGGGGGCGGGGGGGGGGTGGGGCAGGTCACCTCCTGTGCCGCAAAACCCGCCCTGGACTGTGTCCCTGTGGTTGTAACAAGATGGTGATGACCTCGCCTCCTACGGCGTCAGTCTTTAGCAAACCCTTCATTGATCGTTCCCAGTTTGGGGGGCTGTTCCCCGTGGGTTATGGTGACGTTTCATTCCCGGGATTCTCAAACTGCAATGCCGCCCGCATAGATCATGTTTTAAAAATTAAAAATAATAATAATAATAGTAATAATAAAGCCATACCCCCACACTATCATCTTTAAGCAATCCCTTGAAGTTTTCGCTTAAACAACTGTGTGGGAAAGCTGAGGTGATCTCACCGTGTCGGTAAAGCCGTAAGACACGCCCTGGACACGCCTCGTCACGCGTGTGTCCGCCCGGCCGCCGTCGGAGAACCTCCGCGGTGTCCTCTGCCCCGCAGGTTCGGCTCCGGCGCCAAGGTGGTGCACTTCCTGGGGGCGGCCAAGCCCTGGCACTGCAAGTACAACCCGCAGACCGGCTCCGTGTCGCAGGAGGGGCCCGGGCTGGCCCCCCCGCACCAGCTGTCCTTCCTCAGCCTCTGGTGGGACATCTTCCACCGCGGCGTGCTGCCTCTGTACGGGCGCGTCCGGGACGCCGAGGGCCACGCGCCGGCCGCACACACGGTAAGGGCGGCGGCTCGCGCCTTGGCCTGTGGCCGCTGCGAATATTGTCATCATTTTGCACGGGGGGGGACAGAGGATGGTTACAGTGTAAGGTGCCGCAGTGTTGAAGCACTCTGTGGCACGCCTAAAGGTAATCTCACGTTGTATGCCGACTGTCCTTTAATTTTTTTTTAATTATTTTTTTAAAGATTTTATTTCTTTATTTCTAGAGAGGGAAGGGAGGGAGAAAGAGAGAGAGAGAGAGAAACATCAATGTGCGGTTGCTGGGGGCCATGGCCTGCAACCCAGGCATGTGCCCTGACTGGGAATCGAACCTGCGACACTTTGGTTCGCAGCCCGCGCTCCATCCACTGAGCTACGCCAGCCAGAGGTCCTTTAATTTTATTAAAACAAAATTGAGCCCTGGCCGGTGTGGCTCCATAGGTTGGAGCATTGTCCCGGACACCAAAAGGTCGCGGGTTCGATCCCCAGTCTGGACGCACGCAGGAGGCGACAGATCCATATTTTTTTCTCCTTCCCTCTCTGCCTCCCCTCCCCTTTGTCTTAAAACGATAAGTGCATCCTTGGGTGAGGGAAAAAAATAAAATTAAACGACATATTTTGGAAAATAAAGCAAGAGTCGAGAGCGGAGAGAAGCTCTCCACAATGGACCCCTCGTCTGTGGCCCCCAAAGGGGTCCCTTGCCTCTCCCCAGAGTCTGTTTCGGGCGGAAAGGTCATCAGGACAAAGGTGACCTTTCGGGGACTCCGAACAGGGACTCTGACGAGCAGAAAGGCTGCTGCTGCCCTAGTCCAGGACCGACCCATAAATAATGCAGGGAAAATGAATTATGTAAATTAGCTGCTTCATCAAGGAGAGAGCCTGTCTCATGAGTGCCTGCAGATGACTGATGACCTTTTCGTGCGAGGAGACACCTCCCTCTGTCTCTCACTCACGTGGCAATCGGAGGGAGCGCGTGGAGAGGATTTTAAAAAATCGCTGGCAGCTAGTTGCTGGTAAAAAATATATATACAAGCCCTGGCTGCCGTAGCTCAGTGGATGGAGCGCGGGCTGCCAACCAAAGCATCACAGGTTCGATTCCCAGTCGGGGCACATGCCTGGGTTGCAGGCCATGGCCCCCAGCAACTGCACATGGATGTTTCTCCCTCTCTTTCTCCCCACCTTCCCTCTCTAAAAAAATAAATAAATAACATCTTTAAAAAATCTTTAAAAAAATATATATGTAATGACAACCTTTCATGCTCCAGATCATGAAGTGTGTCCCGTGGATTGGATGTGAAGTCATGTGCCCGGCCAAAGGCCTTTTGAGATTCGGTCTCCGGAATATATTGTGTGATGAGTTTTTAACCAGTAGACTTCCCCGGGAGAGTGGGGTTTGTTTGATTGTAAATTTGCTTCTTTAACACAAGTATCAGAAAATAAATATCGGGCTTGGGAGCTGACCCTTTCCCTCATTTTTCAACTCGGGCGGATAGGAACGTACTTGTGTCGGTGTTTTCGGCTGGGCACTGCGGGCCGAGGTAGAGTCTAGCTCCGCCCACAGGTGTGTGTGGGGGGTGCATGGGGGGTCCTTCTCACCTAGGAGGCAGCGGCTTCGTCAGAGGCCACCTGCCACCTGTGTGCTTCCACACGGGCGACTCGGCGAGCGCTCTCATCACCAGGAGTCCTTCAGCCGTGTGGTCGGCCGGGGGCTGTGGCATCTCACGCTCTTGATTCCCGAGCTCCCGGCTGTGGGCTCGGCCAGCTCAGCACGGGTGTGGGTCACGTGGAGGTGCTGGGGGTGCCTTCCAGGGGCACGGCATTCACTGGGGCGGGGGGAACTTACGTCGAGCAAATACAGGTGGCAGGGTTGGGGCTCGTGGGCCACGCGGAGAATGGGTGGGTGTCGGCAGCCCGAGCGTTGAAACCAGCTCAGGGCAACTTCCTGAGCGTGTCCCATTTTCGCTGCAGGCCGGAGTCGGCGGCACTGAGGTGCCCTGTGCCAAGGCAGCTCCCCCCGCCCAAGGGCCGTGGGCGGACTCCGTGGCAGGGGCCCACCAGCCTTGGCCCCCTGAGGACCCTGTGGAGCTGACACCAGTTGTGAAAGAGGCCCCACCCTCCCCTTTAAAAAGCCGTTCGGAACTCGTGAGTACCTGCACGCCACCCATGCGGGTGTGGTGGTGGGCCGTCCGACATGGGGTCCCCGCGGGGACAGAGCAGGGACCCCCCCTCCGGGGTCCTGGGAGGGGCCGGGCCGGGGGGCACCCCATCTCCAGCCCGCTCTGCCGCACGCGGTCCGGCATCTCCGCAGGTCCCTGGGCGGGTGCAGGTGGTGGTGGACCCCACAGTGGGGGCCCCAAGGGGTCTGCGCCCCGATCCGCCACCCCAAAGGCACTCCCCTGCGTGGGGACAGGGACCCGGCAGTGCCCTGGGTGGGTGCATCGCTCGCAGGGGCGGACAGAGGCCTCAGGTCTCTGCCGTGCACACCTGAAAGGCAGGTGTAGCACATCGCAGGTCACCTGTCACCGAAATCTACAGCTGCAAGACGCAAAGGGTCAGGGGCCTGGGGAGGTGGTCCCGGATGGCCCGGGCAGAGGGGGAGGAAGGGGGTCAGTATCATCCCAGGGCACCTGGGAACAGGGGGATGTGAGGGCGGAGGAAGGGGGTGGGACCAGGGAAGCTGAGGGTGGCGCCATGCTCTCTGGAAGCTGGAACAGGTGAGGTGCCCGGTCCCCTGCGGGAGCCTCCGGAAGCAACCCAGTGCTGCCGACACCTGGACGTGACCCCGGGGAGACCCGCGAGGGGCTTCTCACCTGCGGAGCTGGTCTCAGGCCAGCTCTCAGGCCCCTGCTGTGTGGCCCCTTGTTGCAGGAAACTCATACATACACGCACCTGAGGACAGGTGTTGCTTCTGACCTCAATACTCGGGGGAGCCCCGAAACTTTGCAGTTCAGAGTGGGGTGCGCTTAGGGCTCCTGGCAGCTCAGCCAGGGCCAGGGCACGGGACCCTGCGTGAGGGAAGGCCTGGCCCAGAGCCCCACCTGGAGCAGGACACCTGCAGGTTCACCTCCTCCCGCCTGTCGTTTCCCCGGCCGAGGCTGGAGCTTTCCGTCCGGGGACCAGGAGAGGCGCCCCCGCCCGACTTGCACACCTGAGCACAGCCTCCCGTGCGTGAGGCGGCTGGCTCTCCATGCCCATCTCTGAGCATGCACATTGGGGTGCGTGTGCCGTGTTGACGGGTTTCTCGTGATACATCCTCACGGGCGAAGTCCCTGAGATTCTTACTGACACTGTCGGGAACTCACTCACAGTGGTGGGGGGTGTGTGTGTGGGGGGGGGGTGTCTGGGGGTGTGTGGAAGGGAAGTCCTCTGTGCCTCCGTGTTTCACACACTTTTCCCAGCTCTGTTCCTCGCTGCCTGCGAACAGCCGGTGTTGACACTGTCGCGATTGGCTCTGTGGAAGGCACCCGGTTTTATCGGACAATTCTATGGAATCCACTTTGCACAGGAATCCGTTGTGAGTGGTGGTGTCAGCCCCCCCCCAACCTGCACCGTTGGAAAGGACCCTCCGGTTTGCACAGGGAAGAAGACGGAGGTGGTAGGAAATGCGCTTTTTTTTTTTTCCTTCAAGTTTTTCATGTCTTCTCTCCACCGCCCGGGCCCGGCCCCCTGGGTGGGCCTGGCCCCAGGAATGCCGGCTGGGAGTTAAATATAGGGCCAGCACCCCCCCACCCCCACCCCGCGGCAGGAATGTGAGGAATGCGGTGTTATGTATGGAGCTGCCCTCTCTTCCCCCATGGGCAGCCGCGCCCGCAGGAACACGCAGAAAAACCAGCATGGCCAGGGGCACACGGAAGGGGACGCAGCCCCTGCGCAGCAGGCCACCGGAGTCCTCACTCGCGGCCCCTCAGAAAACCGTCTGCAGTACGAGACAAGACTCCGACGAGTGCTCCATGCTCCGGGGAGAGCAGGTCTCGCAGGCCTGAGCCCCTCGGCGGAAATCAGAAGGCAGAAAAGGGTCCCTTTAAGAAACTTCCAAGCCCTGGCTGGCATAGCTCAGTGGATGGAGTGCGGGCTGCGAACCAAAGTGTCGCAGGTTCGATTCCCCGTCAGGGCATATGCCTGGGTTGCAGGCCACGGCCCCCAGCAACTGCACATGGATAAAAAAAAAAGAAAGAAAAAAGAAAAAGAAACGTCCAGACGTCTCTGAGGAATGTTTGCGAGTTTACCGGAGCCCATCGGACGCCCGTGGCTGGGAAGCCAGAAACCTGCATGGAGTGAGAAAATGCTCCAGAACATGACAGTTTTGCACCGTATTTTATACGTTACACCCGGGGAGGAGGCGTAAGGGGGTTCCGAGAAACCCATGGGGGGTCCGTCAGGGAGGCGGGAGGAAGCAAAGCAGGAAACCTCTGGGATTGGACGAGAGGTAAAATGATAGACACTCGTCTTACCCACGCAGGTGGGCCCGGGGTAGTTAACGGTAGAAAACTAACACGACAACCAACAACAGTGAGGGGGTCCGTGGTCTCGGCTTGTGCTGCCCCGCCGTGTGGGGGAAAGGGACATGCATTACCTGTCGTCCCAAAGGGGTGTTGTCATCACAGATGCAAAAAGGCAAGACACAGACCCAGTCACGCTAACGACGGACAAATGTTTGTCAGGGAAGATTCTGCCCTAAAGGCCAGTGCCTGCCCGCCGTCGTGGCGGCCGGCGTTGACCTCCTAACCTTCCATTTCGGACCCTCCCATGGGCGGGGAGGGTGGTCTCTGAGTGTGTCAGGGCCCCCCTCGCAGGCCAGCCTGAGCCTCCCAGGTGTCCGTTCCTGCCCCTTTTCGTCCTGAAAAGCAAGCCGGCTCGGTCTTGTCTTGACGTGAAATGTTCGGTGACCGCTGGAGGGATTGGGGAAGGGGGTCCCCGTGGGTGGGGGGGGGAAGGTGGGTGTCTGGCCCCTGAGGGTGCTGGGGGGATGGGGTGGGGTGGGGAGGGGAGGGGACAGAGTACTCACAACCAATCACAGTCAACGGGGAGGATACGGACCCTGCTCCCCGCCCCCCCCACCCCACGGAACCCAGACATTATGGGATCCAGCCAGTTGTGGGAAACCGGGCCCAAAAAGGGGGCTGGTGTCCTATTCCCTGGTATCCCTTAGGAGGGTGCACCTCTACACTCCACAAACGAAATCCTGCAGCGGGCAGTTGTGAGTGTGGCCTATTTCTTTTCTCTCGTTTTGCATATTTATTGTTCGTTGGAGAGGAAGGGAGGGAGGGAGGAAGAGAGGGAGGGAAACGTCCACGGGCGGTTGCGTCTGGCGCGCCCCCTACCGGGGACCTGGGGTAGGGAAAGGCGGGCTGTGACGCCCCCGCTTGCAGAGCAGGACACGGAGACTCCGGCCGAGAGCCCCCGCGCGTGTGCAGGCGTGGCAGAGACACTCAAAACCTGCATGAAAAAAAAAACCCAAAATATGAACAAAAAACTACGTGAACACCGCCTGCTTCACCCGCGAAGGTTTCACGAGGAGCCTGTGAAAGCGACGAAGTCCAGACGCTGTTACAGTGTCTGCTACACATTCACGCTTTTACTTCGGCTCCGGGGCGTCTTGGGAATTCACGGTGCGGCGCTGCTGCCCCCTACTGGCCACGTGTTGCATTACGGCTCTCGCTGCCGCCTCCTGGGGGAAAAAATTTTTTTTAACCCAGGGTTGGGGGGGTGGTTAAGTGGTTCATTTTTTTCCCAAAGATTTTATTTATTTATTGTTTATAGAGGGAAGTGAGGGGGAGAGAGAGAGAGAGAGAGAGAAACATCAATGTGGAAACATCCATGTGCAGTTGCTGGGAGGGCCGTGGCCTGCAACCCAGGCATGTGCCCTGACTGGGAATCGAACCTGCGACGCTTTGGTTCCCAGCCCGCGCTCAATCCACTGAGCCACGCCAGCCAGGTCCATCTTATTTTTAATAAAGCTTCTTGTTGGAGAATTCCATGTGCGAGGAAAGGGGGCAGCCGTAAGAAGCATCCCTGTTAATGATTTTCAGAGGGAACCGAAATTGCCAGAATGCGGGCAGGCCCAGGGAGTCACCCAGAGGACCCCTCGCCCCACCGCAGGCACCCGGAACGGCTGTGGGGAGCTGGGCTGGTGTCCGAGTGGTCGGCACGTGGGCTGGGGAAGGTTCCCCAGGAGGAGAAGGGGCAGAGGGGAAAGTGTGGGTTCTCCCTGCGAGGGGGGGGAGGGGCTGGGGGCGCCCAGATGCACCGGCCCTGAGGGCTGGGGGGCGCGGAGCTTCGTCGAGGCGGTGGGGGCAGTTGTGGGGCAGGGCGTTGCGGCTGGGTCTGAACAGGCTGCAGCCTGCCGCGATGTTATCTGTGGGTGCAGGGTGCGGTGCCGCGGGGGGTGGTCTGGCCTGTCCTGTTGTGCAAGGACTTGCAGCCGCGGAGCCTTCCGGCCACGCCCACTGACTCTCTAGTCTTGCGGACGGAGGAGGCCCCTAAAGCAATCAGCATCTATTCGCTGGTACCTTACGGGATCCCGCCAGTTCTGGGAAAACCGGGCCGGACACCGGTATCACGGACGAGGGTGCACCCCTACTCCCCACAAACGAAATCCTTCAGCGGACAGTTGTGAGTGTGGTCTGTTTCCTTTCTCTTCTTCTTCATATTTATTTTTAGACAGAGGGGAAGGGAGGGAGGAAGGGAGGGAGAGAAACGTCCATGGGTGGTTGCCTCTCGCGCGCCCCCTGCTGGGGGCCGTGGCCCGCAACCCAGGCCCGTGCCCTGCCTGGGAATCGAACTGGCGACCCCTTACGATCCGAGGCCGGCGCTCCATCCACGGAGCCACACCGGCCAGGGCCAGCCTGGTCCCTTTCAACGGACGTATTGGCGACGTGCCTCCCCGTTGCCGAGTGAACCGGCCGTTTGTGCGTTCTCTCTCTCGGGCCACGCGTCATCGAATCGCGCACAGGCACCATTTGTGGACGGGTGCTTCCGTTGGTGGACGCTCTGGGGTGCTGGCCGACCCCGACATCTCCACCAGGGGCCACCTTGCGGGCATGTCCTTGCCCTGTGCAGGCTATTTCTGCAGGGCGGGTCCCCACGGCGGGGTTGCTGGGTCCGTGCGTGTCCACGCGTCGCCTTAACAATAGGCAGTTAATAATGAAACGTGAGCAGATCGTGCGGAGGGTTTTCTCAGAGGGCGTGCGTGACCCAGGGAGCGTGGGGGACGTCTCCCTGTGTGTGTGGGTTTAATCTGCGTGACCGAGACGGCTCACGGACTTTGCCCGCTCTGCCAACTGAGTCCATGGCGCTGAGCAACAGACAGTACATCTGGTAGGACTCCGTGCCTGTAAAATTATAGGAAATGCAACGTCACCTTCAGTGACAGACCGATGAGTGCTTTTTTTTTGGGGGGGATGGTGGAGGAAAGAGGGTCACAGTATAGAGTTAGGGGACAAACAGATATTTACTCCTTGGGCATGTCACAATTTGCTGAATGGTGCAGTTCAGCTGTGTTCCAACTTACAGCGTGCAGATTATACCTCAGTGAACCTATGGCCACTACGTACGGGGACGAATCACTGGGGACCCCCTGATTCCCTGAAGATAACAACTAGGGCAGTCTGCAAAAGTCCCCTCGTCCTACAGAGGGGCTGCCTGCCGGAGCTGCCCACACTCACCCCGGGTGGGCTGAGTCTGCCCCCCACGGCGGTGAAACTTTTTTTCCCCTTTTCATACCTTTCTGTTTGGAAAACTGCCCGACGAGACGGTGGGAAAATAGTGCAACAGACGGCTGGACGCTGTCTATCCTTTACCTGCCTCGGATAGGTGTTGACGTTTTTGCTCCTTGGCCTGGTCTGTCACACACACACACACACACACACACACTTCTCTGGATCCCTTCAAAGGCCGCTTCGAGGGAAGCCACACCCTGAATCCATCAGCCACAAGGGCACCCTCCGACGCCGACACAAAGCAGGCAAGGTCGACATCGCTGCGATGCCCTGCCCGTCAGATGCGCCCGCACTTAAAGCGTGTCTGCTGCCCACATTTTCCTCTTCTCCTCATGCTTCCAGGGCAAACGGCCGCCGCAGGGTCCCCCCTGTGCTTTCGGCGAGGGGGTGGGTGTGTGCCGTCGGGGCCGTGGGTGATAACTCGTCCCCTGCGCCCTGTCGCCGCCGCCGCCGCCAGGACACGGGGAAGCGGTGGTGTCCCGCGTGCGACCCGAACGCGGGAGCCGGCACAGGCGCTGTGACCCCGGCAGTCTGGCCTGCCCATCGTCCGTGTCCACCCCGATTTTCCTCCCGCAGGAGGAGGAAAGAGTGGGGTGTCTTCGGGGAGGCTGCGCCTCTTTGCATACAGGGTTGGCTAACGTGCTTTTGTTATTATTATTTTTTTTTTACAACAGGTGATAGGGGGGTCCGACATTGAGGCTTCCGTGGCAGTGACGGCCGACCCGGTCTCAGCTCCTTGCCCCCGACCCGCAGATGTCACACAGACCCCGGGCAGCTGGGTACCCCTGCTTTCAACACTTACGGGCGCCTCTCTGGGGGGGGGGCAGATCTCAGCCTGTGTGTGTCCACGGGCTGTGAAGGAAAACCCCCCATGGTTGTCATCTTTACCCCGTGACTTTTCTTTTCTTTCTCTTTCTTTCTTTCTTTCTTTCTTTCTTTCTTTCTCTCTTTCTTTCTCTCTCTCTCTCTCTCTCTCTCTCTCTCTCTCTCTCTCTTTCTTTCTTTGTTTCTCTCTCTCTTCCTTCCTTCCTTCCTTTCTTTTTCTTTCTTTCTTTCTTTTTCTATCTTTCTTTCTTTCTTTCTTTCTCTCTTTTTCTCTTTCTTTCTTTCTTTCTAAATTGGTTTTTCATTTTTAGAGAGAGGGGAAGGGAAGGAGAAAGAGAGGGAAAGAAACGTCACCATGTGCTTGCCTCTCCAGCGCCCCCTACTGGGGACCTGGCCCACAACCCAGGCATGTGGCCCTGACTGGGAATCGAACCGGTGGCCCTTTGGTTCACAGCCCGTGCTCAGTGCCCTGAGCCACACCGGTCACAGCTGTGACTTTTTTCACGGTTTTCCCAGCCAGGGCAACGTGGTACGGGGATGAGTCTCCTCGCTGTCTGGTTGCAGAGGCCACCTGGTTTTCTTCTCACATGTCCACTGCACCCTGGTCACGTGTCCCGGGCCGTTGGGCCCTCCCCTTCCCCTTAATTCTTCTTGGGAAGAATTAGAAAAGAAAATGAGCAGTTACCAGTCCCTTCCTTAGACAAAAAATCAGTGCGACTCTGGCACCAGGTTTCATGCCGGCATTTCCCAAGGATCGATGTCCCTTTTTGTCTTTCTAAATCTGCCTTCCACCCTGGCTGGTATGGCTCCGCGGCCTGAGCACCGGCCTGTGAACCAAAGGGCCGCAGGTTCGATTCCCAGCCAGGGCACATGCCCGGGTTGCAGGCCACGGCCCCCAGTAGGGGGCGCATGAAACACAACTACCCATGGCTGTTTCTTACCCCCTTTGTCTTTCCCTTCCCTTCCGTCTAAAAATAAATCAATACAATCTTAAAGCAGAAACAAAAACCTTGTTTAAATCTGCCTTCCTTGACCTGCGTCCTCAGAGGGTGGGACGCAGGCAGACCGTTGTCAGTAACGTGACCTGTCGGCAGCTGTCTGCGGAAGATCACAAGGAGAGAGAGACCTCTTTCCTCTGGCGGACAGGCCGTCTTAGGAAAATGCCCTGTAGTTGGCGTGTGGTAGGGACAAGCGGAATCTGTCTCTGAAAGTTCCTGTCCGTCCCGCTCATCCAGACTCGTAGCATCTCCTCCTGCGTCAGGAGAGCTCCGGGATCTCAGCCCTCGTAGGCGCGGCAGAGACGCCACCCGTGGGACCCCCTCACTCACTGTCTCTTCCTCTCACCAGGAAGAGCCGGCTGCTGTTTTGGCTTAGACTCTCCAAAGCCCACCCCCGACTAATGAGAGTCCCCTTGTGCTTCTAGCATCCGGCGGACCACGCGGGAGGCGGCCCGGCGCACGCACCTGCAGGACTCAGCCCGGAGCCCCCCGCGGATGCCCCCGGGGACCCCAGCCCTCAGGATGCCTTGGAGGTGACAGTCCAGTGCTTTGCTTGCCCGGGGCTCCTGCTGGGTGCTGTCTGCTGCGTGACCTCGATTTCCGGCCGCGCCGTGTCGAAACCTAGAGTCCGCCCGCCTCCCCTGGGGCCTCTGGTCCACGTGTCTCCTCTCCTCTCCGGCGCTGGGCTGCTGGCTGGTTCTCTTCCTCGCCTGTCCTCAGTAATCACGCCCTTTCTCCCTTTCAGAGCTGTCTGGCAAAAGTCCATTCATGTTGAGTTTCTCATAGACAGAGCAAGCTTGCAAAGGAATGCCCGCCGATCCGTGGTCCAAAGTGCTTCTTCGTCTAGAAGCTGGAGAATCAGGGGTGCCTCTTGGGTGCAAACCAAGCACGCGGCGGTTTCTTCTTTCGGGATGACTAAGAGTCCTTCCTCGCCCTTCCTCACACGTGTGGAAGTCTTCCCAAACTGTCTTCCTAAACTTCCTTCTCTCTGCGCCTGCGTTTGACGGGAGCCACGGCCGATGTTATGTTCAACGACGATGCACTGACACAGCCTGGCCTTGGAGTCACAGGGGCTCTGGCTTTGTCGCTGGGGGTCGGGGTGGTGGCGGGAGTCTGCGCTGAATGTGTGTCTCCCTGTGTTCGCGCGGCCGTGTCAGAAACGGCGGAGCCGGGGGGAGGGGGTGGCTGGTGAAGACTAGATGTTTCGGAACCCGCGACCCTGTGGTTCGCAGGCCGGCGTTCAGCCCGCTGAGCCACACCAGCCAGGGTGCAAAACAATGAAAACAATTCTTCCTTTTTTAACTTTTAAAAATGATTTTATTTATTTGTTTTTAGAGAGGGAAGGGAGGGAGAAAGAGAGAGAGAGAGAGAGACAGAGAAACATCCATGTGCGGTTGCTGGGGGTCATGGCCTGCAACCCAGGCATGTGCCCTGACTGGGAATCGAACCTGCGACGCTTTGGTTCGCAGCCCCCAGCACTCAATCCACTGAGCTATACCACCCAGGGCATAATCTTTTTTTCTTTTTTTTAAGATTTTATTTATTTATTTTTAGAGAGGGAAGAGAGGGGGGGAGAGAGAGAGAGAGAAATATCCCATGTGCGGTTGCTGGGGGGCCGTGGCCTGCAACCCAGGCATGTGCCCTGACTGGGAATCGAACCTGCGATGCTGTGCTTCGCAGCCCGCGCTCCATCCACTGAGCCACACCAGCCAGGGCTGAAAAACAATTCTTAAGAAAAAGCAAACACGCATGCAATGAGATTTCATAACATTTTTAAAAAAACGTAGGCCAGAGTCATCTAATAACCACACGACTTGAACAGAAACAAAATCGATTTCTCCTTTTCCATTTTATTTTTGTGAGATTAAAACGCACGCTCTGTTGGAGAGAAAGCCGGAGGTGCTCCGCGCGCGCCCCCGAGCACCGAGCTGCGTGGGTGGAAAGGGCCTGCGCGCGCGCGGGCAGCCCCCAACCCGCGGCCCCCTGTCGCCCTGTGTCCCGCAGGTGGGCGTGGCCGTCTCGCTGTCCGAGATCTCCATCGAGGAGAAGGCCCGGGAGCCGAGCCCGGAGGAGGAGAGGCGCAAGTGGGAGGAAGGCCACATCGACTACCTGGGCCGGGACGCCTTTGCGCGCATCCAGGAGAAGCTGGACCGGTTCCTGCAGTAGCTTGGGCTTTGGGAGATCCCGCCGCGGCGGCGGGAAAGCTTCCTCTTGCCCCTCCGCAGGGGGGCGCTGCCGTCCCACCCGCTGCCTCTGTTTAGGGGGATCGAGGCTCGGTCGCCCAACCTGAGTGCCTCTCCAAGATAAAAAAAAAAGAAAAAACAAAACCCAAACCAAGCCCAGATCGAAGCGCCTGGCTGAGCCAAGCCGCCCAGCCGTCCGTACCTGGCTGCCTTCAGAGACCAGGTGTTCTCGCCGCGTCGTGGGCAGGAGCCGCAGGAAGAAACTCGTGGTGGGGCGCGGGGGCCCTGGCCCGCCGTCCCGCCCCGCGGAGCGGCACCCAGGGGCCACCGAGTTTGTCCCACGTCGGATCCCACGCCGACACGCTTTCTCCAGCTCCTGAGCGAGTAACAGCGGGGATTCGTCCTGCGCGCCGGCTCAGACGCGACCACCCTCGTCTCTTGGGGGACTCGGTCAGTAAACGTTCAGCGTCGGGAGCCTGAGTCCCCTTTCGACTGTGCCAAGCGTGGGGGCAGCTGGCATCGCCGTGGTGTGACACCCGGCGGGGCCTCTCCGAGCGCCCCCGACGGACCCCTGACCTGGGCCACGCCAGACACGTTCGGGAGACGGGCTCCAGCTGGCGAGACGGCCGGGACGCCCTCCGAACCGGTCCCCCGGCTGCTTTCCAGGAACCAAGGGCCCGCATGCCTACGGTGCGGGAGGGAGGTCTGCGGACAACTTGCTGGCGACCCCGGCGTCCGGGGAGGCGATGCATGGCCTGGGCCGCCTGTGTCCCTTGACGGCTGGGTGCTGGGCGCTGCTACCTCAGTTTCAGTTCCAGACAGCCAGTCACCTCGCTGCCCTGCAGTCCATCTCGACTCCGTTCTTTCTGGAGAATCCCCCCACCCACCCCCCCAAGTCTTGGGAGCCCAGACCTTTCATGTCACAAGCCAGCGTCCTCGTCAGCCGTGCGCTGACTTTGTGAGCTCCCGCAGCGCGGCCGCACATCTCCGAGGGCCGCCCCTCCACGCTGAGCTGTGGCGGCAGCCCGTGGAAGCGGAGCGGTGGCTTCTGCTCTGAAGTCACGGATGGTGGCTTTGAAAACAGCCCCGGGGGCACAGCCTTGAGTGTGTCGGGAGGGTGGTGATCAGCCCTCGGAATAATGCCCGACCCGTGTCCCACGGAGAGAGGGTGGCTGCCCTGGGTGCGCACTACGGCGTGGGGGCGAGAGGAACGGAAGCCTGAGCCGCCGGGGCCCGTGGGAGAGGGAAGCAGCGCCCGGGAGGGACCTCGGAGCCCCGGGTCCGCGACTCCGGGGAGGAGGCTTCGTGTGTGTGGGGGGGCCGTGGCGCCGCCCCGCGCTGGCTGGGAAACCGTGCTCAGCACTCAGGTCTGGTCTTGCCTGCGCGTGGGGTCAGGCCGACGCTCACGCAGGCGATTAAAATGTTGCAGCAGTGACGCCCTGGTCTTCCTTCCGGAGCCGGCTTGCGTGCGTCCGGAGAGATCAGGAGGGAAGCTGGCGTTGCACAGAGTGCCGGGCTGTGCCTGCCTGCCTGCCTTCGTTCTGCAGCGCGTTTAAATGACCACGGGCGTTTTCTCAAATCCCTGACAAGTAACTGGCACAGACGAGGGAAGCCACCCTTTTCTTTTTTTTTCTTTTAGCATTTGGCTTCATCTACCATCCATCCATCCACCCACCTTCCATTTATCCGTCCATTATTCATCCATCCAAGCATTCACCCACCCACCCATCCATCCATCCACCAACCTACTCGCCCACCAGTCTATCCATTCATTCACTCATTTATTCATTCATTCATTCATACATTGGACTCTCCATCCATCTATCCATCCACCCATCCCTCCATCCAACCGTCCAACCATTTAGCCGTCTACTAATCCGTCCACCCATGCATCCATCCATGCTTTTACCATCAGACCATCCACCCATCCATCCGTTCACCCACCTATCCATCCATCCCATACTTATTGAGCTCTCCAACATGGCAGGCACTGTGGCATGTTCTAACACAGGGCAGGAGGAGTCCAAGAACATCTGGACGACTTCCGAATGACATCCACGGAACACACAGAGAACCCTGTTCTGAATCACACCAGGGCCAGAGTCCGCACTGCTCAGTGTCGGGACGACGGAATTGATACAAGCTCAGTCCCGAGGAAATGGGATTCACCCTGCAGTATCCCTAACGCTCTGGCACAGAGAAAGGATTTTAAAAAATGCCATATTGCTCAAGAAATATTTAATTTGGGGTGGTGGGGGGGCGCACCAAGAAGTCGCGTGGGCAGGAAAAGGATTTCTAGGTATATTGATTTGGCCAGGTGGGCTAGGATGTGTGATGTGTTTACCTTCAGAGCAGCAAAGGAGAGTCAGGCACAACAGTGACTTCCGGGTGGTTAGAGCCTGAACAGCGTCTATGCCAGCTCTTCCCGCCATCCCAAGAAACGAACGCGGGACCACAGTTCGTGGCAGAGAGTGCACACCTGTCGAAACACAGTGGTGCGGCTCCAAAAGCACCCAGCGTGTGAAGTGTGAAGGACCTTGGCAGAAAAGACACAGTTTAAGTTCAGTAGCCAAATAATAATAATAATAAAGGAAGAGCCGTCGTTCAGGAAAACTCCAGTTCTTAACCAACATAAGGAGCAGCGAAACCGGGAGGTGAAACTCAGGACTCACAAGGTCAGGGGAAAACTAAAAAGGGCGCCACGCAGGGAGCTGGCGGGTGTGCCTGCGCACCTCTGAGTGAACTGTAGCACCGAGACCTGTGCAGTGCTGCCCGTGAAAAATCTAAGTTCGTTTTCTCCTTTGTTTGCTCATTTACGTGGTTCTGTAGATTCCGCGTATAACTGAAATCCTATGTATTTGTCTTTGAGGTATTTCACTGAGCATAATACCCTCTGGGTCCCTGTCTGCTGTTCCATTGGTAAGATTTCCTTTTTGTGGTTGAGCCATATTCCATTGTATCGATGGACCCAAGCTGTTGTATCTGCCTTACTGGTGGGCACCTGAGCTGCTCCCCCATTTTAGCTATCGTCAGTAATGCTGCAATGAACGTAGGGGTGCATAGATTCCTTCCAGAGAGTGGGGTTTCTTTAGACGTATCGCCAGAAGTGGCCTCGCTGAAGTAACGTCCGGCCCGGGGAATAGCGTCCATGATATGGTCAGAGCCACGCTGGGTGCCCCCATGGGTGCTGCAAATACTGGATCGGGCTGTAACAGATACGATCGTCTGAATAGCACACTAGGCGCGTGAACACCAATACGAAATACTGGTGAATGCACACCGTGCCCAGGAAAGTTTTTGTAATAAATTCAAAATTCAACAAGCACAGAACCCACTGAAACAGTTGAGTCTTCTTCCCACGTTTCAAGGTCGCACAGGAGGTCACTGCCCTCGAGACGTTTAAGAGCCATCTCCCTGGCGGGCGGTCCTTGACCCGCCCGGGCGTCCGCCCTCACCTCGGTCCCCGAGAACCTTCCGTCTCCGGCTGCTCCTGGCCCTACGCAGCCCACGGGCCTTAGCGGCCCGGCCTCTCCAAGAACGCAGAGGTGGAACCGGTCGTGTTGCACGCCGCTTCCTCATTTTCCACGCACGTGGGCCGTTCGGGGGGTGGGATGAAGAAACCAGGGCCACCGAAATTTAGAGCTAGAGCACCCGGGAAGGGCGAATCTCGCTTGTGCCTCTTGGGGACGGGTGGGGGGGGGTGTGTATTGGCAGCTGCCCACGTGCCCCGCCTCTGCACCGTGCCCAGCGGTAGACCCTGCAGGGAATCAAGAAAGACCACATTGTGCATGCGCGGTGTGGGTGTGGGGGGCTGCAGAGGGCTCCGGCAGTGTGGCTGCGGAGCGGTGTGGCGGGTTCCGTGTGGAGTGGCTGCGGTCCGAGGCCCCCCCCCCCAACGGCTCACCTGCGTTGGGTCCGCTGCCCCTCGTTGTCACCCGCCCCAACAGCTGCCACTTTGACCTCTACGTGGATGTCCACTGAGCTTCTCTCCTCGCGTGAAGGATACCCTGCCCCCCCCAGCCCCCCTGCCTGGAAGCATCCCCAGGCTCGCCCCTAGACTCGGACACTCAGCTGAGCTCTGATAGGAACTGAGGGAAATAGCTGGTGTTTTCTGTGCCGTGATGGGACACCTGGGGCTCTGTCCCCCGCGACGAAAGGCGACTTCCCCGTTGGGAAGGTGTTGGCGAGCGACCACAGGGCACCTGCATCGCTTCCACGGAGTGACGGTAGAGGGAGCGCGCGGCGTCGTCGGAAGGCTGCAGAGCGTGGGGGAGGGGCGAGGCCGACCGCCGTCGGCGGGAGCCAGCAGAGGGCGCTGTCGGCAGCCCAAGCGGCGGCCCGGGGGCGCCTCGCCTGGGTGCGCCTTGGCTGCCCTCGGCCGTGGAAGGCACAGCGGCACCTGCGGTCGCACCTTGTTCCCCGTAGGGGGGGTTGAGGAACCCCCAAATCGGTGGGAGCCCAAGTGCAGGGAAGGACTGCAGAGCAGGAGGGGGAGGAACAAAGCCCATGGCCTCTCCCCCCCCAACCCCGTCCCTGCCCTTGAACCAGACGAGGAGGCTCTGTGTGTGACTGCGTCTCCCATCCATCCACGGCCACGCCGGCTCCACGAGGCCCGGAGGTGCGGACTCACTCAGCACCCGCCCGTGCGGGGAGGAGAAGAGGGTGCTGACCGGCAGAGCGTTCAGTGCGGGGCTGGGGACACGTCCCGGACTTTTGGGCTGTCTGTAGTCCCCCTGCCCTCAGCCTGGGGCCTGGGCCGTGTGGCTGCTGGTCGTTACGAGGCACCACCGACTGTCGTGTCTTTGTCCATCAGTAGGGAAATAAGGAAGCGGTGGCACACCCCCACAGTGGAATATCAGTCAGCCATGAAAAAGGAAAAAAAAAGAAATCTTACGACTTGTGACAACACAGAGGAACCTGGAGAGTATGATGCTCAGTGACGTCAGTCAGACAAAGAAACACAAATACTGTCCGATTTCACGTACAGGCAGAATCTTTAAAAAGAAAAAAAAGACAAAAACAATGCCCTGACTGGTGTGGCTCAGTGGATTGAGTGTGGGCTGTGAAGCAAAGGGTCGCTGGTTCGATTCCCAGTCAGGGCACAGGCCTGGGTTGCAGGCCAGGTCCCCAGTAGGGGGCGCGTGAGAGGCAACCACACATGGATGTTTGTCTCCCTCTCTTTCTCCCTCCCTTCCTTTCTAGAAATAAATAAATAAAATCTTTACATAAAAAAAGACAAATACAAAAATAGTAAAATGCACAGGTGAAAAAAAGATCAGATGGGTGGTTAGCAGCAGCAGCCAGGGCCGGGGGGACTCGAGAATTGGAGAAAAGGGGTCGAACGTCGCAGAGTGGCCGTCGCCAGATCCGGGGGTCCCGCGGATGCAGGGTCCTGAGCCCCTGCTATAGCGGGCCCCTGTGGGCGGCCGGCACGTTTCACAGTGGGGAAGAGAGTCCCTGCTGGGCGTCGTCCTCACCAGGGGAAAAGCACTGTTCGTGCACCGCGACGAGAATGCGACGAGAATGCTATTCCGTTGCACCAAAGCGCTGGTTGCCTCTCGATGAGCAGACGGATGTTAACGTCCTGGGGCGGCCACGTCCCAACGTCCGTGTCTCCCGCCCCTTGACCGGACACACAGGCTTGCGTGTCTGTCATTTCTCAGTGGCGGTGGGGAAAGTAAAGAAATAGGATAAAGAAAGAAAGAAATCAGACCAGACACAGTGTGGTGTTGCCGAAGGGATTGTCACCCGGGAGTCTAACTGGTGGGATTGCGGTTTCTGCAAGGCTACGGAACGTCATGTTGCTGACCCTCACAGACCTGCAGGTTCACAGGCGACCTGAGAATAAAGGGACTTCCTAAGGGAGAGGTGGCTGCATTTACTGAGATCGATCACAGCTCCTGGGGAAGCGCTGACTCGGGCAGGAGCCCACACGGGGTCCCCACGAGGAGCAGACAAAGGGGTGGCACTGATGTAGGAGAAAGGGGAGGGGACAGGGACACCCCCAGCAGGGGGGCGTGGCCGTGGGCACAGAGGATTGTGACGCTGGTTCTCCACGGCGTGTTTCATGCTCATTCCTGGGCTCCTCCGTCCAGGCGTCACCGTGTCTGCTTCCCCGTCTTCTTTGCAGACAGCTCTGTGGGACACAGGGTGGCTTTGTCCTGGTTTAACACCCACGGGGCGGAGTACCCACAAGATACACAAGACAGCTCACCCAGGTCAGCAGCTCTGGCTGCATGTTAAAGGGGATGCATTTATTATAGTTTTATACTCTACGCTTCCTTCACGTCATCATTTCTTTTCTTTTTAAAAATTTATTTATTTATTTTTAGAGAGGGAAGGGAGGAAAAGAGAGAGAGAGAGAGAGAGAGAGAGAGAGAGAGAAACATCCATGTGCGGTTGCTGGGGGCCGTGGCCTGCAACCCAGGCGTGTGCCCTGACTGGGAATCGAACCTGGGACGCTTTGGTTCCCAGCCCGCGCTCCATCCACTGAGCTACGCCAGCCAGCGCTGCCATCATCTATTTTGCTCTTTAGATCCCTTCACTCTCGCGGGTGAAGAGCACCCCACTGCCTACATGGGTGTGTATATATATAAATGACGCCGTCTCTACCCACGCGCCCGCTGATGCAGCCCTAGCTTGTTCCCACGGCCTGGCTGGCGGCTGTAAGGACCGCCGCCATGAACATGTAAGGACGCACATACGCGTTCTCACGGGTGTGTTGGGAGTCCGAGGATTTATTTCCAGAATCCTGGGTCAAAAGGCAGGTCCACTTTTTGGTTTCTGAGCGAACTCCAGACTCTGCCTTCCACGGTGCATGCACTGTCTACATTCCCAGCAACGGTGCACTAGGGTCCCCTTTCTCCACGTCCTGCCAGCACGGGCTGGGGGCCACATTCCCGAGGGCAGCCTCTCCCCCCACCCCGCCCCGTGACCCCGGGAGGTCACGTGTCCCCCTGGTCTCCGTCCCGGCTGCAGGAGCAGAAAGGGAAGGTCCCGCAGCAGGGCTGCAGCCACGGCTTCCAGAGAATGTGGGTCCGGGAGAACTGGGGGGGCGCCGGGCTCAGCGTCTCCCTGTGCCTCCGCACCGCCTCGCCCACCCGCGACACCACCTCGTGGAACCGCGGCTCGGAGCCCGGCGCCAGGGGCCGCGCCTCCGCAGGGTCGCCGGACAGGTCGAAGAGCAGCGGCGGGCTGTGGCGCGTCACGCCGGCGCCGGAGCAGGGGCACACGCCCTGGCCGTAGCAGGCGCCGGCCCCCTCTGGGTGGAACCGCGGCGTCACGTAGTGGACCTTCCACAGCCGGCCCCCTGGAGGCGCACGGGGGCCGCGGTCAGGGCGGCGGGGACCCATGGAGAGCGCACCCCCCCCCCTCCGCCCCCGGAGAACCCACGGGGTCAGGCAGCGCCCACGGGGTCAGGCGGGCGGGCACTCACGCTCCTTCTCGTGCCAGCGCGCCGCGTGGAGATGCTCCCCGCAGTAGTGGAAGAGGAACTCGTGCGCCGAGTGCTCCGCGGCTCCCCGCAGCAAGGCCAGCAGGCTGCGGCCGTCGATCACCCTGCGTCCGCGGGGGCGGAGAGACCGGAGGGAGGAGTCAGCTGCCCGCCAGGCCAGCGGGGGGTGCGCCTTGCCCCTGGGTACAGACCCCCAAGGCTGCGCGCGCCCCAGCTGGCCGCGGGCTGGGGTCGGGTTCCAGCTGTCTCCCCGAGCTGTGGCCATTTTGCCAGCGTCCCAGCAAGACACATGCTGGCCTGTGGAGACTCAAAGTCGCCAGGTTTCAGGGCCGCTTGTGACGCAGCACTGTGAGCTCACACACACGCACACACACACTATTTGACTTTGGATGTGAACCCTAAGCCTCCTCCAAGTCCGGAGACCTCGCCCAGGCCCCCCAGCGCGAGCGCTGAGGGTGCAGGAACCTTTGCAATCACGACAGATGCCGAGATATATTGTCGTCGTCTGCACAACGGGATGGACCGGGGACCTCTGCGTCCTGCCTTAGATACACGGTGTCATCACCAAGACCCCTGCACCTCCTGGATGGAACGCAGAACGGTGGGGCTTTTTCGGACCCCGGAAAAGCCCTGGGAACTACTGTTTGACTTTTCACTGCACACAGATTGCGGGGCGGGGGGTTGGGGGGTTCTCTTTGTGTGCCTGTTGGGGTACACAGGCGTTTGGGGAAGCCTTCGTTTGCGAGTTATGACAAAGGTGTTTTGTGGCCGTGGCCAATGTCTGCAACCCGTGGGCCCTGAAGGGGGCGGAGCCGCCTGGAGGAGGAGGGTGGGCCGCGTCTGATCAGGCGAAGGCCGCCCAGAACCAACACTGAGGTTTCTGGGCAAAGGGGGCATCCGGCCTCCCCCTGAACATAGAAGTCCCGCCTGAGTTTCCAGCCCGCTGACCTGATACTCGATTTCAGTCTGTCCGCTTCTACGACGGCATGAGTGGGTTCCTTAAGAGACGTCTTATTTTAGACACACACACACACACGCACACACACACACACACACACTCTAGTCACCCATCTAGGGCATTGCTTCTTTCTCTCAACTAATAAAGCGACTAAAAAAAATGCTTTTTTGGGGGATGGGAACTTGGGGAAAGGCCACCTCACATTAGCCACAAGAGTATTCCTTTGACCCTTTCATGGGAATCACATAAAACTATGATCAAAATGTTGACTTCCAGCCTGAGCCTGGGCCAGGTGTCAGTGGATTGGATTGTTGTCCTGTGCCCCCCAAAAGGTTGTGGGTTCGATTCCCGGTCGGGGCACACACCTAAGTTGTTGGTCCGATCCCCAGTCTGGGCGCACACAGGAGGCGACTAATCAATGTCTCCTCCTCTTTCTCTGTCTCTCTCTCTTTCCCTCTCTAAGCCTAATCTTGGGTGAGGATTAAGAAGACAGATTTTTTTTAAAGATCTTATTGATTTAGTTTTAGAGAGGGAAGGGAGGGAGAAAGAGAGAGAGAGAGAGAAACATCCATGTGCGGTTGCTGGGGGCCGTGGCCTGCAACCCAGGCATGTGCCCTGACTGGGAATCGAACCTGCGACGCTTGGGCTCGCAGCCCGCGCTCCATCCACGGAGCTACGCCAGCCGGGGAAGAAGACAGACATGGACGTCTGCTTTTTCCTCTTGTGTGACAGTGCCTCTTGGCCAAAGTGCTCGGATGGAGGCGAGAACTCATGGTTCCGTCATGTTATCATTAGCTTCATCGGCAGGTGGGCGAAACGGCGTTTCAGGCAATGACAGGGCCATGTCTCGGGGGCTCACGTTCTGACAAGGTCACTCACCTCCCCCTGCTTAAGCGGGGGCTCTAAAGTTTTACCGAAACTGCAGATCAGGTGGCTTGACCCAGTATCTCACGTTAATCCTAAGCTTGACGGAGTTTGGTTGTTTTCCGTGAAGCTGTCCCCTAACGGGAGGACGTGAGAATGTCTGGAGGGTTCTCACGTGGCTGGGTGTCCCTCTCCCCCAAATGTGGGCGATCTCCGGGGAGGAGGGAGCAGGACGTCCTCTCACTCACCTGTCCCGGGGCACCTCGCCGCCCCCCAGCCGGACCACCGTCGGGAAGACATCCATGAGGCTGGTGGGCTCGGAGACCACCCGGCCGGCGGGCAGCACCCCGGGCCAGCGGAAAATGCCGGGCACCCGGATCCCGCCTTCCCAGCCCGCCATGCCTTTGCCGCCTGTGAGCAGAGGACACACCGCGTGAGGACTGCCCCCCGCCCCCCCGGGCAGGGAGACTGTCCCGTCTGGACACAGCCCTGCACGCAGGCGTCTGTGTGTCTGTCTCCACAGACACCCCTGTAGTACCTAGCTGCCCGAGGGGGGGAGCAATTCTGTTGCCCAACACGGGCCGCAGTGGCTGTTCCAGAACCTTGGGATGCCCCTTCCCCCGCAGCTGGGGTCCACACATCCCTTCCCCCCCGAAACGTGGGGGGCCTTGGTGACCCCCTCAGCGAACAGGGCACGGGATGCATTCCTTCAGCACCGGTAGTGGGATGCCATACAAACGCAACGTCAGTGGGTCTTCCTCTTATTGTCCCTATTTTTTATTTTCCTGGATTGGGGGGGGGGGCGTGGGACCTGGGACCCCACGTTCTCCTCCTCTCTGAACGCCTCAGCACACCCGCCACCCTGCCCTCGTACCCGCCCTGTCCCGGTCCTTCGTTTCAAAGTCGAACCCCTTACAGGGACCCTCTGGTCAAGAGTGGGGGCCCCGTCTCCCTCTCGGTGAGCCCCAAATAATGAGGAAGCCCCTGATGACGGCCACATCTTTGTCCCACGCCCACAACGATTCACCAGGCGCTCCCAGTTTCGGGGAACTAACTCCAGGTGCGCGAACTCCAGCGAGCACGGGGCGGTGGGAGAACTTTAACCGGGGCCCCCGATGGGTGAGGGCTTCCCCACGGGGGTGTCTCCACTGTGACGCCACTGCCCTCGTGGCCCCCCGGCAGCCCGCCTGCCTGCACCCGCGCTGGAACCCTCACGCCCCCCCCACCCCGGTCTCACCTCTGTAGATGCCGTTCCACCCCCCCAGCTGACCGAGGGTCTCGTCCCTCGCCTCCAGGTGCCCGCCATGGTCCGAGGTAAAGTACGTGAACGTCTTGTTTCTCAAGCCATGCTCTTCCAGCGCCTGGAGGAGTTGGCCTTGACGAAGAAAAAAGAAAGGGGGCGTTTTGGGGGAAAGGGAAATAAAAGGGCATCGGCCAATGGAACGTGGTTCCCCCTCCCTTCGGTAGAAGCTGCCGCTGGCTAGAAAGGGACCCCGAGAGGGACCACGGTCCCCAGGATATCACAGGACACTGTGGGGGCTCCGGTGGTCGCCCCACCCACATCGAACGCTTTCCATTCTGAGGTTGGACCGTGTCATGTGCGGCGATGATTTCAACGCCTAAAACTCATTAAGGGTCTGCAACGTCGTTGGCCTCTTGAGGCCACGGGAGGAAAGCGATTGTGGCCCGTGACCCCGAAAGATGTCCTGACCCTTCCTGTTCCCAGGTGTCTCTTGCGGGCATGAAGGCATGGGCCCTGTGGGAGGGGGACCCCTGCTCCCAGGGACACCCAGAAACCCCCCAGACACCAGAGTGGCGCGTGAGTGACCATGGGGGAGAGGCTTCTCGCTTGAGGCCCGGAGCGCGTCCCGCCGCCCCCAGCCTTACCCACGAGCCAGTCCATCTCTTCCACGTTGTCGCCGTACGGGCCGTGCCGGCTCCTCCCGGCAAACGACCCGGTGGACACCAGGGGGATGTGTACATGCAGCAGGGACACGAACAGGAGGAAGGGCCGGTGCTTGTTTCTGGGGGGAGGCGGAAAAGACACCCTTCAAGGACAACGGCCTCTGGTTCTGCACGCCTAGGGGACCCGGGAGGCCACGGCGGAGAGTGCAGTGTGGGGGACGCGGTCCGCGGGAAAGGTGGGGTTCCTCAACTCCGCCTGCACCCACGGCGGGCTTACAAAACCCCAAAGAGGAGGTAAAGAGAGGCGGATGCTCTGAGAAGCCCTCTCATCTTTGCAACGTGGTGGGTTAGGATGGGTGGCGGGTGCGTGGAAATACTCTCACGGAAAACCACCGTGAGGTGCCCCCTCACACCGGTCCGCGTGGCCGTCGTCCACAAACCCGCAAACAACCGGGGCCGGCGAGGTTGTGGAGGAAGGGGGTGCACCCTCGTGCACCAGGGGTGGGAAGGCAGACTGGGGTGGCCAGCTGTGGAAAGCAGTCTGGAATGTCCTAAAAAAATTATACACGGAACTGCCTCATAGCACTGCCAATTCTACCTTGGGTGTTTATCTGAAGATACTTGAAACACTAATTCAGAAAGATGTACGTGCCCTGATCATCACTGCCGCGTCCGTGACAACGAGTCGCCAAGATCTGGAAACAATGCAGTTTCCCATTGACAGATGACTGAATAAGGGAGACATGCTTCCTACGCACAAATGGAATATTACACAGCCATGAAAAAGGGCAGCTTCTTAACCCTTTGAGACAGCCTGGGGAGACCCACAGGGCATGAGGCTCCGTGAAAGCAGGCCAACAGAGAGACACAAATACCCTATGATGGCACTTACATGCGGAATCGAAAAAAGAAAAGAATTAAACACCTGGCTGGCGTAGCTCCGTGGATGGAGCGCGGGCTGCAAACCAAAGTGTCGCAGGTTCGATTCCCAGTCAGGGCACATGCCTGGGTGGCAGGCCACGGCCCCCAGCAACCGCACATGGATGTTTCTCTCTCTCCCTTTCTCCCTCCCTCCCTTCCCTCTCTAAAAATAAATAAATAAAAACAGACACGTGGTTACACAATGCACACAGGATGTAACGTCCACCCCGGGGAACACAGTCAATACTGTTGTCATGACGGTACGTGGGGCCAGGTGGGGACTGCAAGGATCGGGGCGGGGGGGACCCCTTGGTAAGTTCCATAAAAGTCTGACCACCGTGCTGCACCCCTGAAACTCACGTCTCAACTCTCGCTGGAAACAGAAAACCCTGGGGGCTCCCATCACCTGTCCATGTAGGACACGGCCTCCTTCAGCAGGAGTCCGGTCGCCCTTTCCAGGCCCATGGGCTGCTCCGTGACCTCGTGGTTCCTCATCAGGATGCAGTTCCACCGCCGCACGAAGCCGAAGCTGGCGAACCAGGAGGCGAAGAAGACGAGGAGGAGGCCGGCGGCCCCCAGGACGGCTCTCCAGGGCACGGACACCAGCCCGCAGGCCCGGCCCGCCGCCGCCGTCAGGATGCCCCAGGCCGCCCACTGGGTGAGACGCCCCAGTCGCGCCCTCAGGGCCGCGTCCACCTCGGGCGGCCGGCCGGGCTGGCAGTCATTCACGAGCGTGAAGGGCATGCCGTAGAAGTAGTCGAAGCCGTGGCGCAGGGGGTGGTGGCAGTGGTCCCCGCGGGTGGCACAGTTGACACCCTGGTGCCATTTGCCTGAGGAGGGAAGCCAAAAAGTTCGGCGGAAAAGACTGAACGTGTCAGGTCCCGTGTCAGAAAGACAGCCCCTGCTCAGTTCTATTTGGACGTTCCCGTGACAACGTAGGTACAAAGCGGCCACGTCTGAAACTGGACAGGGGTGTGATGAGAAATCTGAAAGGGCCCTGGCTGGCGTAGCTCAGTGGATGGAGCTGGGCTGTGCGAACCAAAGCGTCGCAGGTTCGATTCCCAGTCAGGGCACACGCCTGGGTTGCAGACCACGGCCCCCAGCAACCGCACATGGATGTCTCTCTCTCTCTCTCTCTCTTTTTCCCCTCCATTCCCTCTCTGAAAATAAATAAATAAGATCTTTAAAAAAAAAGAAATCTGAAAGAGAAAGAGAAGGATAAAGATTGGAAAGGGAACGCCAGGAGACAAGGAGATTGGTAAGTCCGGGGGGAAGCACAGGCCCACCCACCAAGATTCTGAAGTAAAAACTCCTTGCCCGGGAGGAATCCCAGCCCCGGAAGCAACCCAGGAGAACTTGGACAGCTCCGGCGCCAACGTGGGGTTCTGGCCCGTGCCCGTGTGGTTCCGACCCGTGACCCTTTCCCCTCGCAAGGCCGGGGGTCCCGGTAACGGGGCGCTCTTCAAGGCCACCGCGCGTACCTATGAGGCCCGTGGCGTAGCCCGCCCGCTGCAGGATCCTCGCAAACGTGGTTTCGTTCTGGGGGAGTCCGCCCGAGCCCCCGTTCCACTGGAGGGCCCGGTACCCGTCGCTGGCGTCCATGCCTGCGGGCCGGAGCAGAGGGGACGCACTGGGTGCCTGTCGGCAGCTGGGGGCGCCCTCCGCTGGGGGTGGGGGTGGGGGTGTGTGCCCCGCCAGGGGACACTCTGCGGGGTCTGGAGTTGTGTTTGGTTGTCACGGCGGGGGAGGGCGTACAAATACCCTCTTGTGCGTGGACGCACCCTGGAGCGCATGGGGGCAGGCCTACCAAGGGAACCCCCCGGCCCCAAAATCGGGAGTGCTGAGGTGGAGACTCCGAGTCTCCACATGAGTCTGTTTATCTATCTGTCTATCTATCAATCACCTACTTATCCATCTATCCATCCTTCATCTATCTTTTTATCTCTCTGCCCATCCATGTATTTATCAATCTATCCACCCAACCATCCAACATGTACCGATTTATCTACCCTTCTATCATCTATCCATCCATCCATCCATCCATCATCCATCCATCCATCCATCCATCCACCATCCATCCATCATCTACCCATCCATCCATCCATCCATCTATCCATCCATCCATCATCTATCTTTTTATCTATCCATCCATCCATGTATTTACCAATCTATCCACCCACTCATCCAACATCTATCTATCTATCATCTATCCATCCATCCATCATCTATCTTTTTATCTCTCCACCCATCCATGTATTTACCAATCTATCCACCCACTCATCCAACATCTATCTATCTATCATCTATCCATCCATCCATCATCTATCTTTTTATCTCTCCACCCATCCATGTATTTATCAATCTATCCACCCAACCATCCAACATCTACTGTTTTAACTATCTATCCTTCTATCATCCATCCATCCATCCATCCATCATCTATCTTTTTATCTATCTATCCATCCATCCATCCATCCATGTATTTATCAATCTATCCACCCACCCATCCAACACCTACTGTTTTATCTGTCTATCCATCCATCATCCACCCATCCATCCATCCATCATCTATCATCTATCCATCTATGCATCATCTATCTTTTTATCTCTCCACCCACCCATGTATTTATCAATCATTCCATCCATCCATCCATCCATCATCTATCTTTTTTATCTATCCACCCATCCATCTATCCATCCATGTACTTACCAATCTATCCACCTATCCATCCAACATCTACTGTTTTATCTATCTATCCTTCTATCATCCATCCATCCATCCATCATCATCCATCTATTTTTTTGGGTACAGGATGACACTCCAACCCACCCAGCCGCCCGACCAGGGCTCGATGCCCATGTTTAAATACAGAACACGTCCCGGTCAGCCACTACGAAACTTTCAGCCTTTTTTTTTCCCTATTTCCACGTATCCAGACTTCCTTCATGACTGCGCAAAACACAGTCATTAGGTAAATCACGACACGATAAACGGCAGATTATGTCCTCACCATTTTCCTTGGGTCTCAGCCATCGCGGCCTGATTGTGAAAACCAATCAATCAACAAATAAATCAGTCGTTCGGGCATCGTCCCTTAAAGCAAAAGGTTGCAGGTTCGATTCCCAGTCAGGGCACATGGCTGGGTTGGTGGGGGGGGGTTCAGTTGCTGGTAGGGGCGCGTCAGGCAGGCAACTGGTCAATGTTTCAGCCACCAACGGAAACCTCCCTGTCTTCCTCCCTTCCCCCATCTCTGAAAATCAATACATACACTCTTCGAGAAATAAAAACAGAAGATAAAAGGAGTGGACACAGACGCACCTCTCTCTGGTCACCCCCCCCCACCCGCGCTGACCACCCACCTGATCGGAAAGCGTGTCTCCCGGTCAGGAACGCGGCCCGGCTCGGGGTGCACAGCGGGGCGGCCGCCAGGTGCTGGGTGAGGCGCACGCCTTCCTCCGCCAGCCGGTCGATGTGGGGCGTCCTGAGCAAACCACATCCCCCCGTCACCGTCGGGAAGGGGCTGGGCTCCCAGCTGGAAAGCATTTGGACGGGACCCTTCCTCGGAAACGGGGGTCTTTGCTGATGGGATTGAGGGAAGGGTCTGAGAGGAGGTGGTGTCCTGGGTCAGGGTGGCCCTGCGTCCAGTGACGGTGTCCTGAGAAGGGACACAAGAGGAGACGCAGACCCGGAGGAGAAGCCACGTGGAGATGGAGGCAGAGACCGGAGGGAAGCGGCCACCAGCGCATGGACGCCTGCGGCCCAGGGAGCTGGGAGAGGGGGGAGGGACCCTCCCTGGAGCCTGTGGAGGGAGCACAGCCCCGGGACCCCTGGGCGACCTCAGACGCCTGGTCTCCAGGACAATGGACGAATTCTTGTGGTTTTAATGCACCCGCTGCGCGGCTGGTGGCTAAGGCCGCCAAAGGAATCATACACCCACCCACCGCTGTTCCGTAGTGTTGGAAAGGGGTACTGTATTTCCCTTTGGAAGAATCACTCTTTCAGCGTCGAGATCAGATGCACTCAGGAATTTCCCACTCTTGCAGGAGGATGTTAAAAGCGTCATCGGCCAGATGCGCACCCACTGACCCCCCCGCCCTCCACCGAGACCACCAGCAACGCGGTACCTCAGTGTGCGGTTCCCATAGCAACCGAGGTCCCCGATGCCGAGGTCGTCCGCCATGATCAGTAGAATGTTGGGTTTCGAGGCATGGGCGGTTTTGAACTCGCAAGTCCTCAGAAGCAGGCACGCAGTGACCAGAGCCGGCCAGGAGGCCCTGGACAGAAACGCAAACGGCCGGCGTGAACGTCTCCGCTTCCCAAGGAAAAGTCGCCCTTTTCACAAACCGGCTCGCTGGGCAGGCGAGTGCTTCTCCACTAACTTAGGATGTAACCAGGGATTGCGTGTACGGTGGGTCTCCTTTTGTCGTAATGGCTTGCAGAATGCACCGCAGGGAACTCGAAGAAACCGCTGTGCCAAACTTAGGTTTGGGTTTGAATCCGGACCGCTCCTTCCCGCCACCGTGTGTAACTGCGCCTCAGTGAAGGGCGGGCTGGGAGGCTGAGCGCACGCCTTCAGGGCTGGCGCCTCCCTTCGTCCGTGCCGAGAGGCCCCTGGCGTCCCCAGAGTTCCGGGTGCGCCATGATGCAGGCGGCCCCGAAGGGTCGTGGCGGAGGGACACTTGCATATTAAAACGATACATGGGAGATTAAAAGCACCCCAGACAAGACCGGGAGATACGGCTCGGCCGTTCGGACTGCTGTTACCGCGCGGCCTTGAAACGTGCGTAAACGCGCGCTCCCGGAGCGCACAGGCGACCCTGCGTACAAGAACCTGGCGCGCACGGGGCGGATCCCGGGCTCTCCCCGCCCTGTAACCCGGAGGGACTTGGGGACAGTGTGGCCACGGTCGTGATTCCCGGGTCTGGGCTGTAAGCTCCTGCGTGTCCGGTGGCCCCGAGCACCTGGGACCCTCCGGTGCTGTCCGAGCTCCACGGTGGCGCCCGGGCGCCACAGCCATTCGCAGACTCGGGGGAGAGACGGCCGAGCTCCGGAGGGACCCGGACAGGGGCGGGCCCGGGGCGGGACGAGGCGTGGCCTGACGGTTGGGTGTCTTGGGGAGTCTCCTGGGCTGCGGGTAGGGGGGCCGCGCGCGTCTCCATGTTACGGGGTGGGGCGGGGGGCGGGGAACGGAGGTTGAACCGCACTCAGCGGCGCCAGGAGGGGGGCAGCCAGGAGGGGGCCGCCAGGGCGTGTCTTAGAAAGTGGGGGAGGGCCGATCCCGGCCTTTCTCTCTCTCCACTTTGCCTGCTCTCCGCCTAACCCCGTGGGGCGGGGCTTCGTCGCCGCCCCGCGTTTTTTTTTAATTTTTTTTTTTTTTTGTGCCGGGTCCGGGTCAAAACACGCCTCTAATGGTGTCTTGATGACTTTTAGGCACAAACACAGCTGCTTTTCCCCGGAACCCACGCTCACCATGGACGCCCCTCCACCCCGCGCCCCCAGCCCCAGGCCCCAGCAGGGGCTGCGTCCCCGGGTCCCGCGCACCTGGCGGCGGCTGTGGCTCGTCCCCTCTGCACCCTCCGTCCCATGGCGGAGCGCGAGCGAGGCGCCCCGGACCTTGCCCCGAGCGCTCCGCGCCCTAGTCCCGCCCCCGGGGCTGCGTGGGGGGGGGGGTGTGACTCCTGCTTCCCTAATCTGCTTAATCTCCTCGTGGGCCTCCCCGTAACTAATCTGCGAAACAGGTTTCCCTGGTCCTGCCGGACCCACTGGTCACCCCCGGGGGGACACTGGGACAAAGGGGGCGCGGACCATTCCAGGCTGGGCTTGCGCGTGGTGACCGCCCCCTTCTCTCCGTCTGCGGCAGGGTATTAGAAGTTTCCCCGGAGAAGTCAAGCACCCAGGATGCAAAAATCCCTTTCCTCAGGTAGGTCCCGGCCCCCAGATTTTTCTACTCTGTGACCAAGGGGGGTGTGTGTGTGTGTGTTCACTGTCGTCTGGCCCAGTCGGACCACCGTTGCCCACCGGGGTCTGCCCGGGGCCCTGATTCAGGTCCTGGGCCCTAGGAGCTGCACTCACCTCACGAGTGAGGTGGTTTACCTCTCCCACTCAGTTGTGCATTCGAGTACCGCTGTTTCCCCGAAAGCGGGGGTGTGGGGCGGGGCACTCCGCCGCCCTCAGGACCCCGGGAGGGTTTATGGGAAACGCCGTGTCCCGCCCGGAGTGAGCCCTAAATGCACGGCGCGCTGGCATGTCCGGCGTCGCGGCCAGAGATGCTGGTGGGAGGAAAGATCTTTGCCTGGGGGGGGGGGGGCCGGCAGACTGAGTTCGCCGAGGGGGTTATTGGGGTGACGGTGCAGCTAGGTGCACTCTCGGGCACTCTTTATGGCCTCTCTGTGCGTTCTTACTGGCTGCCCCCATCCTTGTGGGACTTCGCCGCCGGGATTTCTGTTTTTTTTTTCCGCCGATACCACGTGGACGGGGAAAACACTGAGACCCCTAAGGAGGGTGTGGGAGGCCGGGGAGTCCGATGCAGCTGGGAAGGGAGGTTGGCAGGGACTGAGGCCGCTCGGACCCACTGGTGAAATTCTACACTGGAAGGGGTCAGGGTTCTCCTAAGCTGTGCAGAGAGGCAGCTTGGGGACGCTTGGGGTTGTCGCGAGGGTTGAGGAGTGGCGAGCAGAGAGGGGGTGGTGGCGGGAGCTGGAACCCCCGAAAGTCCTGTTTGGGGGGTTGGGGTTCTGTGGAGGGGGGGAGGAAGGATGATTTGCATCCTGTGGGTCTGGATTCACTAGTTTAAAAGGGTGTAGGGACGCCAGGGGCGGAGATGGGTCTGGACAGGGGCAGGGGTAGGGACAGGGCATGGCTGGCAGTGGACAGGCCAGAGGTGGCCGGAAGGGCTGGCTCCGTGCCCGATGATACCTAGGGGTGGGCACGGGGCTGGGGGCACCAGGCTGCTTGCTGGACGGTCAGGTCTGTCTTTAGACCCCAAAGAGGAATCCGCTCTGGGTAGAATGAGCCAGAGGCCCAGGTGGCGGCTCCCGTGGCTAATTCTCGCTGAGCGTCTGGTTTCCTGCGGGCTGGGGTTGGTCTGTCCGACCGCTGGGGTTGGGGCGTGTGAGGGGAGGGCGCCTGAGGGTGGGGCGCCTCCTGGCAGCCTGGGTTTGTTTGAAGAGCTACGTGGTGTCACCGCAATGCGCGCTCCAGCAGAGCATGCGTTAGGGGCCGCCCGGTGTTCCCCTGATTGACACGGAGGAGTCTCAGCCGCGGGACCTCAGAACGGGGCTGGATTTGGAGACGGGTCTTTATAGGGGTGATTTAGGTGACATGGGGTCCCTAGGGTGGCCCTGATGCCACAGGACTGGGGGCCTTGTAAGAAGAGGACCTGGGGACACAGACACAGCCAGAGGGATGCCCGTGGGAGGACACAGGGGAAAGACGGCGTCCACACGTCCAGGAGAGAGAGAGGCCTCAGAGGAAGCCAGCCCTGCACGTCCCTGGGTCCCGGCCTCCAGCCTCCAGGACGGGGAGGGAGAAATGTCTGTGGTGTTAGGCGCCCAGTCTCGGGTCCTTTGTTACACGGCCCACGCTGACCGATGCAGGTTGGGATGTGCATGGGGGGGGGGTGTGAGTGCAGCGAGAGGTGGCTGGGTGGCAGGACGTCCGGACTAGAACCCCTGCACCCCTCTCCTCTGGCCACTGTCCTGCACTGTGTGTGTCCACTGCAAAGCCAGTGCGAGACGCCGGGCAGGGACCTCCCGACGCAGGCAGACGCAAGACCCACCTTGAGTACCCGGCACACTTTCTGAATTCTGGGCTTCCCTGACTCGCTCGGGCTGCCTGCTCACCAAGGAACCTCCGCCCAGAAGCACAGTTCCAGCCGCAAGGCCACGCTCTTTAAAGCGGCCCCCTGTCACCCCGGGGGGGTCTGCACAGCCCTAGGACAAAGGCATGTGCTGGTGCGGGACTTGGGCTCCCCATGGGCATGGGACAGGCTTTCCCCGTCGGGGAGGGCTGGGGTCCTTTGTCCAGAAACCCTGCAGCAAGAGGGACTTCACGGGTCACTGCCTGTTGTCCGGGTGGACAGCTCCCCAGGGTGCATTTTATTTAGTAGAATTTGGTGTCTGGTCTCTTTCTTCTTCGCGTTGGCCCTCCTGTTCAGCCCCACAGAAAACACGTGACTGAACCCACCCCCCACCCCCGGGGAGGGTGCATTTTGCCCTGTCCCCGGCGGAGGAATCCACGCGCAGGGACTCAGAGGTCGCGGTCGGGCGGTGTCTGCCGGCCCCCGCCCTTTTCCCGGTCACACCAGCACAGCGGGAACGGCCCGCAGCACGGCTGCAGCCACGCGCTCCAGCGGTTGCGGTAGCCGTCCAGCTGCAGGGCCACGGGGCTGAGCGTCCGGCGGTGGTCCTCCACGGCCCAAGCCACTCGCTCCAGCACCTGATGGAACGCGGGCTCCGTGTCCGGCGTGAGGGCGTGGGCCTCCGAGGGGTCTCTCGAGAGGTCAAACAGCAGGGGTGGGTCGTGGCGGGCCACCCCTTGCCCCGAGCACGGGCAGGCCAGTGTGCCGTAGCAGGCTCCCGCTCCTTCGGGGTGGAAGATGGGAGTCACGTAGTGCACCTTCCAGACGGCTCCGCCTGCGCAGAGACGAGAACGGCAGAGGGTGTTGTAGGAAAAGGGGGGCATGGAGCTGGGCCGCAGCGTCCCGCACCGTGGCCAGAGCGAGACCACGCTGTGACGCTCCCCCGGAGACTGGCTGTGGAATATTACGCAGCCGTGAACAGGAGCGAGGCTCTGGCTCAGGCGGCGGCGTGGAGGCAGAGCGCGTGAGCAAGCATGCTGGCAGCCCGTGTGCAAGCGTGTGAGCGAGTATACAGAATCCCCTGGTTAACGGGTCTGCCCCGGGTCACGGACCGCCTTCCCGGAAGGCACGGCTGGAAAGAGGAGCGGGCGCAGACGCGGGCGGCGGAGGACAGGAGGCGGGACGCCGCGCGTACTCACGGTCCCGTTGGTGCCAGCGCGCGGCGTGCAGGAAGGTCTCGCAGTAATGCAGCAGGAACTCGTGCTCCGAGTGCGGGGCGGTGCCCAGCAGGAGTGGCAGCAGGTCCCGGCCGTCGATCACCCTGCGGGAGGCGGCACGGGGACTCAGGGACCCCGCGGCGGCGGCGGCGGGGGGTGGGGGTGGGGGAGGGGGCGGAGCCCCGCGCCTGTCCCTTCCCACGGAGGCGGCCCCTCGCTGCAGGGCGGAACGCCTGTCTCTGTGTTCCGTGGCTTGAGGAAGGACCCCCTCTGTGCTACACGTTTAGGCAACATAACTTGCTCGCCCTGGCTGGCGCGGCTCCGTGGATGGAGCGCGGGCTGCGAAGGGGACTCGTGGCCAGAGAAAGGGAGAGGCCTGGCCTCTCTCTCTGCAGGCACTGGCGTCACACCATACCTGACCCCCCGCCCACACAGGCCACACCGCACACCGATGCCGTGTCCAGGCTAGTGTGAATGGATTTCCTCGGGCGGCTGCCTACCTGTCCCGGGGCACCTCGCCGCCCCCGAGCCGGACCACCGTCGGGAAGACATCCATGAGGCTGGTGGGCTCGGAGACCACCCGGCCGGCGGGCAGCACCCCGGGCCAGCGGAAAATGCCGGGCACCCGGATCCCGCCTTCCCAGCCCGCCATGCCTTTGCCGCCTGTGGTCCCAGAGGGAGAGAAGAGAGGGTCGTTGAGATCAGGTGTGGCTGCCGCTTCCTGTGCGCGATGGAACCACCCGGCTGCTCTTTAAGCGAGTGCTCTCCCTCCCTGTCTCTCTCTGTGTCTCTCTGTCTGGCTGAGGAAATGGCTCCCCGCCAGACCTTCGATTTTACAGGTCTTCTATTCTGCCCGTCGATCTGTGTCAGCCACGAACAGCGAGCAATCCCCCATCCAATAATGTGGTCTTTATAATCAATCCATAGATCCCAAATGTCAATGGAATCCGGCCCACACTCCCTGAACGCGTGACCTGGATAGGAAACTCGAACCTGAGTCTGTTCCCAAGTGGATGGACACACACACACACACACACACACACACACACTGTGCTCTATTTGCACAGTGGAATATTACGTGGCCATGAAAAAGGAAAAAACCCCGACATGCACGACGGCCATATGGGTGGACCCAGGAAACATCATGCTGAGTCAAAGCACTCAGCTGCAAAGGACGATATACTGAATCATGTCACTGGCATAAGATGACTAGAATGCGAACACAGAGAGAGACAGGAATAAGTTCGTAGCTGGCAGAGCCGGGGGCCCCAGGGAAAAGCAGGAGCAATGGCATACGGGCACCTCAGTTTCTATCTCAGGCGGCGAAAACACTCAGCCACGGAGCAGCGGTGGCGGCTGTCCAGGTCCGAGAATGGGCTGAAACCCAGGGAACAGTGCCAGTAAAAAAAATCGAATCTGAACAGGGCAGGTGGTCGCTTCCGCCCACAAAGGCAGGGATGCAAAGTTCTCAGCCGTATTTGTTGCGTCTCTTCAAGGTGCCCAGGCCCCACGGCCGCGGAAAGGGGTGGGGATGACAGCGAGGACCCCAGACGGGGATCGGGGGTGGGGGCGCCCGCCAGCCTCACCTTTATAGATGCCGTTCCAGCCCCCGTACTGGTGGCCCCCCTGCTGAGACTCCAACGATCCCCCGTGGTCCGAAGCAAAATAAACCAGAGTGTTGTTGGCCAGACCTTCTCTCTCCAAAGTGTCAAGGATCTGCCCTGCAAAGGGTTGGTGCGTTTGAGCCGGGTGACACAGAAGACTGTCTCACACCCGACTGTTCTGCCTTCCTGGACCGCCCCCGAATGAGTCTTCCTCGGTGAAGCATCATGGGAGCGAGCCGTGGTCCAGCCGCCCTCTCCTTAGCATCGTGGACTTCAGGTCGACACCTGTCTCTACAGTCCCCATTCCGAGTCTAGAAACTCCTAGGCACGCCGCACACAGATAGGTTGCTGAGGACAGAGAGGGTCCTGACTTGAAGTTGAGACAAAAGAAGATGTCTTCAGTGGCTGGCATAGCTCAGTGGGTGGAGCGCGGGCTGTGAACCAAAGCGTCACAGGTTCGATTCCCAGTCAGGGCACGTGCTTGGGTTGCAGGCCACGGCCCCCAGCAGCCGCACGTGGATGTTTCCCTCTCTCTCTCTCTATCTCCCTCCCTTCCCTCTCTAAAAAATAAATAAATAAAATCTTAAAAAAAGAAAGATGTCTTCGCCCCCACGTTCATTGCCGCCTTGCGCACGATACCCGAGCCACCGGGCGACCTAAGTGCCCGTCGGTGGGTCACGGGGTGCAGAAGAGGAGCTGCACCCACACCGCGGACGAGTACTCAGCCAGGAAAAGGAGGACAGGCCAGCCGAATCCGACAGCCCGGAGGGAGCTCCGGGGCATCACGAGGAGACGAGTCAGCCAGACAACCACAGAGGCCGTGACGTGTGGTGCCTCCGACCCGTCCGCGAGACCGCCACCGAATGCCCTCGTCCCCTGTCTGCGCCCTTCCTGAGCCTCCCCCTGCCCTCATCCTGGGTCTCCCCACCCCCCGGCCCCCCCCCGGCCCCTGGCCGCTGGCCGAGGAGGCTGTGCCTTGTCCCCGGAAGGAGGCACTCACCCACCATCCAGTCCATCTCCTGCACGTTGTCCCCGTACAGCCCGTGCACACTGCTCCCCAGGAAGTCCTCGGTGGTGACGAGCGGGATGTGGGTGTGTAGGAAGGACACGAACAGGAGGAAAGGCCTTTGCTTGTTTCTGCGAGTGAGCACGACACGACCAGAGCTCATTCTTTCTTTCTTTCTTTTTTTTTTTTTGGAGAAAACTGAGGTTGACATCCTAGCGCTGCGAAAGGGCCCTTGCAAGGATGACGTCCTGACTCATGGATTTGTCTTTGTGACGCAGCCCACCAGGCGGGAGACCGTTCTGGTGTCCGAGTGTCTTTCACGGGGGGGGCTTCTCCCCGTCAACGTTGGCGGAAACAGCGACACTGGGTTTATGCATCTCCGATATGATGGTTATTTTTTTTAAACATTTTTAGTTTTTTGAGATTATATTTATTTATTTTTAGAGAGGGAAGGGAGGGAGATAGAGAGAGAGACAGAGGAATATCTGTGTGCGGTTGCTGGGGCCCGTGGCCTGCAACCCAGGCATATGCCCTGACTGGGAATCGAACCTGCGACGCTTTGGTTCGCAGCCCCCAGCGCTCCATCCACGGAGCTACGCCAGCCAGGGCGGATTTGGAATTTTCTGTCGAGAGGGGTGAGGTGACGCATCCTGCTACGTGCGTTCTACGCGGCCCGTGGGGATTAGGGGCCAGCGGGATGGGGGCCTTTCCTGGGTGAAAGGGGACAGCACTTATGTCAACGGGAGTGTCCCCTGTTTGCAAGGACGCCGCGGAGGTCAGCCAAAGGCCGCGCCCCCCAGGGCTCGCGCGAGCCAGAACGCCTCCCCAGACCCCCAAGCCCTCTCGCCGCCGGCTGAGCGCCCAGGGCAGAGGAAGACCTCGGAACGCGCCCTTATGCGCCGAGACGGACCGCCGAGACCCAGCGGACCCTCTGGCGTGCGCGCGCGCGCGCTCACCTGCCCACAAAGGACCACACCTCCCGGAGGAAGAGAGACGCCGACGTCCCGAAGTTCATGGGCTGCTCGGTGACGCCGTGGTTCCTCATCAGGAAGCAGTCGGCGAGCACGATCAGCGGGCCGAGGAAATGGGAGAGGGCGAAGCACAAGAGGGCCGCGGCGGCGGCGCAGAGGACCGGCGCCCAGGACACCGGGAAGAGGCCGGCGTACTTCCCCGCGGCGAGCGTCAGGGCCACGAGGGCCATGCACAGCGCGTAGACGTTGAGCCGGCGCTGCAGCGCCGCGCGCTTCTCCGAGAGCGCCCACTGCGCGCAGTCTCCCATCATGGTGAACGGCATGCCGTAGTAGTGGTCGAACCCGTGGTTGAGCGGGTGGTGGCAGTGGTCCCCGGAGGACTCGCAGCTGACGCCCAGGTGCCATTTCCCTGAAGGGCGGAGGGGATGGGTGGAGCGGCCGTCAGGGTTCTCGCGCCGCCCCCGTGGGAGGCACGTGGGCTGTGCCTGTCGCCCTTCATTCTATTTCATTGCATTAGGCGACATGGTCTGTCGGCCTATCAAGAGGTAAGAATGGGCCCTCGCTGGTGTGGCTCAGTGGATGGAGCGTGGGCCTGCAGACCAAAAGGGTCGCCGGTTCGATTCCCAGTCACGGCAGGGGCCCGGGTTGCAGGCCATGACCCCCAGCAGGGGGGTGCTCCAGAGCGGGGGGGGACCATACCTGGATGTTTCTCTCCTTCTCTTTCTCCCTCCCTTCCCCTCTCTCTAAAAATAAATAAATAACTACTACGCCAGCCAGGGCTTATGACTGCTGGTTTTACATTGAGCATATTTGGTGAAAATCTCCACGAGTCCACACTAGATTGCCAATGGACTTCTGCCATGGCTGGGCCGTGTTTTCTGCGGCAAATAAAAAGAGAGATAAGAATGCTATTCGTGGCGGCAGAGAGAGAAGCAGGACGCCGCCACATTTCTCGTAGTCGGAAAAGAAAGCAAACGGCATTACGGCAGGAGTCGGAAAACGGGGGACAGGAGAAGAACAGCCAAGGTCTGGGAGGACGGTGAGTCAGCCCATTGGCACGCCCAGTCGGGCTGCTCTTTTTCCCCCCCGCCCCCCCCCCCGGGCTGCTATTTTCTCCCCATCCCCCTCCACACCCAGTACCCCGAGCCACCACCTCACCGCGGCCCGCACGAAACCTTCTGCCCACCGGGAAAGGCCCCCTCCCTCCCTTCAAGCCCTCAGCGTGAATATGCCCTCCGTGTAACAGAAGTCAGGTCGTGGGCGCTGGCCGAGGTACATACCTACGAGCCCCGTGGCGTAGCCTTGGCCTTGCAGGATCTTCGCGAAGGTGGTCTCGTTGGTGGGCAGGCCCCCCGCGACCCCGGCCCACTGCAGGACGCGGTTGCCGTGGCTGGAGACCATGCCTGTCAGCGGTGGTCAGGGAAAGGTCATCAGCAAGCGTGGGTTATGATCCTTGTCCTGTTCATTTCTACTCCTAAAAAGTCATTGTCTCTAACCCCATGACAGGGGACGCTCAATCTTAGATTCGTTTCAGGTGTAGCGTACAGTAGGTACGCATTAGTCGCGTGCCGCTGACCGAGGGATCCGCCTGGCGTTCCCAGGACCCACCAGGCACCGCACACAGGACAGTAGGATGGACTCGGTTCCCTGGAATTCATGCCCCCATGACTGCCCCTTCTCAATCCCGTCCCCCCGTGCACCCAGCCCTCCCCACGCCCCTGCCCTCCGGCGACCACCGGTCTGTCTCGTGTGTGAGCCTGTCGAAGTCGCTCTTTTGGTTCCACAGGTTATGCGGAATTATGTGGGATTTGCCTTTCTCTGTTCGCTGGGTGAGATTAACACCTTCAGAGTCCACCTGTGCTGTCCCAACGGGCAAGGCTGCATTCTCTCTCTGGCTGAAATCTATCCTGACGCCCGTAGGGGCCACACCTCCTTTATCCCGTCATTTCTGGGTGGGCAGTTTTTCATCCTGACTGCTAGTTGGTTGGTTTGTTTTTTAAATGTGAAAACAGGTAAATGCCTACTTTTTTTTTAGATTTTACTTATTTATTTTTAGAGAGGGAAGGGAGGGAGAAAGAGAGAGAGAGAGACACATCCATGTGCGGTTGCTGGGGGTCATGGCCTGCAACCCAGGCATGTGCCCTGACTGGGAATCGAACCTGCGACACTTTGGTTCGCAGCCCGTGCTCCATCCACTGAGCTACGCCAGCCAGGACTTATGACTGCTAGTTTTACATTGAGCATATTTGGTGAAAATCTCCACGAGTCCAAACTAGATTGCCAATGGACTTCTGCCATGCTGGGCCGTATTTTCTGCGGCAAATAAAACCACCAATGAATTGAAAAAAAGTTGGTGAGAACACTTTTTGGTATGGGAAGGTCAACTGTAAAAAGAGAATGAAATCAAAAAGAAAGACTTAAAAAAATGGTGTTACGATTTCATCAACGTCTTGATACGGTCTAGTGGTTTCCAAACGTGTCGGCACTTTGGAATCGTTTGGGAATCTCCAAGGACTGTCACGCCTGGGTGTGATTTTATCAAGTCGTTGACCCGGCGTGGAATTGGTGATTTGGAGTGACGGAAAGATCCTCTCCGAGTGATTCTAATGCGCTGACAAGGTCGTCCACGCTCAAAGGGCCGGGGAAAATTCAAACCCCAGAAGTACATTTCGCAACGTGTCGAGTGGGATGGGGTTCACCTTTCAGCGTTCATAAAGAAAGTCTCAGTGTCGCAGGTTCGATTCCCAGTCAGGGCACATGCCTGGGTAGCAGGCCATGACCCCCAGCAACTGCACATGGATGTTTCTCTACCTCTCTCTCTCTCTCTCTCTCTCTCTCTGTCTTTCTCCCTCCCTTCCCTCTCTAAAAATAAATAAATAACATCTTTAAAAAAATTAATTATAAAAGAAAGAGAAAGTCTCCCTGGAAGACCGACCATGCCCACTGATGTTCCATTGTGTCTGGACATGCTTTCTCCCTACAACAGAGTCGAGCCCTCGCAGCCCTGAAAACCAAAAGTATTGACCATCTAGCCCTTCACAGAAGACGTTCGTCACTTCCTTCCCTATTGGGTCCCCGACAGCACAGGAAGCCACCGAATGGGCCAGTCCCTGCCCATGTCCCTGGTTAGCTGTGGAGCTCTATCAGTTAGCCAGTTTGCTATCATGAAGCCCCGGCTGCTGTGGCTCAGTGGACTGAGCATGGGCCTGCGAACCAAACGGTCGCCGGTTCGATTCCCAGTCAGGGCACACGCCTGCGTTGCAGGCCAGGTCCCCAGGAGGGGGCGCATAAGAGGCAACCACACATGGATGTTTCTCTCCCTCTCTTTCCCCTTCCCTCTCTCCCTCTCTTTCCCCTTTCCTTCCCCCCTCTGTAAAAATAAATAAATAAAATCTTAACAAAAATATCATGATAAAAATAGGGGACACTTGTCCTGGCCAGGTGGCTCGGTAAGCTACAGTGGCATCTTGATACGAGAAGGTTGTGGGTCTGGGCACAGACAGGAATCAACCCATGGCCTTGGCCAGGGGTGGGGGGCTCAGCGGATTGGAGCGTCACCCCCAATGCCAAAAAAGTCACCGATTTGATCCCTGGTCAGGGCACAGACCTGGGTTGTGGGTGCGATGCCCAGTTGGGGTGTGTCTGGGAAAGGCAGCCGATGGATGTTTCTTTCTCCTCCTGTCTGTCTGTCTCTGTCTGTGTCTCTGCCCGCCCCCCTCCCCTTTCCCCTCTCTCTAAAATCAGCAAGATACACCTTTCCGTGACAATTCCAGCAAACATGGGGGCCAGGACCGTGCTGTGCCCCCTGTCCCGGAGGGCCCATGCTTCAACGAGGGAACCACGGGAGCTACCGGCGGCCCGGGCCTGGGAGTGGACGCCGCGAGAGGGGACCCACCTGATCGCAGAGGGTACCTGCCCGTGAGGAAGGCGGCCCGGCTCGGGGTGCACAGGGACGCGGCGGCCAGATGCTGGGTGAGCCGCACGCCGTCCGCCGCCAGCCGGTCGATGTTGGGAGTCCTGCGGAGAAAAAAAACACGCGCCTCCTTTTTACTCTTCAAGCGACGGTAAGACAGCTTCTCTGCTGCACGCCTGCCGGCCGGTCATGGCTGGGTTCCCCCGGGGGCTCCTGGGGATGACCAGAGGCCGCGGCGAGAGCCCTCTCTGTCTTCCGGAGCGTGGGGGACACGCATCCAGACGCCCTGGCTGGCTGGGAGGTTCCACGGGCTGCACGCCGTCCCGTAAACCGCAAGGACACTGTGGGTGGTGTCGCCTGGGCGGTGTGGGTTTGGTCCCCTGGCGTGCGGGAGGCAACCGGCCGATGTTGCTCTCGCACGGATGTTTCTCTCCCTCCCATCCTCTCTCAGCACGCCCTTGGGTGGGGATTAAAAAAGATCACACAAGCCCTGGCTGGCGTAGCTCAGCAGATGGAGCACGGGCTGCGAACCAAAGTGTCGCAGGTTCGATTCCCAGTCAGGGCACATGCCTGGGTTGCAGACCACGGCCCCCAGCAACCGCACATGGAAGTTTCTCTGTCTCTCTGTCTCTCTTTCCGTCTCTCTCTCCCTCCCTCCCTTCCCTCCCTAAAAGTAAATAAATAGAATCTTTAAAAAAAAAAAAAGAACTGGACGTTCCCGTCGCCCACGTGCAGGTGGCGAGGCCCTGCCCCACCCACTGCCACGCACACTCCTCCCCTGCTCGCCTGATCGTGTCGTTGCCGTAGCAGCCGATGTCCCCGATGCCCAGGTCGTCCGCCAGGAGGAGCAGGATGTTGGGGCGGGAGCCGGAGACGTCCTTCCCAGCGCCGGCGACGGTGAGGACGACGGCAGGCAGCCCGCAGCCCAGCATGCTGAGGCCCACGGCCAGCCAGCTCCTGAAAAGCAAGCTGCACAAAATCGTGCCGGACGACGCCGCTTTCTGCCCCGTCCGCGGGACTTGTGTGGGGGCGGGGCGCGGGCGTCTCTGGTTTAGGGGGCCCTGAGGTCACCACCCCGTGGCCGCAGACCTGGGATACATCCCTCTCTCTCTCTGTCTCTCTTTCAGGGGTAAACGACAGATACTCTTAGGTTTGTGACCCAGCATTTGCCCAGGCACACTGAGGTGATGGACCTGCCATGCCTCCAGGGTCATGCAATGAAGGAGCCCCATGGGCCCCTTGGAGAAAGCAGGGGCCCGGCCAGCACCCCCCGGGAAGAGGAGAGAGTGGACACATCACAGGACGGCCTGAGACCTGGAGGCCCGCTCACCGCCACCCCACACCGTGGGAGCCCCCCCGAGACCCGCGTGCCTGCTGGGATGGGAGAGGCGGGGGTGCCGAGCTCCTGCTGACCGCGCCCTGGACACCCCCGGGGAACGGGCCCCATGCGCGTCCCCACGGATCGCGAGTCTCACGCCCCGTTCGGAGACCCGCGGCCGGCGGCCGGCGCAGGCAGGCCCGTGGTGCCGGGCGCACTCCCAGACGGCCCCCCGGACGGCGCGTGCACGCCGCGGTGGGAGATTGGCCGCCGCACAGGGTCCCCCCCGCCCGCCGCCCGCGGCCTTACCAAGCACGTCCCAGAGGTGCCATGTCCTCTCCCGATTTCTAGTTCCGGAGAGGGAGGGAGAGAGAGAGGTCGGCGGTCGGAGGCAGCCGCAGAGGAGATCGCTGAATAAATGGAAAAGAGAAGCCCACCCTGAACGGGGGGCTTGGGCCCTCTCTGCCGCGGCCCGGGAAAGGCCGAGAGCAGCCAGCAAAGCCTCCGCCGCGTCTTCTCCCCCGGGAGGCTGTGCACATGCCCAGCAGCATGGGCGCGTCGAGGGCCAGGACGGGCTGCGCATTTCGGGGTTTTTTCCCTACGGGCAGGGCCCTGCCGCGCCCTGTGAGCTGTCGTGGGTGGAGACCCGCGCTGGCGCCCGCGCCAGGGGTGGGGCCTGGGCGTCTGCCGGTCTGACCTTGTTCTCGGGAACTCGTGTTCGTTTCTGGCCCCTGGTGGAGAGGGGCCCCGTGGGAAACTGCGTGGTCACCCTCGCGCACTGCACGGGGGGTTTCCTCTCGGGACACTGAAAGTCCGTACTAAATAGCCAGACCTCCGGCCGCCCCCAGCCCCTGGCACCACTGTCCCCTCTGTCTCTGCGCCTCAGACCCCTCTGGGGACCCCCCCGAGAAGTGGGACGACACAGTCCCTGTCCCCCTGGGAGTGGCGGTCCCTGAGCCTCACGACTTCCTGCCCTCGAGTTGGAATTCGCGGCGGGGACTGTGCCGCCATGGGGGGGGGGCTGGAGGCAGGAACAGGATGAGGAAGGTGCTGCCCCCCGGGGTCATGTCCTACGAGGGGACGGTTGGCACGGCCCACGCCCATGTGGGCACAGCCCCGAGTCTGCGCCCATCTGCACGGGCGTTTCCGCCCCATCGACTTGAGTCCTGGCTCTCACGCCCTCCCCTGTGGCGGTGGCTGGGGCCCACAGGCCTCCAATCACTCCCTCTTAGGTAGGCTACGTGAATGTTTACACATTTACATATGCATCATATAAAATACACATCGTGTGACACACAGGACAGGCGTGTTAAAGAAGATATTCCTAGCCCTGGCCGGCGTAGCTCAGTGGATGGAGCTCGGGCTGCAAACCAAAGCATCGCAGGTTCGATTCCCAGTCAGGGCACGTGCCTGGGTTGCAGGCCACGGCCCCCAGCAACCGCACATGGATGTTTCTCTCTCTCTCTCTCTCTCTCCCCCCCTCCCTTCCCTCTCTAAAAATAAATAAAATCTTTAAAACAATTTTTTTTTAAAGAAGATACTCTTATTATATCCTATACTCTAAGGGAGAGAAGATTTTTCCTTTCGATCTATTTTCACTGTTTCTTCGTTCGCCCCCAGAAAACGCAGAGGAGAGGACTGGATGAAACGCCTGTGGGATGTGTCCAGAATGGAATACTACGTGGCCGTAAACAATGAAACAAATGTTGTCTCCTGCGCCTGGGAGAGCATTGTGCTCCGTGAAATAATCCAGGCTGGGAAAAAGACAAGTGCCCCGGGGGGATTTCACTCCTGTGGGGAATGCAGTCAACCCAGTAAATGGAGGGAGACCGCAGAGACAGAGCCACGGACACACGGACGGACTGACAGCTGCCGGCGCGGCAGGGGCACTGGGCGGAAGCAGGGGGGAGGGGCAGAGAGGCAAAGAACGCGCAAGCCTGACCCCCTGACACGGAGGGTGTGGTGGGGGGACAGGGGAGCAGGGCGGGGGCTGGGTCAAGGGAGGCAAGGGGGAGGAAAACGAGAGGCGTCTGCCCGAGTGTCAACAATCAAGACATCACCAAAAGACACAAAAAGCATTGTCCGAGCTGGGAGCTGCGAGCTGCGTCTGACTTCCCCAGGGACCACGGGCCGGTGGTGCGTGCAGCTCCTGGCCGGGGAGAGTGGAGGGTGTGGGTCTAGGCTGCTCCCCTAGCGGCTTGGAGGTCACGGCGAAACTTTGTAGCGACACTGGCCTGACACAGTCCAGGACGATGAGACCCCCACACCCTGGCACCGAGGTCAGGGTTCCAGCCGTGACCTAGGCCTCAGACTTGGTTCCATGTGCGCTCCTATGAGCCAGAGAAAACTTTCCATAAAAAACCCAGAGCTAAAGAACAGAAACCACCACCCCCACAGGGGGCTGGGCGGGAGGGGGCGCCGGCAGGGGGCTTAAGGATACAAAGTTGCAAGCGGCAGCCACTCAGGTCTGCAGACCTCACCGACGAACTCCGGCATTAGGCTCAGCAACACTGTGTCACGGACGGACGCACAGACTACATGTTAATTGCTCTCCACACAGAAACAGTTCAGGGCAGTTGTGCAACACCGGGAGGCCTTTGCTCACGACATTGTTACCAAAATCTTGCAAAAATCCCCCGTGTCCTAAGACCCTGCGGTGTGACGAAGGTGACTCCAGGTTTTATCCTGGAGCCCGTGACGCCTCCGCGTGAAGAAAAGTTTTCTAAAAAGAGCAACAACAAGATATATCCAGGGAGCGGCACGGGTAATGTAGCCCTGGGTTGTGTTGCAAGGGCAGAGGGATCGATCTCTCCGGGTCCCGCTGTCCTCCAGCGCCCCGGGGCCAGCCAGCCCGGCGTCACCACAGCTGTGGGTTCCGAGTCCCCAAACCCAGGCTGCGTTCCGGCCTGCAGCCTCCAGCATCTCTCTGCAATCCAGCCCGCCATGCCGTGCCAACTGTATACGTGGAGGCGAGCCCCTTTTCTATCCCTCCTGGGCGCCTTTGCTGGTGCATTTGCCTACGCATCCCCCGCCCCTCCTCGGGGAGAATCCCCTCGGCCTAGGTTCCCGTGTCGCTTGGAAGGCGATTTCTTCTTCGCCCTGGCCCGGCCCCCAACCCCCGGCGTCTCCTCCCCAAGCCGGCGGACAGCACCTACGACAGAAGCGAATTCCTTGGATACCGGCGGCGGCGGCGGCGGCGGCGCGCTGGGCCGGGCGGCGGCGGTCAGGACGCGGCGGAGGCTCGTCGGAGGGACCTCTCTCTTCCCGGCGGGACCCAGGCGGCTGCCGGCTCCGAGGCGTCCCCTGTGCGACCGAGGCAAGCCTGTGCGCCGCCTGATTCACCCTTCAAACAAACAAAGATTGCAGACAAACCAGCTGGGACTTAGGGGAGGAAAGGAGGCGTCTGACCCCTGGCTGCCTCCGCCGCCCGCAACGCCTGCTCTCCCGTGCGCACCGGGTCGCCGGGCCGGGCCGGACAGAACTCCCTGAAACAGGCACTGCTTTGTGCGCCGCCGGGCGCCTTGTGGCCTCCTCGCAACCCCACGGAAGGCCTGGCCTGGCGCTCCTCCCAGCCGGGAACGCAGTGGCCTGGCAGATTCTGGACTTACTGGTCTTCCCCTCCCCTCGGACAGGGGCCTGAGAAAATCAAAGGAGAGAGAAAAGCCACAGCCTGCAAGTAACTGTTTCGCTCCGTGCTGATAGATGACAGCCGTGCAGGTGTACTTATTTTGGGCTCTGTGCCCATGTATATATATATATATATTTTTCATTAAGAAGCATTTCAGCCCTGCGAGGGCTCGACTCTGTCGTAGGGAGAAAGCATGTCCAGACACAATGGAACATCAGTGGGCATGGTCGGTCTTCCAGGGAGACTTTCTTTTTTTTTTATAATTAATTTTTTTAAAGATGTTATTTATTTATTTTTAGAGAGGGAAGGGAGGGAGAAAGACAGAGAGAGAGAGAGAGAGAGAGGGAGAGAGGGGGAGAGAGAGAAACATCCATGTGCAGTTGCTGGGGGTCATGGCCCGCAACCCAGGCATGTGCCCTGGCTGGGAATCGAACCTGCGACACTGAGACTTTCTTTATGAACGCTGAAAGGTGAACCCCATCCCACTCGACACGTTGCGAAATGTACTTCTGGGGTTCGAATTTTCCCCGGCCCTTTGAGCGTGGACGACCTTGTCAACGCATTAGAATCACTCGGAGAGGATCTTTCCGTCACTCCAAATCACCAATTCCACGCCGGGTCAACGACTCGATAAAATCACACCCAGGCGTGAGAGTCCTTGGAGATTCCCAAACGATTCCAAAGTGCCGACACGTTTGGAAACCACTAGACCGTATCAAGACGTTGATGAAATCGTAACACCATTTTTTTAAGTCTTTCTTTTTGATTTCATTCTCTTTTTACAGTTGACCTTCCCATACCAAAAAAAATAAATAAATAAGTGTTCTCACCAACTTTTTTCAATTCATTGGTGGTTTTATTTGCCGCAGAAAATACGGCCCAGCATGGCAGAAGTCCATTGGCAATCTAGTTTGGACTCGTGGAGATTTTCACCAAATATGCTCAATGTAAAACTAGCAGTCATAAGCCCTGGCTGGCGTAGCTCAGTGGATGGAGCTCGGGCTGCGAACCAAAGTGTCGCAGGTTCGATTCCCAGTCAGGGCACATGCCTGGGTTGCAGGCCACGGCCCCCAGCAACCGCACATGGATGTTTCTCTCTCTCTCTCTCTTTCTCCCTCCCTTCCCTCTCTAAAAATAAATAAATAAAATCTTTAAAAAATAAAAAAAGAAGCGTTTCTGGGTTTTTTTCCCATATCATTATAGGGCATCTTTTTTTCTGCAACATTGGAAGTAGAAATGATTCTTTTCAAAGGTGTTACCAGATAAGAACTTTTTGCCCACCTTCAGGTGTTGAATCACAGACAGCATGTTTTTTTTCAAAGCCCTACGTGCATTTTTTTTTTTCATTTTTAATACTCAGCGGCTTGGGCATTGTGCGGTTTTCATGTGAGACTCGTGTGGCCAGAGAACCATCTCCTAGCCAGCTGCTGCTGCCCTGAGACAGTTCCCTTTTAACGGGGTCCTCACCGGAGGAGGTGATGGTGGATTCCAGAGAGAGGTGAAGAGAAACATCGCCGTGAGAGAGAAACACAGATCAGCTGCCTCTCACATGCGCCCGGAGAAGTGACCGTCCCCGCAACCCAGGCGTGTGTCCTGACTGGGAATTGAACCTGCAACCTTCCGGTGTCCCCGGGGGCGACGCTCCAACCCACTGAGCCACACCGGCCGGC